CCCAAGGGGCAACGCCAACGGTGGTGCCGGGGGCACTCACGCGGAAACCTGCGCCAGCACCGGTGGCGTTGGCAGGGGCTGAGGCTGAGGTGGCGTTAGCAGGGGTTGAAGCAGCGGTGCCGTTCGAGGAAGATGAAGCGGCGGCGGCGGCGGTGGCATTAGGAGCAGCTGCAGCACTGGTGGCATTAGGAGAGGATGCTACGGTGGCGTTCGAGGATGCGGGGATGGTGGCGATGGGAGAGGATGCCGCAGCGGAAGCGTTACCGGCAGCCGCAGCAGTGGTGGCATTTGAAGACGAGGCCGGGATGGTGGCGATGGGTGAGGATGCCGCGGCAGTAGCGTTGATGGGGGACGCAGCACTGGTGGCATTAGGAGACGGCGCCGGGATGGTGGCGATTGGAGAGGATGCCGCAACGGAAGCGTTAGCGGCAGCCACAGCAGTGGTGGCATTTGGAGAGGAGGCCGGGAGGGTGGCGTTGGGAGAGGATGCCGCAGCGGTAGTGTTGATGGGGGATGCAGAAGCGGCGGTGGCGTTAGCACCAGCGGCAGTGCTGATGGTAACAGGAGACGGTGCAGCAGTGGTGGCGTTAGCAGAGGAAGCAGCGGTGGCGTTAATGGAGGCTGTGCCGAAGCCCGCGGGGCAGGCAGCGGCTTCGGTGCCCTTGGCGAAGGGAATGCCGCAGGACTGAAGGCTGCATGGGCCGTGCCGGGGTTCAGAGGGCGGGGTGGGGGCTAAGCGTCAGTACACGTCACTTACTGGATCGTGCCAACTAGACCCTTATGCTCCGCACAGATGCCATCTGATGGTACAGTTCAACCTGCTTTCGAAGCCAACTCGGCATCAACACAAATGACTGTGACCCATAGGTCGCAAGGTGCATGTACAAAACCTTTACAAGCCCGTACCCACTCCTATGTCCTGCACGGTAACACACACACCGCTATCCCAACAACCCCAATAAGTATCTGAGCACTTACAGGTTGCTCACGCCGCCGCTGGTAATGCCGGCGTTGCGGGCGAGGCTGTTGGTGTCGACCGTGGTGAACAGCTGGTCCAGCAGGTCGGGGTAGCAGAGGCACTGGTACAAGGAGCTGCCGGGTCCGCCGTACTGCCGTACCGTGTTGCAGCAGGTGGTCTGGGGTGCATGGATGGGCGATCGGGTGAGGGCAAACGTAGGGAGGTTAGGGAGGGAAGAGGATGGAGGACCTGTTGCTGACGGTCAACAAGAATATCAGGGAGTGCTTGGTCTAAGTAACGGTGCCAGCAGCGAATGTCAATGCAGCTAAGGTTTCCTATGGCACCCGGAGCCAAACCAAGCCTCACACACTGTGTCTGGGAAAGCGGTCATGACCAAAAGTCATAGCAGGCTGGCATGTGTCAAGTAGCAGGCGCGAACGTACGGCGGTGACAGGTGCCTCCAAAGATGACAGACACCTGACCCTGCTGCAGCCCCTACACAGCCACTTACCGAGGGTCCGCTCGTGCAAGGCGCCAGGGCGTTTAGGTTGCTCATCTGAGCCATCGCGTCGCTAAGGCACTTGCCCTTGTCGGGCAGTCGTTGCTGAGCCAGCGATGGCACAGCAGCCAAAAACACCGCGAGGACCGCTACCAGCAGAGGCCGTGTGGAGGGCGACATGGTCGCTTTGATAAGTTGCGGAACTAGCTAGTAAGTTGGGAGTATAAGGATGTAAGGGTAGAAGAGGTGAGCTGGTGTGTTGTTGAGCAGGAGTAGACGCGTTTAAGTATTCACAGAGGGGCAGGGACCAGCGATCAGCTGTCGGGCCCTGTCAAAGCGTTGAGTCGTCCCAGGTCCGTACGATGTTCGATTGACAGATAGATACCACAACAGGCAACGCCTACGACGGACCGTCATGCAGCGCTAATATAGCACTGCTTAAGCCGGTGCGCGGGGAAAAATTATTTTGCTTGCACCCTTGGGGTAGCGCATGGTGACAACGATCGTAATGAACAGGATCCGGTCCCTAGCCACCGAGCCGTCGCGTTCTACTAGCCTACGGCTATGCAACATACACTTTTCGACATTAGACCAAGCAATAAAGATTTATATGCTACGCGATGACAGTCCGTAATGTAATGACTTTCACCGCTTGCGGTTCGTGCCCTCGGGTAAAAGAGGGTCGGGGTACCGGTAACCTTGCCTCACGGCGTTAAAGCAGGTAAATCGGTAGGCGGCTTACTTCGTTTCCAGCTTACAGCAGTTGCGTTGTCGCGAGTGTGTGCAGCGCGCGGCTTTTTTGGAGCATGCGATCCGCAATAATACAGTTATTGACAGCTCCGTGCACGTGTCCAGTGAATGCGGAACCGAAATAGCTGCAATGATGAATATCATTAAACGTTCACACATATGCAGTTATGAGTTTCCCGCCTTTACGGCAGCATATAAAGTGCAAGTCGTTACCAGTATAGGCAGTTAGTACGGCACAAGAGGATCCAGGTATTGTCACACTTTGTCCACGGTCTCGGAATATTGGATTTGTAGTGGAAAAGGTGCAAGTACTTTAACAGCGAACTGTTCAGGAACGGTAGTTTGTCCTTGGTTACAAGATAGACGTGGACTTGGTGGCGACAGCCAGCTTTGACCGGCGGTGACGACTGCAGCTAAGCTGCAGCTCATCAGAGGTTACATCTTAGGGATCATCCACATCTGTCGTTCTGCAAATCAAGCAAGTCTCCTGTCGCTGGCTCATTTCCCGTAACCGTACTCACATGCCCCCAGGGGGAAAAATAGATACCCAGCCGCATTCACTCAAACGAGCATCAGCTTGGAGTCTCGGCATCCATTAGACACTTTGCAGCTTGCAGTTATTAGCGTACACACCATGCATTGATTTGCAATGAAGGATGCATGCCACTGTCTGCCAGTGTAACCAAGGCCCCCTCAAGTACTACCGGCTTCTCCATGCATAAGATGGGGCTCATATGTGCAGTGTGGCATCAGTCGTGTTCACGATATGAAGGTGCAATGCATTTGTCCGACTAGTACGTCAATCTAGGGCCCACCACCTAGCACGGTGGTGCTTCACTTTATACGGCCCACAGCACCGTACATTTCAAAGCGCAACCCCAGCACAGCCACAACTGCACCATGAGTAGGCACGTGGACAAAAGAAAACAACGACGCATTCGTACCACGCAAGGTCTATGTAGGAGGGTACGACACTTGATTACTTTGACGCGCAGGCAGGGAGGAAGGGGCGGCCATCACAGAATCTCTTCCAAGCGCTCGTCATACCGCCGCTGAACCAAGCCTCGGGTGGTTGGGCCGGGGCTGGTGCAGGGGATGGTGGAGGGGAGGAGGCAGGAGAAGATGCAGTGGAAGGCTTAGGCGAGGTAGGACGACGAGGCGGTTTAGGGGACGGTTTTGGTGCAGGCGATGGTTTACGTGCTGAAGATGGCCCAGAGGAGGGTGCGGTAGCAGCGGACGGCGAAGGTGTTGCCGGGGAGCGTGCACGAGATGGGGAAGGTGCAGGAGATGGGGAGCGCCCAGGGGCTGGGGAAGGTGCAGGAGATGGGGAGGGTGAAGGTGCTGGGGAAGGTGCAGGAGATGGGGAGGGTGAAGGTGCTGGGGAGGGTGAACCAGCAGTAGCATTAGGGGAGGCGGAAGTGGCGGGGGGTGCAGCGCCGGATCCACCGGGGGTGACGGGACATGCCGCAGCCCCGGTGCCCTTGGCGAAGGGTATGCCGCACTGTTGAAGGCTGCATGGGCCGTGACGGGAACCCAGGGGAGGGGTGGGGGCTAAGCATTAGTGTACACATTAACTGCTTGTGCAATGATGTTATGTGGCAGACGACTTAACACAGAAGTTAATTGCAGACCAGCACGGTCTTCTACATATGTCATGCCAACAAAGAACACTCTGACCCATGGGTCGCGAGGTGTATCCTTCCTAGCCATTACCCGCGTGAATTCCTGTTGCTCAACAAAAGGCAGAAACACTACCCAGTCACATGCTTCGTCCCTCGTTTAACCAAGCAGGACATACAGCAGTACACTTACTTGTTGCTGACCTTGCTGCTGGATACACGGTAGACTTTAGCGAGGTTGTTGGAGTCGATGGCAGAAAAGAGCTGGTCCAGCAGGTCTGGGTAGCAGAGGCAGAGGTAGAGCACACCGCCGGGCCCCGCATAGCCCTTGGAGGCGCTGCAGCACGCGGACTGCGTGGGGTGTCAGCGGTGTGGGTAGGTGTGTAGGGAGGGTAGGGCGGTTTAGTATGTCACTCAAGAGTCAAGACCGTTGCCACACAGAGCAAGGAGCTCCTAACCAGAAGCGATGACAGCTGCATGTAAGCAAGAGGACGTGCATGTGTTGCATGCATCTTCCATGGCTGGGCACCAGCAATGCACCATGGGGGTCAAGTTTACAAGCAACCGTTGGTAACGGCGCGCGTTGTGACAGGTGCTCCCTTCATGTGTCAGGCGACTGATCCCTGCACACAGCAGCCCAGCAGCTCACCGTTGGTCCATCCACACACGGCATTAACACGTTTATGTTATTCATTTGGGACATCGCAATGGTGACGCAGTCGTCTTTGTCGGGTAGCTCCTGTTGCTGGGCCCGCGAGGGCGCAACTGCCAAGAGCAACGTAGCAGCCAGTAACGCCAGCAGCAGCAGCAGCGGTAGACGTGTGAGATGCGACATGCTTGCGAGGGAGGTACCGGCAATTATGAACCTTAAAACTAACTGCAATGGAACGTACTTCGCAGGCTGCTAGAGTATTGTACAGGGATGAAGGGTGTAATGAATGGTGTAATCCTGCTGAGCAAGGGGTGGTGTTATCTACTCGAATGACGACAGGAGGGGTCCGGAACCAGCATCTGGGTCATGTGTCAAAAGGATGATGAGGAGTCCCAAGTAGGCGTTGCGTACGACGTTGGTTTAGCCAGATAGGTTGTTGCACGTCTTACCTCGGAAGACCTGATGACATGCATCAACGGGAAGCATGCGGGACTAGCGTGCCGTGATGAAACAGCCTGAACGCAAATTTAGGTTGCATTACAATCTTGCCAGCGGTTTCTACCACCGCTTCTTTACGACAGCAGCACCAGTTGGTCGGATCCGACACAGAACCCGCCCGCCACCAGTAATTACAATCCGGTACATTTACTCTTTTCGGCCACTCCCTACGTCTGGTCCACATGAGAGCCAACTCGGTTGGAGGAGGCATCCACCGCCCTACCTGCCGCAGCCGACCCAGAAAGAACCCTAATCAACGCGCGCATGGGTCCGTATCTCTCCTCGCACGCTATGTTGTCAAGCCGGGAGAGGGGGCGCTACTGGTATCCACTGCGCGGGATTTCACCGCGATAAGCTGCTGCGCACCTGCCCGACAAAAGATGCGACCCTGGCCCGCCTAACCACCAGCCCCTCTGTTACACGCCTGCTGACACCTGCTAAGCCCAGCAGAACAGGACGACATTCCTACTGTTTGCTCTCGCTCCATAGGGGGCACCCAGGGATCACGAAGCCCTCTTACCGCTGCCCACAAAAACCCAAAACGTAGTACGACAGGAGCTCAGCGACTGCCTGGCTCCGATACATACGGCAGCCGTACGCGCCACCGTACGCAGGCACATCCTGCTGCTGACCTCCTGCCGCATCGTCGGCACACAGGTGGCATCCACGTTCCAGCAGACACCCCTCTTGACTAATCCTATCGACACTAGCACACTACCACCTTCCTCCTCTGCTGCTCCGCCTTATCGTGTCGTACACACCCTTTTCCCTTTCCTCCTCTTCAATCCGGGTGCAACCCACCCATGCCCTACTTGCTCTGTAGTGCTCCTCCTCCCTCCCAACGCGTGGTTCATTCAACGCATGGTTCTTCTTCCTCTTTAAGACAGCCCCCGCCCCCCCTCTGTCCTACTCAGCCGCCTACTTTGCCCCCGCCTACTTTGCCGCCTGCTGCTCCGCCGCCAGGTAGGCCCTCATCTTTTCCACCTGCTGCAGCACGGAGCGCTTGCTGGTGCCGCCCTCGGTGTCTCGCATCTCCGCACTGCGGTTGAAGTCCCACACCTATGAGGGGAGGCGGGAGGCGGGAGGGAGGAGGGGTAGGGCAGGAGGGGACTAACGTTGGAGTAGGGGCTGTGGGTTAACGTGACGCAGTATAGTGACTTGTGGATCCCACACGCGACGCATTTGTAATTCGAGACTTCCGCTTCCCTTCCCACAACCCTCCCTCCCACATCCCCTCCCTGCTTCCCAACCCCAAACCCAATCCCCCAGTGGCAGCAGGCCCCGCACCCACCGCCGCCACATCCTCCGTGAACAGCGGGTGGATGGTCTTCAGGTCGTCCACACTCAGGTCGAACAGCGTCACCCCCCGGTCCTCCGCCATCTTGACCGCCGCGCCGCTGTGGTGGTGCGTCTCGCGGAAGGGCACTCCCTTGCGCACCAGGTACTCGGCCAGGTCGGTGGCGAGCATGTCGGCGGACAGGCCTGAGGGAGATGAGAGGAAGAGAAGAGGGAGAGGGGGTGGGAAAAAGGGTGGACGAGCGTGGAGTGTGGGTGCGGAGCGGGGAGGGATAAAACGGGCTGGTGCTGGCGTTACCGCTGGGGGCGGTCTGGGTCAGTCCACCTTGCAGACGCGTGCGTGCGTGCATGCATGCAGCAACAGCAACCTCCGCCTTCCTCCTTCATATGCTTTTATCCCCACAGCACTTCACAGCACAGCCCCAGCTGCTGCCCCACGTACGTTACCCTACCCCCCCACGCCACTACCGCTACACACTCCCCACCCCCTCAGCCCCTCACTCCCTCATCCCCTCACCCCCTCACCCGAGCGCATCTTCTCCGGCCGGATCTTGATGGTGCTGAGCACCCCGGTCGCGATGCGCACCACGTCGTGCACCGTGTCCACCGTGTCGAATAGCAGCTCCCAGCACTCCTGGAAGTCCTTGTTGTAGGTGGTGGGGCAGCCCTTGAGCACCGCCAGCACGCCCATCAGGTTGCCCGCAACACGGCCGCCCTTGCCCCTGAGGAGCGGGAGGGAGGGAGGGAGTGAGGGAGGGAGGTGAGGAAGCATACCAGAACCACATGTCAGGGCAAAGCAATGGAGATAGCGAGAAGCAGTTTGCCCCTGCGGAGGGAAGGAGAGGCAGGCGAGGGGCGAGAGGCAGGAGGCATGCGCGCGCAAACAGGCAAGCAGGCGGCAGGCTTGTGAGGAGAGGCAAGGTGAGGTGACAGGCGAGGAGAGGCAAGGTGAGGTGAGATGAGGTAAGGCATGGCAGCCCTAAGGCATCCACCCAGCCATGCTTCTCTCCCTCTCCCTTCCATCTTGCTGGCCTCCTCATTTATCCCCTCCCACTCCTCCCTGGCCCCACCTGATGAGCTCCAGCGCATCCGGGTTCTTCTTCTGCGGCATGAGTGAGGAGCCGGTGGCGTATGCGTCGCTGCACTGCACGTAGCCGAAGGGGCCGGAGGAGTAGATGATGAGGTCCTCAGCCCAGCGCGACAGGTGGGTGCACAGCAGGCTGGCCGCGAAGATGGTCTCGATCACAAAGTCGCGGTCGGACACCTGCGGGGGGGTGGGGGAGGGGCATGGGAGGAGGGGGGAAAAAATTTAAATATGTGAAACAACGAGTCCCAATCCCATATCCCGACTCATGCAGTGAGCGCATTCGGAGACACTATTCTAGAGACACGCATCTCAAATGGAGGAGGGGGAGGGTGGTGAGGGAAGGAGCAGAGGGAGGAGAAGAGGAGGTGAGAGCCATGTCAGGGGGTTGTTTGCTATGACCCTGCCTGCTGGCCTGATGCTGGCCCCCCGCCCCTGTCCCCCCCACCTGCCTAACTCCACTGCCCCGCCAGTCCCCTCCTTCTTCACCCGCTACAGACCCCCCGCCCGTCCCCCGACCGCCCCCCCCTCCTTACCGCGTCCATGGAGTTGGGGCACACCCCGCCACTGAAGCCCAGCTCCGCCGCAATGAACTGGCGGTCCACCAGGAAGGGGTTGCCGGCCAGGGCGCCTGCGGGGGTGGGGTGGGGGGGAGGGGCAGGGGTTACAGGAGGGGGAGCAGCAGGACGGAGGTGTTTACTAGGTGGGTGGGGAGGCGGGTGTTATGACTTCGCAGGGGCACAGGGACCGCCCCTCCATGCATGCATGCATGCCTCTTACCCACACACAATCCCTCCCGTGCACCGCCGCCCGTGCACCGCCGCCCGTGCACCGCCGCCCGTGCACCGCCGCCCGTGCACCGCCGCCCGTGCACCGCCGCCCGTGCACCGCCGCCCGTGCACCGCCGCCCGTGCACCGCCGCCCGTGCACCGCCCCAGTACATACCGCACACCGCCCCTACCGCCTACCTTCCCTTTCTCTTTCCTCCATCTCCTCCCCGCCCCCGCCATTCTCATTCAACACATTGGGCATTCTTCTCTTCTTCACACCCCTTCTCCCCGTCCCGCGTCACCACCCACCCACCCGAGCCCAGCGGCAGTGTTGCCACCCGCGGCGTGAGGTCGCGCAGCCGCATGTCGTCCCGCTGCCAGGCGGAGCAGTGGCACATCAGCCAGTGGCTCCACCGCACCGTCATGGCGTTCTGAAGGTGCGTGAAACCTGGTGGGGGGGAGGGGGGGAGGGAGGCGGAGGAGGAGGCAGGGGTGGTGTTGAGGAGGTGGGCGAGGAGGTGGGCGAAACTGACATGCGGCGAACGTACACGCCGTTTCGTTGCTGCTAGCCCAAGACTCGCTTGTCCCCCCCCCCACACACACCAGTCTTTCAACACACCGAGCCCACCACTGCCCTTGCCGCCCCTTTGGCCCACCCCACCAACCCGCGAGCAACCACGCTCTCATGCATGAACAACTGGACATCAACCAAACCCCCCGCCCCTTTTCGACAAGGCTGGAATTTTCCGCCCTACCTACCCCCACCCCTCCTTCCCCACCGCTAGTTAGTTTTTTCTTCCTCTTCTTCCCCCACCCCTCCCCCTCACCCGGCATCAGCACCTCCACCTCCGCCTCCGACCTGTCCGCCGCCACCCGGATCAGCTCCTGCAGCTCCCCCCGCATCACCGCCACCTGGCCCGCCAGCCACAACCGGTAGTCGGTGGCAACCTGGGGAGGGGGGAGATGGGCAGAGGTGGAAGAGGGGTACAAGAGATATACCAGAGGTACCAAAACCGCGGGTTAGGGCAAAGCAGTGGGGATAAGAGGGAAGCAGTTTGTCACGAAATAGAAGAGGGTTAGTTGCCCCCACGTGCATGCATGCAAGGGGTAGGGTTCACGCAGGAAGGCAGCTCCCGTCCTAACCCCCAGGAGCCCACCCCTCAAACGCAGCTGGGAGGAGGCAACTGGGCTACAGCAGCTAATGCTACCCCGGCGCGCGCACCAGCAAACCACCTACCAAGGATGAAGCCCCTACCTCCAAACCCGTGGGGCCCTGTTCGCTTCTGTACCCACCTGGTCGTTCCGCGACCTGCCGGTGTGCAGCTTGCCGCCCACCGGCCCCACCAGCTCCGTGAGGCGTCGCTCGTTGGCGGTGTGGATGTCCTCGTCGCCCGGCTTCACGGTGAAGGCGCCCGCGGCCCACTCATCCGCAACCTGGCAGCGGGGGAGAGGAGAGGAGAGAAGGGTTATGTGTATGGGAGGGCGGGGGAGGGAGGAGCTGCGCGCGTTGGTTGGAGAGGCTGGCTTTGGTTGAGGATGCCGGCTTGGGAGGGGTTAGCAGCGGGTTGCCTAGCAGAGTGCCCTATGAGGCGGAGCCGGACTGCCTCCTTTCCGTGTCAGCCCCTCGCGCTACCACGCTAAGCGCATCCCCGTACCTTGCCCAGCCCCTCCACAATGGTGGCGGCCTCCTCGTGCGTCAGGATGCCCGCCTTGGCCAGAGCCTTGGCGTACGCCTGGCTGCCCTGCAGTACGGCAGTTGGAGTACGGCAGTTGGAGTACGGCAGGTAAAGTACGGCGTGGGACCAGCGGGTGCAGGGGAGGGTCGGGGCGGCGTGTCAGGGCTAAGGCCAGCGTTGTTAGTTAGGGGGTTACGGCAGAAGGGACCGATGGGGCCCCTTCGTGCTCTGCTTACGCGCATGGTTATTGGTGAAGCAAGAGCAAGGAGAAGTCTCGACTAGTGATGAGCGAGAAGAACATTCAGGGATCTTGACGGAGAGCTCGCTGCGGCGAGACTTGCCATGGGGCGCGACGTGAGGGTGTGGCAGAACGAAGGTCGACACTGAGGCAGTGGTATACATGCTGTGAAGAAAATAATAGTAAGGCTGGAACCTCACCTTAATATCTTCGGCCCACAGGCGCTTGTCGAAAGGCAGGGACTCGTTAAACTTTTCCATGAGCGGGTCCGTCTTACCAGTGAAGCGGCCTCCCCACAGCTTCCTAGTGTTATCCGTTGTCGATGCATCCGGGGCGCTAGTCGCCTACACCCCCAGGACAAAAGCCGAAAGGTCAGGAATGGCCATCAAGAACGAACCCCAATTAACCCGAAGCGTACCTGGGCCATGACTGACACGCGGGCAGGAACAGAGACCTGCAACAAATTGGGATTGACAATGAAGCACTGTTATCAATGCATGTGATCTTACGCTTTTGCATGCCGCCGCAGGCGACAGCCTGAGTTGGATATATGCTCACCTTCACGCGGCAGCCCTTAGCATGCGCTGAAGTGAAGCCCCTGACGCGACCTGCGCCCTGCTGGTGTAGGAGAGCCGGTGCCATTTCGATGTGGCCAGGTAGGGTTCAATCACCAAACTAGGGCGGCTGGTCCAATAGCGTAGCCGCACGGACAAGGTTATAATCCTTCGTCCAACGAATAAGAAACTGCAAGCAGTATTACTGGCCAGCTCCTAACGACGATGGTCACGTGGCGTCCGTTTCAAGGCCTTCGTGCACGTCTTATACGGCAAAGTTCTGCGACACAGGTTGACACCTTGTATACATTAATAAAAACCAAAGAGGAAATATCCATGCAAACGAACAATTATACTCGCAGTGCACTCCAGACCGGATGTTGCACGTGGCATGTTGTACAGCAATGGCCGCAACAATGCCACCGCTAGCAGCAGTGCTGGCACTACCAACGACGGCAGCCGCGGCAGCAGCAGCGACAGCGGTGGCGGGGAGGTTGTGTTTCTGCAGCTGCACGGTAAGGCCGATGAAAGCTGCCCAGGCAGCACCTTCCGCCGGGCTGGCCCGCAACGCCAGTGCCTTCTACGGCCGCAACCACACGGCGGTGGCTCGACTGGTGGCGGCGCTGACGGCGCCGGGGGAGGCGGCGGCGGTGGCGGGATGGGCGGTGCGCACGCCGCCTGGGGATTCGGGCTGCGTGCGTGTACCGGTACACTTCAACCCCCAACACGGCTGGGAAAAAAGGGTGTTTACAGGCAAGGATGCCATAGCAGCAAATCCTCGGCAAGCGGCCACACAGTCGCCGGCCATGGAGTGCGTTAAAGAGAAGCCAGTTTTTACTTAGCATCGACCCGTTTACACTGTAGGGCCTGCTCAGACGTACAGCATGAACCAACCGCCAACCCTGCAACTAACGCTGGGGTCCCTAGCAGGAGGCAACAGTCCAACCCACCAACCAAACCTACGGCTGCGCTCCATTAAGCTCATCCTGCAACACGCACGCTATGGCAGCGACAGCGCCTGACGCACCTTCGTGCGCTTTCCTTTACAAAGACCGCGCCCACGCTGTCAAGTCCCAACAACGTCTGTCGCAGCAGGAATCTCACATACGGTAACAGAGCTTCCTCTCAGGTCACAACACAGGTCGCACATGACACGGCCTCCTCACACAACAGGTCCCACACGAGACATGGCACAGCTCCTTTACACAACACCGACAACACGTCTGGACGTCTCACAGCGCCTTGTAGCCCAGCAGCTTGTTCAGCGCCCGCTCGTTCTCGCACTCGTAACCCGCCACGAAGAAGGATCCGAAACCACCTGGGGGAGGGGGAGTACAGCAAGCACAGGGGTGGGCAGAGTGGGTGCATGGCCTTCCATTTAAGGGGCTGCGGGCCAAAACAACGAGCATGTGTGACTGACGAGACTGTTCACAGTTTATGCATGCCTCGTCGCCTTCATCGCATCCATGCTTAATGCCTGCCTACCTTAACCATCGTTCTATAGTCCACCCCAGCCTACCACCCCGCACCAAGGACGTACCCGCCCGCCCCTTACCTCCAAACACGCCCAGCCCCGCCTCCTCCTCCCCGCCACCACCGCAGCCCCCTCCCCCGCCGCCTCCGCCGCCCTCCTCATCCTCCTCGCACTCATGCACCAGCCTGTCCGTCGTCTGGCCGGACACGGGGCACACCAGCAGCTCACTGCGCGCATCCACCACCCCCTCCGTGCATGCGTCGCCGCACACGTGCACCCAGCCCGTCTGGTCGCATGCGTACACGGGGGGCTGGTCACCGGGGTTTACACGGGTGAAGGTGAGGGCGGCGCGGCCGCGGCGGCTCAGATCGGGGCGCGGAGGGCCGTTCGAGGGCCCGGCGCCGGCGCCGGTGCTGCTGCTGGGGCCGGCGCCGTCGCTGCCGGGAGGTGCGTCTTGGAAGCCGCGGGCGCGACGCCATGCGGCGAGCTGAGGAAGAGTGAGTGGGAGTGGGTGAGAAAGGGTTTCAAGTGATGCGCGTGGGGAAGTACTGTACCAGTTGCAGGGACGGAGGTAAGCCGGGAGCGGCGTGTGCTGCAAGGACATGCTAGTGTCCAGCAGGCGGTGCGCAGCTGCCGCAGCAGCAACCCGGTTGTGCCCCGGTTGGTCTGTCCTGCGCTACCCACTTTACCTCTGCGCGCTCCCAATCCCCACCACTTCCCTCCCACTCCCCACCCCTGAAGCTCCCCTTCCTTCCCTCCCAGCTCCCCACCCTCTCCCCTTCCTCCCCGCCCCCTACCTTGCTGGCGATGTCCCCCGGGTCGCTCTGCAGCGGTGCGTCCAGCAGGCGGCGGTCGGGCGCGGTGTCGCGCTTGGCTCGCAGCATGTCCAGGAAGATGGCGCCCAGGGAGGGGTCGTCGCGCGAGTCGCCGCCTCGGCTGCGGGTGGCCTCCCACTCCTCGCTGTCGGCATCCAGGTAGGCGCGCTGGCGGGAGAGGTGCGGGGAGAGGGAGTAAGAGCTACCATAACCATGAGGTGAGGGGGGAAGGGATGGGGCGTGGAGTGGTGGGCATGGGAATCGCCAAGGCTACCGCAGCAGTAGCAGCTCATGTCGACAGTGGTTGGTAAGGCTGGTATCCTCGGTACTTCTAGGGCTGCTGGTTGCTGCAGGAGCGGAGGGCAGGTTAAGGGCAGTGCCTGCTCACCTTCCACTGCGTGTTTCCACGGACACGGTTGCTCGGCTTGCCCCACCTGCGTGGGTACGGGGTGGATAGAATGGCTCGCGATGCTGAACATGTATCAACTAGTTGTCGTTCACGTTATGCTCTCAGTTCCCCACCTTGCGCAGTATAGCCGGCGCCACAAAGCGTCTTCAGATGCTAGACTGGCAAGCGCAGAGCAGGAGCAAGCGCACGCCGTGAGCCCAGTTGCTGGGACAAGGGAAAGTATTCGAAGGAGCATCTCGCGTGGCAGGCTGAGCAGCGTCAGCGGTCCAGGGCAAAGTCGTGGAGCCCTCGCGAAATGGGGCTCCAACTGTCCCAGGCTGAGCCCAGATCCAGCTGCGGCGTCATTTTCGATTGGGTCATGAGTGGCATTTTCCTCTGCATTTAATGCCTGACTCGGTATCTCCTGCGTGGCATTGTATTCAATGGTTGACCCTTTTGGAGGTCCCAGCCTCCACCAGAATAGCAGCAATGCAATTAACTCTCTGACCTCGTCTGCGGCATCCCAAGCTGCAAATTCTTCGTCAAATGCGCGCTCTAACTCATCACCGTCCGCATTGGATGTCGCCATGACTGTAACTAGGTATACTCAAATACCGTAAAGCAAATGCGCAAAGCGCGTATATATACTTCACGCTCGCAGTTCTGTTGATAGGTTGGGCTGGTAACTGCAGATCCTTAACCCCACGGCAAGAGCACGGCACACACGCACGTAAAGCTGCCAGCGCAAGCAGCCGTTCATCGCCTGTCACCTTGTCCCCGCTTAAAGCGGTCTGGGCAGCTTTTCAGAATGGGGCATTCACCGTATAGTTGCTTCTAAACAACACATGCGCCGTTCACACGTGGTTCTACGATAGCCAACACGCACAGTTTCCCCTAGCAAAAGAAAAAGCTGCTCAACTTATGCCCTTTTTCGCATACTAGGCTTTTCCTAATGGCAGGGGAGTGTGCCCGGTGCGTGCCCTTATGCCTTGGGTCGTCATCCTTGGGTCCCTTACAATAAAGCTGCCAGCCACGCTCCGTGCAGGGTACACCTGCCCTTGGGCAAAGAGGAAGCGATGGCAAGCTGACGCGGTGGGACTGTTTGCGATGCTATTGGTGTTCGAGGTAGAACTGAACGAGGCATGTGAGGCGGAGTAATGTGGGCGCCTTTTGACAACCCAAACGGGGGAGCGACCCGACATCAGTCCTCAATGCAACCCCCACGAGCTTTATGAGTTGCTAGGAAGAGTATCAGGCCGTCGACGGTGTGGCTACGACAGAGTGTTGCACGCAATGGTTGTTATGGTTTCGAAGAGTTAAATGCATTGTGCACAAGTTGTCTAGCAGCACCAAGCCTAACAGGATTGGCGAAAATGGCATTCGGCGATTTGTCCTGGCATTGTTTCGGAGCAGCAAGCCGTACAATGCTTTCGTGCAATCCGTACAGAGCGCAGCGCAAAAGGTGTGACGCAACCGCAGATCCTGGCTCTAGTAATTGAATACACTCTAACCAATTAGCTCGCGGTAAGCCGACTTTTCTGCAGGTACTTTTAAGGGTTGCGTGCTTTACCAACGTCAGAAATTAACGTATTATGTTTAGCTGCAGCCAGTAAACATTACAAACATTAGTTTATACCAATCGTATAGCGTGTCCACGTCGCTTTAAAGTTGTTAGCGTTGCCTTCTGTGCTTGTTTGCGCTTTCCGGTCGAATGCCCGAGTCCGAATCTACAGAGGGCGTTGAGGTGCTGCATACTAGACAAGTAAGGTTGCAGAGCTGCAAACTAAAGCACTTCGAGTGAAACAATGACCCTGACCCTGCTCCGTCTTCAGCAACATGGCGCTGGGCCAAGCAGAACAGGTAACAACTTGTTGCTGTTGCTTTCAGAGGTCTGTTCACCTGTTAACCCTTTCGTGTCCCTCAAATTAACAGTCAAAAGCACGGCAACGACGCGACAACAGCAGCCAGCTCGGCGACGGGGCCTTCGCCAGCCTCCCGAAGAACCCCAACAGGTACTTAACAGATGAGATGACAACCCTTCTTGCCGTCGTGAAAACGCTTGTAATCTCTCGCGCAGAACGTGCCGAGCGTCATTGACCTAACCGCTGACCGGCCCGACGATGATGACGACGTGGAGATTACACAAATTAAGAACGTGAAGCGGCCCAGGCGGCAGGATCTAGGGGGAACGTCAGGGGCGGGCGTGCAGGCCGCGTTGCCTGCTGCACAACCACAGCCCCCTGCCCCGCCAAGCCCCAAGGGCTACAAGTGCATCATTTGCTACGATATCATGGAGAAGGACCTCGCGACCACTACATGCGGGTGCGGGGTGCACCGGATGGGTTTCATAGGGGCGGGTAATGCTGCTAAACAGATTGCTTTTTGGAGTATGGCTTTTACCTCCTCGTATGGAGCCGCCTTGCCCGCAATTGCCGCACCTCCGAAAACTGTAGGGAGTGTCTTCACGCTTGCTACAGAACCGCGTGCGATTTGAACGTTCCTGGCGAACGCCATGCCGCTGTGCACTCCATACAACATGTCGTAGCGCTATGTGCCTGTTGCTGATAGGTGGCCGATGACTGAGACCCAAACCCTGCCCATCGTCCCGTCCTGCAGGCATATGTTCTGCTTCAAGTGCATCAGCGAGTGGGTACAGAAGAGCGGCAACGTAAGTAACGGTTGGGTGCGCTCTTGTCATCAGCATGGAGCAACGTTGCCGTGGGATGGAGCCAGGTGCAATGTGGTGCAGTGCGTTGCATGCCCCCGACCACTGACGGCATGCACGGTAAAAATGCACCCTCATGTTTTTTTTCGCCGGGCCCTTCCGATTTTGCAGTGCCCGCAGTGTCGCGGCAAGCTCACCAAGTCCAAGATCATCCGCATTTATCCGCCGTCTTAAGAGCTTGGCGGCGCAGGAGCATTGGCCCCTGCTGGTGGCGTTGGTCTTCGGATGTGACCAGCAAGGGGAGCGCAACTGTGCGCTGTGCTCCTCGTTCATCGGATGTTGCCAACCAAACGCTGCTTGCAGCTACAGAAGCTGTTGTACATATAGTAATATAATTGTCTTCTTCCACCGGATTGTGGCAGGCAAGTGGCAACCTGCCTGCTGTGGACAGAAAGAATGGTGAAGGGGCTCATGACCTGATATGCTTTTAAGCCGAGAGCCCCATGGGGAGCGGCAGGATGATGCAGAGGGTTCGAGTACGGGCATGGAGTATGGTGATGCGTTCGTGATTCTGACAGTCCTGGTTGCCATAGACCATGGCATGCATGTTGGCTTTGCAAGAGTGGTCTGCCGGGTATAAAGCACCTTTCCGTCGCGAGGAGCTTCGGTGGGTGTTGTCGTACAGTTACAGTTACCAGCTAAGTTCTTGCATCATTACGCCTTACGTATTCTGTAAGAGCGATGCTGAAGCGACGCGTAAAGCATGGCCGTATCGTGACATATATACGGCCGGGGTCATCCACCTGCTTCGAAGGGGTAATGCGCACCCATGCTTGCAGTAGCTTTGTGCTGGTTGCTCGCCCACATAAGACCACAGCACAAGTATGCGCGTCCATGTACCCATCGTGTCAGGCTGCGTGTCCACCCTGCAGTGATGCAGCGCACGGCCCCAACATGCATAGGATACGGGGGAACTAAAAAATGGCCTAAAGCAATAACATCTACTGCACGAATGCTACAGTACCATACCGCCCGCAGTCATCCAGCGTATCACAATGAGTACGGACCCCTGCGGTATGAAGGCTTTCGGCATCGCTGCCCTACTACTGTCAGTCGGTCTCTTTGGCGCAGACGCACGGCGCCAGCAATCCTGCCTACTAAAGGTCCAAGTCATCGTCATCGGAGCAGCTCACAACGACATCCAGCTGGTCTGCACCGGGTCGCGCACGCCGCGCCCCCGCAGGCGGCGGCGGTGGAAAGTCGTCATGCTCCAGCAAAGTAGACAGAGGCGGCGGCTTCTGGCGCGAGGGCGGCCGATTGGCAGTGCAGGCCACGTCCTCGCCGACAGGGCCTGGGAGCACAGGAGGGAAGTTGGGGATAAGGTTGGATAACCGTCAATCCAGCCCTTGAGCCTTAAAACACGTGCAACCGGAAATATCGCTAGGCGTCAGACGCAACGGTTCCGAAACACGGAATCTCAAGCCCGCCAATGATCTAACACTCACCATGTGCCCTTACGCTGGGTCCCGACGAAGGCCTCGTGCGATACGAAGTGGGCGCGGCGCTTTGCGGCCGCACTCCCAGCGTCCTCCCTCCGCCGCCAGGCCGCCCCAGTCCGCCTGACGCCAGCATGCTCATCTGCTGTTCGGGGGTCCACAGGTGCAGCGCCTCGGGCGGCGGCTTCTGGCGGCTGGGCGGCCGCTGCAGCTGCATGGCGATGTTGGCCTGCCACACGGAGGGGTCCAGCTCCATCTCGCCACGCGACCCAGGCGGCCGAGCGCTCTGCACCTGCCGTGTAGGCGGCCGCGCTAGGCTCTGCGCCTCAGCCGCCAGCTGCCGCACCTCGGGCGGCACCTCCATACCGTCCGGCTGCGGCAGGGTGCAGGTAGCGGCAGGAGGGTGTAGTTGAGTTGTCAGGGAGCGACCAGCGGGGCCGGAATCCCGGTTTGCTAAGGGTCACGTTTATGGTGGGATGCGCTGCCTTTGCCTACCCAGCTGCCAGCCATAACGTAGACAGTGACCCCTTCGCAAGGCCCTCTCAGCACCTCCCACTCAAGCCACGCTTTCTACCTCTTGACTCACCTTCTGCGGCTTGGCCCACTTGGAGCCCGACGCAGGCCGCCCCGAGCCTGTAGCTGCACCGGCACTCGACGCCGCACCCACCGCGCCGTCACCCGTCCCACCACTTGCAGCAGCCGCTGCTGCGGGCCGACCACGGCTGCTCAGCGGCCGGGCGGCTAGCGCCTGCAGGTTCGCTGCCCCGCCCGCGCCATCCCCAGCGGGGCCTCCCCCGAATGCGCCCTCGCGTGCGCTGACGCCCCACGGCGGCGGGATGGCGCCCATAGGCGTCTTGGGTGACGTGTGGGGCTTCCCCAAGCCGGCTGCGCCACCGCCGCCGCCACTAGGCAACGGGTCTCCAGAGCGAAGGATGGGCGACGGGCCGCCAGCAGCAGCCGCGCGGCGGTCTCCACGGCTTGAGGTGACAGCGGGCATGTCTGGGGAGGAGGGGTTGCTAATCATGAGGAGGTCAGTACCACTGGCGCCAATGGTGGTGGCGGGATTGGAGGCAGGGGAACCGGCTTCCCGGCCGCTGTTGGGGGTGGGTGTGAAGAGAGAGGCGGAGAGGCCGCCCAGGTCCACCTGGTGGGAGGGTGTGCAGGTGCAGGCGGAAGGGAGAGGGCACGGTCTTGTGAGCGTGGCAAGTGAGGCTTCCTTTGAAGTGAAGTGAAGTAAGGTATGAAGAACACTCGATGTGAGGATGGGAAACCAGCAACAAACCAAACCAACAACACCAGGACAATGGGCAGCAGGCTTAAGGGGGTAACCAAAAGGTGCCTCGGCTATCGGCTCAGCATGTAAGAAGCAAATCCATGCTGTTGAGTCAAGCACGCCAGCACGCGAAGCATTAGCGACACTGCACTTGGTCACCACCTCACATCCAATGTATTGCAGTTCCCCACCCCATTTAAGACCCCGCCACATAACCCTCTCCAGCTTCGCCCACCTGCTTGATGATTGCGTGGTGGTTGGCGCTGTCCGCAGACATGCCGTGTGGCGTGTTGGGGTCGCCTCTCCCCATGGAGGGGCTGCTCACAACGGCGGCGGTGGCGGGGCGCAGGTCCAGCGAGTTGGAGAACGCCATGGCGGAGGCTGTGGGGGCGTCGGGGGAGACAAAGGGGCTGAGATGTAGATGGAGTAAAGGAGCAGCCCGTAGACTTTGGGGCTCCTTGGTTGCGAACGTGCTACAGATCAAGGATAAGGGATGTCCTCGGGAATCCTTTTGGTATTTGTGGCTAGCCACACGAACGCACACAGTACGTCCCGACTCGCGGACAGCTTTCTTAACACGCACGCACCCGACCCCCTCACCTCTTGACGACAGCCGACGCGCATGTCGTGGAGAGTCTAGCAGCGTGGAGGGGCTGTGCTGCTCGTCATCACTGCTGTCCATGTCAGGAATCAGCGACATGCCACCGCCACCACCACCCGGCCCCCCGCACCCTGCCGTACCGCCCCCAGCAAACATGTCCTCAAACGTGGGCGTGCACCGCCCGCCTGCACCCCGACCCGCCTGCTGCACCGCCGACCCGCACCCCCGGGAGCTGCTGCTGCCTGCACCCCGGGGTCCCGAAGCGATCCCGGAGGCTGCAGTGCCTGTGCGGCTGCCGCTGCTGCTGCTCAGCCGCAGCAAGCTGGGAGGCGCATTGCCAGCCCCCGGTAGGCCTGCTGTTGCGCGGCCGCTCACGCTGCTTAGCAGCTGCCGCCCTCCAGCCTCAACGCCTGCAGGCATTGTCTGCTGCGACAGCATCTGCATCTGCGAGGGTGAAGCTGGCGCCGCGGAGTCGGGCGAGGTGAAGAGCGGGTCCTCCTCCTCTGTGCGTGTGCTGGCGTTGCCTGGGGAGCAGGGCACCGACTCCTCGCTGTCGGCGCTGACGCCCAGGCCGGATGTGGCGGCGGCTGAGGCGGGTGTGGTGACCATGCGCTGCATGTACTGGTCAAGCGTGAGGCCACTAACGCCGTTGTTGGTTGTGGGAGAGGCGGACTCGTCCTCCTCCTCCGGAATGTCGTCATAGCTGGGTGGGGGAAAACATGTTGGGGTGTGGTGGAGTGGTGTCATGTGCCATGGAGAGGCGAGGCCAGAGTGCGGAAGCTACTGGGATAGGCGCAAGACTGGAAACTGTGGAAAGCCTGGGAGACATGCGTTTTTCAGGGAGCGGAGCCAAGCAGGAAGCAATCGACTCAACTGTAAGGGCGGTTACTAATTTAACGCCGGCACAAAGAGCCCAAAAGAGCCCCCATAGCCCCATGCGCGTCACAGAGACGGCTGGCTCTTCCGTTCGGCGGCTCCCTCTATCACGCAACATACCGAGGGCACTTCTGTAGCCCACAACACTTTATCGGCTAAGACCTCATGCAGTCAGTGCCACCCACCCAAAGCTCGTGGAAGTCATCTCAACCTCTCGACCAGCCAGCCCGCCTCCATGACCGTGAGAGCCATGATGGGCGGAAAGGTGGTGATGTTGGTGAGGGTATGACACCGGTGCCGCTCCGGCCATGCCACCCGCGCCTCCGGCGCGTAGGGAGGATTGCTGGTGCTGCAGGTTTGGGCCAGAGGCAGGAAATGTCGGACTACACAAAAAGCGCCTTACATGGAACATACGGAGCTTGGGCACAATAGTGCTGGGCCACATCACGGTTAGCTTTCGACTCTACCAGACCGCTTACCAGTGTCGTCGCTGGCCCTGCCTCAGCTGCCAGACTCCCTGTGCCGCTCTCATGCCGCCCGCGCTGTGTGGACCGCGGCCCCGACAGCGCGGTTGTGGCTCGCGGTCCAGCTTGTTGTTGCTGCTGCTGAGCCGTGTTGGCGCGCGAAGAGGGCTGCTCACCGGGGCGCCCGTGGCTCCCTTGCAAAGGGTGCTGGTGACTTGGCTTAGCGGCCGGTCCTACGGTAGCACCAGCCATTGGCTGCAGGGAGCGTTGCACCGCTGAGCCATATGTTTGGTACAGGCGCGTCCCAGTGGACGTGCTTACTGTAGGCGAGGCACTGCTTGGAAGCGAGGAGCCGCGGGGTGTTGTCTGACCACTGCCCGCGGGAGTGGTAGATGGCTGCTGAAGTGGATGTGTTTGAGGCGACTGCTGTGATTGTGGCCGACTAGGGGGCCGAGAGCCCTGCCCTTGCGAGCCCCGTCCTCCAGGCGGCTGCAGGTAGGGGGACTGGGCAACGGTGGCACTAGGCCGCGATACAGGCCTGCAGGATTGCGTGGAAGAGTGTGAGCAGCAATTCAAGGTTTGGAAGGTTAGGAACAAAATACGATGGATTCAATAGTATTGTCCAGGGCCAGTCGCCTTCCAACGACCTGCCTTACCTTGCCTCTACGCTCGTCCGCAGAGGGGCGTCTCTGCTAGCGCGAGATACATGCGCAGTATATACAGCACCATCCGACCGAATCTGTTCGTCTATTTGTGGGTTGGGCGTTACCCGTGTCTGCTGGGCACCTGCTGGGCGCAACATGTGAGGCATTACGACTAAAATGTCGACTAAGCCGCATCTGCATATGCAAAGGACCAACGCAAAACACTGTCTTACCGATGCTATTTGGGCGACTCCCGGAAATGAGAATTTCAGCGGCAGTTTTTTCAGACGTTCTGTTACCACCGGAAAATTGTGAAGCGGAGTGGTTGCCAGGTACAGAGGGCTGTCTTTGTGCCAAGCCTGTGCTGCTAGACACAGCAGCGGGGGCGTGCTCTGAGCTCTGACGAGCTGACCGATCAGAAGCAGACATTTCTCCGTCTTAGCTCGGAGCTCATCTGGCGCCCTTGGTAGGGCCCTAACATGCTACCGTTACAGCATTTTAGGTAAGGCGTTATAGTTCCTGGAAGCCGTGTAAGATGCCTCCAGGCGATGTCCACATCGTTTCGGTCCGTTACTTTCTTAGGATACAAGCAACCCTAAAGTCATAGCATAATATATAAAGGCTATGCATTAGTTATATGTAACATTAAGTAACTGGTCCAATATCAGCAAGCATGGTACGGCCTCTTACCGTGCAGCGGACTGCCACGTACCCGGCGCCCATGCCCCAAGTTGATCTCTGCAACTTCCGCCACCGGAAAATGTCGGCCACAAACGTACATATGTAACACTACACCATTACCGGTATGCGCAATCACCTAGAAGATTAACGCTTCCTAAGGTAGAGCTAACCACCCTAACCCCAATAGCCTGACAAGAACGGACGCCCTTGCATTTTCCTCTCTAACCTAGACGAAACGCCAGAAGCCCAAATTGAAGGAAGCAGGATAACAGCACATAAGCATCAGCAGCCATTTAAGCGTGCAACTACTGCCCGGATAGGCTGCGCCGAAACACCATGTCAAGAGGAATACACTTGCAACCAACATGCATATGAGCAGCATGCGCTATGCTATCATCGTCTTTGATCTCTCTCGTCCAGTCGAGGCGTCATGAGTCCAGTCATTAGCAAACAACTACATCCCGGCACAGCAAGGCTGCCTGTCATTGTGTCGCCTTTGCACTGACCTGCCTGGCAATTACGTTGCGTAGCTGTCCGTAAGCAAGTAACAGGCGAAATTAAGGACTCCGAGCACCATCCGTCGCAGGCCGCCGCACAATACGACACTTGCACCCATCCGAATGCTAGCGAGCCAACGCACCAGACTCCTCCCGCCTCTCTTTTAATGTCTACCGTATACAATACGTTGTCTCGGCGTCCGGCTTTAGCCTTAGCAACGTTCAGTTGTCCTCATCGTGAGGACAACCCCATTGCCCTACTCCCATGTCCTACTTAGAGTGCGCCTGGCACACGCCGCACATGCACCTATCAAATGTACACGACAATAAACACAGTCAAACTCTGGAATCAGCAATCCTTGTGATACCACACGGGGGGTGGGCTCTATGAACGACGAGGGCAGCCCTTGTCCTTATCCAAGGCAAGCAAAAAGCTCTCGCATACGCGTCAAGGAAACCATGTCAAGACCATGTCATGGGGTGCAGCAACGTACAGACGTTGTTCGTTCTCATGCCGGCTCGCTACCCTCACAAGTACCTTCAAACATGCGGCGGGGCCAAACAAGCCAAACAACATATTACGAACTTCAGTACCAAGAATGAACTTCACAAGACAGGCCATGTATCAATACTTTAGCATGTGCCACGCTACATCCATGTGCTTAACCGACAGGGCTTAACGGATAGGACATATGGGGACATATGATGCCATATGGGGACATACGGGGCCTTCCATAGGCCTTCCACTGACCACCACGAGCGGCATGTGCCCGCTACATCACCCAAACAAGTTGATGCTGGTTTTGCCGCCGGGAGGCTGAAGCACAACCTTCCCACAGAACGCGCCCTTTGCAGGCACGAACTGCGCCTTGGGACTCACGCCTCCCCCGCCCCCGTAACCACCTCCGTAACCCCCGCCATACCCCCCACCTGTTGGACTTGAGGCACCGTAGCCCCCGCCTCCACTGCCGTACCCGCCGGCCTGGCCATACCCATTAGAAGCATAGCCGCTTCCCCCGCCCGCCCCTGCGCCATACCCACCGGCCCCTCCTCCGGAACCATATGCGTTATTGCTGCTGCTGTACGCATTGTTGCCGTACGACCCAGCTCCAGCGGCATTTCCGGCCCCATAACCACCCGCCCCGTAGCCGTTTCCGTACGCGCCTGCTCCCATGGGGCTTGGCGCACCGTACGCAGAAGAAGATACTCCAGCACCCTGTACATTGTACGAACTGCCGGTGGCTGCTGCCGAACTGCCGTACGAAGAGGCCCCTCCGTACCCTCCGTACGGTGACGTGTAGCTACTGCTCGGAGTGGCTCCGTACGCGCTGCTGCCGCCGCCGTAACCACTGCTGTACCCTGCAGCTGTTGCAGGAGATGCACCATAGCCCCCTGCGGCACCATACGCTGCTGCTCCTGCACCCGCTCCGCCTCCTCCGCCTGACCCATAAGCCGAATAGGCCGAGGGAAGTGCTGCGGGCTGCGAAACGGCACGTCGCCCTCCTGAGGGCGGCCTCCGTGCCGTTGGCGCAGGCAGGTTGAGCTGCGTTGAGAGGTCGGAGTTGGCGGCCGCGCCGTAGCCACCGCCGCCGCCGTAGCCGGCCTACAGGCAGCGCAGCGGCGCAAGCAAGGAGGGTAAAGGGTAAAGGAATTGAGAAGGAGCATTAGATGCATGAGGGAGATTGCGGGTGTGTGGGGAACGGACAGCTGGATGTTGGCTGAGGAGCGTGTGGTGTAATGGCAAATGGGAGGAGTGAGGTACCGGTGCTGGTGATCTTGGGACGTGTCCTGTAGTTACGTCCCAAAGCAACCGATGCTTTCCAAGTGCCGTCTGCGACATCTGTAATGGTTAACGGACCCGCTCGCGCAAGACACTGCTCACCCCGTACGCGCCGCTGGGAGAAGCTGCAGCGTTTCCCCAGCCGGAGCTTAGGCCGCGGCCCGCGGCTGCATACTGGTTGCTGTAACTCGAACCCCCATACGCGGCCGACGAATCGCCCCCAGCACTGCCGAAGGTTATGGAAGATACTCCACCGGGCGGCTGCATAGCGCGCCGGCCCGCAAAGGTACCCGCTGCGAATGGCCAAATGCAAGCAATTGTCGGTAAGACGCCAACGACATTCGATTGGTGTTTTTAGGTAAAAGAGTGTATATCTGTTGAATTCCAAATGTAACTCGATAGTTGCGGGCACGATTTTAATATGCTACCGGTGACAAGGATACTTACGAGCGCCATAAGCTGGTGGCTGCATTATCTGGGGCTCAACAGCCCGTTGTACAGGTGATTTAGAGCTCTGGCGTGAGCCCCAAACGTGGTAAGACGCGTAATGGGTATTGCGGTGAGCGCTTAAGAACTCTTCCTCGCTCAGCTGCATACACTCAGAGGGTGAGAGAACCCATCTTTGTGGTTTATAAGGCACTACAATTGATTGATAATATAGCTTTAATAGAATAGAGGAAAGCGTGGAAGCTCTGGGTCAAGGTGCAAGCCTAACTGGATAGAAGCTAGGGAAGAAGAGAGGAACAGAATTGTTGTTAAATGCTAGCTTTGTTGTATAGACAGTATTTCAAGGTGGCTACGTCCGTCATACGCTTCGGGTAGGTCTTAGACGGTTGCACGGAAGTCATATGGTGTCCCAAGCCCACCTCGGCATGCTGGGCATGGGTAATGCAAGAATCCAGATCACTCCTTAGTTTTACATGCGTGACTTATTTACGTACAAGCACCAACTCGACGTTTCAGGGCCTGCGACCAACGGTAATAAACGAGGCACCTCCGATGGGCATAGCAAGCCGATAGATGCATTCCAATGTGCACAGTAACTTGCTCCTTATTGCAGATACGGTTTTCAAGAAACAAGTTGGTGTAAGAGCAACAGGCGCATGTCGCCAGGTCGGCATGTCACTTTGTACATCTTGCAGCGCGTTCTTGCTCAGACGCGCTCTTGCTCATAACTATTTCCCGCAACCCAAGTCCCGCTCCATTCCACGGCTGGCGTCATACGACTGAGGCTTAGCCTTCACCCCCTTCACTGCTCAACACCCTTCGCAGCGCCCCCGCCCACACCTCCCAAGCCGCCGGCTCCCGCGCCTCCTCCGCCTGCTCCACATGCACAAACGCGCCAAAGCACCCCGCACCCCTGCTTCCAGGGCCCCAGCCGCCCGGGCCCTCCTCCGCTGACCTCTCACACGCATGCGTCCGCGGCACACCATTCACCACGCGTCCGAATACGTTCCTCCCTGCCACCAGCACACAGCCCGGATCCTCAGGCGGCGTGCGCACCGCCCATCCCGCCAACGCCGCCGCCTCCCCCGGCGCCGTCAGCGCCGCCACCAGTCGAGCCACCGCCGTGTCGTTGCGGCCGTAGAAGGCACTGGCGTTGCGACCCAGCCCGGCGGAAGCGAAGACGGTGCTGCCTGGGCAGCTTTCATCGGCCTTACCGTGCAGCTGCAGAAACACAACCTCCCCGCCACCGCTGTCGCTGCTGCTGTCGCGGCTACCGTCGTTGGTAGTGCCAGCACTGCTGCTAGCTGTGACATCGTTATGAATATTGCCGCCGCCGCTGCTTCTGTGGTTGCGGTCGTTGCCATTACCGAGGCCAACATCATAATATCCATCTTGGCCGCCTCCGCCGACCCCGCCACATGCATTCCCTGCCGAATCTAGTTCCAGATCCAGCAGTGCGTACGACAGCGCGTTGAAGGCGTCCTGGTCGTTGTGGCTGGGGTCGCTGGCGGGGTAGCCAGCACCGGGCAGGCATGTGGAGGGTGCGGAGGTGGCGGCGCGGTGCTTGCCGGAGACCACCACAGTGCGTGCGTGATGGGGCAGCCGCCGGAAGAGGGCCACGGCCTTGCGGGAATGCAGTAGACCCGGGACATGGGAGAAGCCGAGTGGGGACGGGATCGCAGCAGTCAAGTGCGTAACAGCCCAGCAGATATCAAACGAGCTAGGGAGGAGAAGAGTTCGGCCATGCTGGTATGGGACACAAGTGTGCGTCATGACGGGGCGAAGGAAAGCACTCCAATGATACATGCCTTGACGGTGCATGCACGTGCGTTGGCTTTCATCACACTGGTTGCAAGTCACCACTTGCTATACGGTGTCCGTCGCACCCTTGCACTCTCCTTTCCTCGCACCTCACCTGCAGTTCCACGGGCCCCTCAAAGCTCGGGTGCGGGGCCCCAAGGTGCACTCGCCGGCCGCCTGCCCCACCCCTGCTGTCGTCGTCCACCCACAGCCTAGAACAGCGGGTCGCTGCGGACTGCCAGCGCTGCTGCTCCAGATGCTGCAACCTTCGCTCTGTCGTAGCCCCCGCATCAGCTGCTGCAACCATGACGGTTACTCCATGGAAGGCTATAAGAGGTTTAGGGCGACCCATGGGTCGTAGTAACATCCACGCCCACCCCGCCACAAAGCGTCCATCCTTGACTTGCTCCCGCAGCACGCACACCTGCTCCCCGGTATCAGCGTCCACGAATGTAGCCGGAGGCAGGTACACGGCCTGCAGGGAAGAGGGAGAAAGGCAAGGAGGAACGCGGAAGAATGGCATCTCGGAGCGAACACCTACAGCGCGCTGGCCCCTGGGCTACGTCCCTTGGCATCCCCATCCAACCTAAAGCTGCTACCGGTCCCCGGCCCCCAGACTGCAGCCTCACCAGGGTCACCACCCACCTGCAGCGACTCAGGCAGCGGCAGCTCCCCGCATGCCGCCGCCCCACTCGCCCCCGCCATGTCCCGCACTAGGGCCGCTAGGTCCCGCCGCTGCGCCTCAGTGGGAGTGTAGGGGGCGCCGGGTGCGGCCCAGGCGGACGCGGGGACGGAGGCTGCAGGGAGCACGAAGCGCTGCATGCAGGCAGCTAGTTGGTCCAGGGTGCGCAGGGGCCGGCCGTTCAGTTGCTCACATAGGTGCAGCGGGTCAGATAGCTGTGCAAGGTTTTCATCATGGCCTTTGTTGGAGTTGGGATTGGGGATGCCGGTAATCCTGGAGCGTTCCGTTTGGTTGCTGGTGGTGGCGGTGGTTGTGGTGCGGGTCAGAGGACGCCGGGGCAGCATCACGGCGGCTGCGAAGGTCAGGGTAAGGAGCGCTGCGCAGAGATAAGTTCTGCGCAGCATTTTCACAAGTAAACAAGAAAGCAAACGACGTTATTTAACATCGGAAGGATAGCAGTGAAATAGTAGGCAAGGAACTGCGAGGATGACGGGTGGGCTGGAGGGACACCAAAGGGCACGATACCGGTTAATGTTGGGACAATGCGTAGTGCGTGACCCAGACAAAACGACGATGCACAAGAAAATGAAAGCTTTGTTGAGTCGAATCAAACGGTAATGACGCAATATAACGCACATTAGGACACACGTGTGCGCACCATGCGAGCGAGCGAAGATCCGAGCCCTCAAACTGCATGCTAGGCTTGCACCCGAAGTTACAGCCAATTAAACAAATAATTTGGTTAAGTGACAGTCGACAGACCATGTTTGTCTAATGGTATACCGGTACTGCTAACACAAGTTCGCAATGTTTCCTCGCCTTCAAAGGCTACCGCTATGGCGCTTCGTACGCTCTTTGCGCTGCCACAATGCTGATATAAGCTTCTCCGCTTTAAGCGGCAGTGGTGTCGAGTGCTACGAGGCCTCAAACCGGAGGCAGGAACAGGATGTTTTCCGGGACGGTGACTACGCGCGAAGCAAAAGCTGGCCCTCGAAGGAAGGCTTCCTTCCAGTTGAGACATGGACGTCCGTGAGAGGTTTGGCGGGAGCAGCGCGATCAATGCTGAAGGGGCGCGACAGCCCTAGCCATCGCAAGCATCGTTGTCCACCAGGCTGGTCTCCGCCCCCTACGCGTGTTACGACGTTTTTGGCTGAGTGAGGGTCGTAGAAGCAGCAGCATGGTACAACCACTGTGCATGGGGCCTGCATGCATGCAGGTACTTGCCATCGGGTGTTGGGAATGCATGCATAGCGAGGGCGGGCATGCACGGGCGATGCATGTTGGGAAGGTGCCTCTAAGGAGCTGACAAAGGAGCGGATAGGAGGGAGGATGACACCTAGATATGGGCAAGCAGGGCAGGTGGCGATGGGAGGACCACACTCAGAATTAAGCCTCAGTGCGCAGTAATCCTGATTTGCCGTACAACAGGAGGAGCATGCGCCCAATCACACTGAGGAGCCCGTCTGTCATCCGCATTCGCGAAAACTAAGACAACCAGCCACTATGTCACATGATATTGTCTGCAACCGGAGGTAACCGAACCCCCGCCAAAGTATGGACGTACGACCAATGCCCAATGACCAATGCATATGCCTGCTAGCCCTGCACTGGCGTCCCTCTCCACCAGCTGGGCCTCCTCTCTCAAGGCTCTACCATGCAGGAAACCTGCAACAGTTCTCCAAAGACAAAAGGAGCCCCGTTCCCCGCTTGCCCGGTGCTTGACAGCCCCTGCTAACCGTGCTGGACATACCGCGCATGCTAGTTGCTTCTCAACATCGGTCCCAGCCAGGATACCAGTGCTGCTGGCCCTACACAACATCCTACATGGCTGGGGCTCCAAGGCGTCCACACAGCTCAACATGGTAGATGGTAAGGGAGGCGGCTGGTTCTAATGGGTGCAGCTGCCGCTATCGAGCTATCACCCCCCTGGTTGGCAACAAGTGACTCTACAAACACACCTACAGCAGCCCCACGGGTCTCCAGTTGGAAGCAGCTAAGCCCGCCGCTACAGAGCAAGCTACACTGGTGACAAACACACTCATAGTCATGGTTCTGTCCCAGGTGTCAACATAACTTGATGCAACGGCGCAAGTGTCGAGTGGCAATCATGTAAATGCGGAACAAGCTCATCCGTCATAGCCGTACCATCATCATGTCGGCATGCAAACATGCCAGCAAAAACACGCTAATGCAGTGCATCTGCACATGGCCATACGATATGAGATGATGCCACTTCTGTAAGGAAGTATGACTGAAGAAGTAGGTTTCTTGCTAGCTGCCGTGGTGCGTGGAAGCAGATGGCGCGCTTGCATGGGTGTACGACAGCGATGGCAAATCGACCCAGCCTATCAGGGCTGTCCACGCGTTTGTGCTTTTAACTGCCGTTGTGATTGATAGTATCGGGTGGCCATCCCTCTGCCGGGATTGTGGCCGCCTAGGTCCCACCCACCCGCCCGAGGTCGCGCCTAGCGAGTGGGGGTTTGCTTGCGTTTCGTCTTTAGTAGGACAACCAGTTTGGGGAGCTACTTGGACACCGGTCTCTCAATTAAGGGGGTCAATCGGCAATCGAGGTGCAACACTGGGTGCTGTCAGCACAATCGGCCACTAGTGCATCTTAAACATGGGTTGGGGCGTCGGGATGTGTGGGTTAGGGTAGGGTTCTTGGCGTGGAGGTGACGTACGGCTGGTTGGCTTCGGCTTACATTATCTGCTGTAACGCATCACGGCAGCTAAAGCAAGAAGCGCGATGGTCCCTCTCTATCTAGGTATCTACATTTGTCCCGGCAACGCCAGGCCTAGCAAGCGCGCCATGTACTGCTCCCGGGCCTTAGGTCCTTGCAGTTTCCCCCACTCCCAATACGGCACGCTCACCACGTTTCCCGCCCCAAACACACGCCCCAGCTGCCTGTCTCGTAGCTGGGTGGGCCCGGTCTTGATACGCCGGTGGCTGGCCAGGAAGTTTGATGGCCCGTATATCTCCACTGCCATGCGCCTCCCTCCCCCCACTTCAAGCATGATGTGCACACAGCCGCTGATCCCATCCACCTGCTGTTTCTGCTGGATGGAGAGGATGGTGGGACCAGTAGTGGTGCTGCTGCTGCCGGTGACGTTGCTGCTTGCGTTCTTACTGCCCGTACTTGCTGTCTGCCCTACCAAAGCTGGGCTGCTTGCTAACTGCCGTTGGAGTTGTGCAAGGGTCTGTGTCAGTTGCTCCTGGAACGGTGACGCGGCGTTGTCATCCGCCACGCGCTCCTCCTCAACAGCACGCTTCATGGCACACAGCAATGAAGTGCTGCGCTCGCCATCAGCTGCTGCAAGGATTCGGCTCAGCTGTTTACCACTGCCCCTGCCGCTGTGCATGTGCCCGAGCTCCTGCTGCACCTGCCACAGCTGCCTTAGCTCTTCCCAGATAAATTTTGCCTTTCCTTCCTGTTGCCATCTCCGCACCACCTCCCTCAGCAGCCCCTCCACCAGGCCGCTGTGGCGAGACAGCACGTCAGGACCCATCACCGCCAGCGCCCACAGGCTGTTGGCTAGATCCTGTTCATTTAGTCCCTCCCTCCCCTTGCTGGCCCCCTGAAGCAGCTCCCCCAGCCGCTTCACCAGCACATCCACCAGCCGCTGCTCGTACAAGCCCAGAATAGCCAGAGACCACAGCAGGTTGGCGCAGGCCTGGGAAGTTGCGCTGTTGTGAAGGACCTCCAGGTGCACCTCAGCCTGCACCGCCTGCAGCAGGCCAGGACCAGGGTGATGCCGCACAAGTGCAAGTGCATACCACAGGCTGGACCAAGCCTGGGCACTGGCACCACTCATGGCACCAGGAGCACATGCTGCAATGGCAGCGGCTTTGAACCAGTCCTGCTGGTGCCCAATGGAAGCGGACGCTTCACTATACCCCATCTTAGCCAGTGCCCAGGCAGCATTGCTGAGACCCTGTGCATTGAAGCCAGCAAAGCTGCGGCGCTTGCACTCGGCTGCCAAGGCCTGTACGAGCCCCTCCCTCCCATCTGGCCGCAGCCCCTCCAGAGCCCACAGGATGTTGGAAAGCGCCTGAGGAACAAACGTCCGAGCAGATGGTCCCAGAAGGCGTCGGTGCACCTCGGAACACAACTGCTGCACAGCAGCAGCGTATTCTCCCCCTGAGCACCCCAGCACAGCCAGTGCATACAGGGAGTTAGCCAGGTGCTGGCAGTCGGTGTTAGGCCTCTGCTGCACCAGACAGGCGGCCAGGTGCTGCAGCAGGGGTTCCTGGCGACGCTTCAGCCGTGCACACGCCAGGAGGATGTTGGAGCAGGCCTGGGGGCCGAGCTGCTGGGCGCTCATGTTCCGGATAAAGATTGCGCTTGCATGTAGCAGCCCGTCTGCTTCCGTTACTACTTCCTCTGGTGCCTTGGACAATGCCCACCACAGGTTAAAATGTGCTTGCCCGTCGGCCTGCACCAATAGCCTTCCACCATCCCACGCCAGCCGTCCTAGCAGCGCTGTCACCAGCTGGCGATCCCAGTAATCCGCCTTGGCACACACCCACAGTAGGACGGCGCAGAGATGGGGCTGGGCCAGGTTGGGCACGTGTGGCAGGTAGGCGGCTGAGAGCACGGCCAGTACACGGTGGAGAAGCTTTGCGTCATCGGCACATTGGCATGGAAACTGTGGGGTCGGGTGAGACATCGTGTTTTCTCATAAGGTCAGGTCAGAAAACTTCCAGGGCACATGTGGGGCCCAGAGAGCAGTGGACATCGCGTCTGGAAGGGGCATATATTTCGTGCTAGCAATGCCAACGAGCAGCAAGAATAACTCTACGACATCGCCTCCATCACTGTTTAATTCGACCATGCATCCTACCTACCAACCCTACTATGCCCCAACCTTTGCTTGCATAGCAAGCCCTACCTTGACGGCAATGTCGAAAGCGGCATGCAGATCTGATGGGTGCCATGCCCTTGCTCGAACCTCCGCCTTTGCCAACAACGTAGGCAGGTCACGGATAACGCTGCCATCGACACGAAGGCCAGGGGTGTTGCGCCTCTCAATGCCCGGCCGAGCCGCTCCCGCAAAGCCTCTCTTAATGGTCAGCTGACATGTTTCGGTCGAGCGAAACAACTCTCTCCAAGCCCACGCACAAGCTGCATTACCGCTGCTCCGGAAAACATCCAGTTCCAGCTTGCGGTTCGATGGCTCGCGGCTTATAGTCTCGCTACTGCATATCGAAGTATGAGCTGAGGATATGCTAGGTGCACTGTGACAGCGCAAAGAGCGCGCAAAGCACCGTAGCGGTAGACTGAGACGCGAAAGCATTGCGGGGTTCAATTAACGCATTAACGCATTCGTAGCAAAAGATAACACTCCGTAGCAAGAAATATAAAGGTCGTGCGTGAGAGAACCTCGCTCGAAAGCGTTAAGCAACCTCAGGCGGAGCTAACTTAGTGCATGGAAAAACTGACAATTTTAATGCTTCTTAAATAAAGGCACCCATTAAGCCGTGGTCTACAAAATAAGCATGACCGCAAGGGACACCAAGGGGCACAAGGGAAGTACGACAAGTTGTGCTGTGCGTGGAGTACAATACTGTCTTTCGGTATCCAAAGGTTCAACATGCCGTTATTGATTAACACCGACTCCGCAGCGTAGATCATGGCCGTATCCCTTGTGATGCCTTAATAGGCTCCTCCTTATACTGCGATTGCGCATGTATATTTTACCGTCTGAGGCCCACGTGCATCGCAGCATTCACTGGTAATAAACTACGAGTCTTTCCGCGCTCACGCGGCTGATTAGCGCATATAGACAGCAGTACTGGTTAGATTTGTGATGTGTCAATCGCTCCACCATCCTCCTGATTCGATTCCACCTGTGACGCCGAAACATGGCGTTCGCCGCTTTTCCTCGTTCGCGGTGGTGTATGCGAAGCTTTTATGCTCTAAGCCGCAGCTCTGGTGCTGGCTTCTGCTGCCCATGCAAACAAGTTTGAGCTGTTTTTCCACAGCCTGCATAGTGGGCTTTACTTTGCATGAAGCTACCTACATGGCATGTTTGCACATCGTGCATAACCACTTTCCTACATTCTAGCAAACCACAGAACGTCCCATTGCAGGCAAGCCCGACGGCAAAGACCACCCGAGGGTTGCTGTTTCGTACAACCCTTCCCTGCACCGTACGACGGACAACTACTGCACGTTCAGCGCCGGCAAAGTTACATGACTCTATTTATATCGGTAACACAAGGCGTAGCGATTAACTTCGCATTAGGGCGGTAGTCAAGAAGCGACAACAGCGCTGAGCGCATACATAGGATCTCCGTATAACGTACACCACTACAAGATAGGCTTGGATCCGGTACGGCAATTTTACAGCATTAAGTACACGAGGGAGTATACACCGCTGTTAAACACACGCAAAAAATGCATAATGCATAACCACGGTTCCCGTTTCAGGGTTTCAACTCGCGTCCCATAAGATATCATATGCCCACACCGTCCCCGGTGTCTTCCAACCCCCATTGACGCCTACCCTCGCAAAGGTCACAACACCGTACACCACCTCCTCTTGTCCCCGCCAGCTCCTCTATCTCCCTTCCCCACGCACTGCACGCGCTTTCCGCACTTGCCCCTCATCCTCCTACAGTCCTCACTACCCCTACACTTCTACCTCCCCCGCCGACCTTCCCACCACTCATCCAGGTCAATCCCACCAATAACTCCCCCGCCGACCTTCCCACAACTCCAACAATACGCAGCCCAGCCACGTGCCAGCTTCCTCCTCCTCGCTCAAAGCACCTTCTTCACGTCCCAGAAGCCCGGCCGCTCCTCGAGCACTGCCCGCGCCTTCTCGGCCGAGGTAACCGCCACCACGCGACCCGCGGGTCCGCGCACGCACTCCACCGCATCAGCAAAGATCCTGCGTGTGGGGCGGCAGGGGCAGGACGGCGCAGGGTTCAAGTTGGAGGTTGCCTTAAGAAGGATAGCGGTTTGCATGACGGTAAGGAGAAGCGAATGGAGTAGGAGGATCACACCAGACGGCGTCATGCGCAGTACCCCACAACAGATGCCGTACTCACTTGAAGTCCTTGTTGCTGGTTGCCAAGATCTGCTCCCGCCGCGTCTGCCGCTCCTCATCCGTCACCCCCAGCAGGTGCCGTACCAGGGCCGAGTAGCCCTTGGCGTCGGGCAGCTGGTAGGCGTCGATGTCGCCCATGGTTCCGATGATGGCCTGACAGGGGGTACAGGGGAGAGGGAGAGCCAGGAAGTCACATACAACAGGCTGAAGTATCGTTGCTGCAAGACAGAGGGGCCATTACAGATGCATGCATGCCGTACGAGGGCCCCACCCATCCCTTCACCTTGGTGAGGTCATCCTTTGACAGCTCCAGCGACCGCAGGAATTCCGCCGAGCCGTCGTACGCCTCCAACGTGTCGAGCAGGTTAGGGTCCCTGGGGAGTGGTGAAGAGAGGTGGGTTTTAAGGGGATACAACTCATTTTGGGACTTGCATCCGTCCACACCTGACCGGTAACCCCAGATAATGCAAAGTATAAAGCCTGACTTGGCCTGACGTTAGTCAACAGCCTCTGTTCATAAAACCCCAACCTCTTCCGACCCTCCATCTGTCGCCGCCTTCCCCCGCCACACACGCGCGCGGCCAGCCTCCCGTCCCCACCTGTACGACATGAACGTCATCATGCCCGAGTGCGAGTCGAAGGAGCAGAAGCCGCCGTACGCGCCGCCCACCACCCGCACCCGGTCCCACAGCCACGTGTTGCCCAGGTACTTCTCCACAACGTAGGCGGCGCCGCTCAGCTGGTAGCCGGCGTCGCGGTACAGGTCGGCGCCCTTGGCTACGTAGTTCACCTGGGCGAGTAAGGAGCCAAGGGTGGTGGACAAGAAGGCGGACGGGTGAAAGTCCATGACAAGAAGGAACCCCCAGCCCCTCTCCTTCCCACCACCGCACCTGTGTGGGCACGCACAGCGCCTCATTGCCCGCCGGCAGCAGCAGCCCTGCTCCCAGCGGCCCGGCGGGGGCAGCGGGCGAAGCGGCCGGCAGCGCGGCCAGCAGCTCCCGCAGCGGCCTCTATCTCAGCGGCGGCCAGGGTGGCGGAGTCGGCGGTGAGGTTGACGATGGCGCCGTTCCTGGGTGGGGGGGAGGGAAGAGAGATGGAAAGTATGGGTACGGTAGATAGGATAGGAAGTTGAGATGAGACAAGCAGTATTGTTAGTGAAGACGGAAAGAACCCTGAGCGGTAGTTTTCCCCACACGTGCACGCTGGCTGCACTAAAGAGCTGCAGCCCTCGGTCTCATGTCAACCCATTCCCCCGATTCCCCTGCCTGACTCTCGCAGCCCCACTCCCTCCCCCCCTCCTCCCCATCCCTAGCGTATGTGAACATGTGAAACCCTTGCGGCTCCGAACCGCCTCCTGCTTGAGTGTCCAAACACTCCTGATCATGTGTTCAGTATTCTTTAAGGTAGACCCTTTGCCGGTGTTTAGGGGTTATTGTGTCTGGGTAGCCGCCGTCGCGGCTGTTACGACGTTTTTGGCGTAGTGAGGGTCGTAGACGCAGCACCATGCAACATCCATTGTGCATGGGGGCCTGCACGCATGCAACCTGCCATCAGGTCTTGGGATTGCATGCATAGCGAGGGCGGGCATGCACGGGCGATGCATCTTGGGAAGGTACCGCTAAAGAGCTGACAAGGTAGCGGATAGGAGGGAGGATGACGCCCTAGATAAGGGCACGCAGGGCAGGTGGCGATGGGAGAATAGGAGGTAGCAGGACATCAACCAGAGCTAAGCCTCAGTGCGCGATCCAGACCTGCTGCCGTACAACAGGAGGAGCATGCGCCAAATCGCACTGATGAGAAGCCCGTCTGTCAAACCGCATTCACAACCACTAAGACAACCAGCCACTGTACCGCATGATATTATCTGCAACCGGGGGCAACCGAACCCCCGCCAATCATAATATAGACGCACATACTACTATACGTCCAATGACCCGTCGAGCAATGCATACATCTTTTCACCAGCTGGGCCTCCGCTCTTAAGGCGCTACCATGCAGCAATACCATGCAGCAAAACCGTAACAGTTCTCCAAAAACATAAGAACGTCCGTTCCCCTATTGCCTGGTGCTTGACAGCGCCTGCTAACGGTGCCGCATGCTGGTTCTCAACATCGGTCCCAGCCAGGATACCGGTGCTGCTGGCCCTACACAACATCCTACATGGCTGGGGCTCCAAGGCGTCAATACGGCTTTGCACGGTATCTGGTCAGGGAGGCGACAGATTCTAATGGGTGCAGATGCTGCTATCAACCTAGCACCCCTCTGGCTGGCAGGACGTGACTCCGCAAACACACCTACAGCCCCACGGGTCTCTTGGAGACAGCTAAGCCCGCCGCCACAGAGCACGCTACACTGGTGATAAACAATACTCCTAGTCATGGTTCTGTCCCAAAGGTGTCAACAAAACTTGAGGGAAAGGCGCAAATGTCAAGTGGCCATCATGTAAAGGTGGAACAAGCGCATTCATCATAGCCGTACCATTACCATGTCAGCATGCAAACATGCCAGCAAAACACGCTAATGCAGTGCATCTGCACACGGCCGTACGATATGAGATGCGCGATGGTAACTCTCTATCTAGGTATCTACTTTTGTCCCGGCAATGCAAGGCCTAGCAAGCGCGCCATGTACTGCTCCCGGGCCTTAGGTCCTCGCAGCTTGCTCCAGTCCCAGTACGGCACGCTCACCACGTTTCCTGCCCCAAACACACGCTCCAGCTGCCTGTCTCGCAGCTTGGTGGGGCCGGTCTTAGGATGCCGGTGACAAGCCAGGAAATTCAATGGCCCATATATCTCCACTGCCATGCGCCTCCCTCCCTCCACTTCAAGCACGATGTGTACACAGCCGCTGATCCCATCCACCTGCCGCTTCTGCTGGATGGAGAGGATGGTGGGACCAGTAGTGGTGCTACCAGTGACGTTGCTGCTTGCGTTCTTATTGCTCATACTTGCTGTCTGCCCTACCAAAGCTGGGCTGCTTGCTAACTGCCGTTGGAGTTGTGCAAGGGTCTGTGTCAGTTGCTCCTGAATCGGTGACGCGGTGTTGTCATCCGCCACGCGCCTCGTCTCAACAGCGTGTTCCATGGCACACAGCAATGAAGTGCTGCGCTCGCCATCAGCTGCTGCAAGGATTCGGCTCAGCTGTTTACCACTGCCCCTGCCGCTGCTCATGTGCCCGAGCTCCTGCTGCACCTGCCACAACTGCACCAGCTCTTCCCTTTCAAAAATTGCCTTCCCTTCCTGTTCCCACCTCCGCACCACCTCCCTCAGCAGCCCCTTCACCAGGCCGCTGTGGCGAGACAGCACGTCAGGACCCATCACCGCCAGCGCCCAAAGGCTGTTGGTTAAACCCTGTTCACTTAAGCCCTCCTTCCCTTTGCTGACCCCCTGAAGCAGCTCCCCCAGCCGCTCCCCTAGCACATCCACCAGCCGCTGCTCGTGCAGGCCCAGAATAGCCAGAGACCACAGCAGGCTGGCACAGTCCTGGGAGTTTGCGCTGTTGTGAAGGACCTCCAAGTGCACCTCAGCCTGCACCGCCTGCAGCAAGCCGGGACCAGGGCGATGCCGCAAAAGTGCGAATGCGTACAAAAGATTGGACCACTCCTGGGCGTTGGCACCACTCATGGCACCAGGAGCACTTGCTGCAATGGCAGCGGCTTTAAACCAGTCCTGCTGCTGGTGCCCACTGGATGCAAAAGCTTCACCACACCCCATCTTAGCGAGCGCCCAGGCAGCATTGCTGAGACCCTGTGGATTGAAGCCAGCAAAGCTGCGGCGCTTGCACTCGGCTGCCAAGGCCTGCACGAGCTCCTCCCTGCCATTTGGCCGCAGCCGCTCCAAAGCCCACAGGATACTAGATAAATCCTGAGGAACGAATGACCGAGCGGATGGCCCCATAAGGCGCTGGCGCAACTCGGAACACAACTGCTGCACAGCAGCTGCGTATTCTCCCCCTGAGCACCCCAGCACAGCCAGTGTATATAGGGTGTTAGCCAGGGCCTGGCACTTGGCACTAGGCAGCTGCTGCACCAGACAGGCGGCCAGGTGCTGCAGGAGGTGTTCCTGGCGACGCTGCAGCCGGGCACACGCCAGGAGGATGTTGGAGCAGTCCTGGGAGTTGAGCTGCTGGGCGCTCATGTTCCGGACGAAGATTGCGCTTGCATGGAGCAGCCCATCTGCTTCCATCACTACTTCGTTTGGTGCCTTGGACATTGCCCACCACAGGTTGGCATGTTCTTGCCCGCTGGCCTGCACCAGCAGCCTTCCACCATCCCACGCCAGCCGTCCTAGGAGCGCTGTCACCAGCTGGCGATCCCAGTAATCCGCCTTGGCACACGCCCACAGGGGGATGGTGCAGAGATGGGGTTGAGCCAGGTTGGGCACGTGTGGCAGGTAGGCGGCTGAGAGCACTGATAGCACACGGTGGAGAAGCTTTGCATCATCGGCACCTTGGCAAGGCAACTGTGGGGTTGGGCAAGACACCGTGTAGGTCAGCTGTGGAGCAGAGACAACAGTGGACATCGCGTCTGGAAGGGGTGAGAGCATGTCGTAAACCAGACTTTGCTTTAATCATAAACGCTAGGACAACCCCTGCACAACACGGTAACAGAGGTGCAGGTAGAGGACTGCAGGTGTCGAATTGCGTTCAGACGTTACGATGCCCCACGCATTCGAGCCTATGACAGACGCCACCCAGTAATTTACCGTTCTAGCAATGCCGACGAGCAGCATCACTATGTGTACAACGTCGCCTCCAAAACTTTGAGATCGTAGCCGCCCTGCCTACCAACCCCCTACTCCCCAAACGTTGCTTGCGTAGCAAGGCCCCACCTTGACGGCAATGCCAAATGCTGTATGCAAGTCCGATGGATGCCATGCCCCTGCTCGGGCCTCTGCCTTCTCCAACAACGTAGGCAGGTCACGGATGATGTTGCCATTAAAGCGAATGCCAGGGGTGTTGCGCCCCTCAATGCCCGGCCGCGCCGCTCCCGCAAAGTCTCTCTTAATGTTCAGCTGACATGTTTCGCTCGAGCGGAACCACTCTTTCCACGCCCACGCACTGGCTGCATTGCCGCTGCTCCGGAAGACATCCGGTTCCAGCTTGCGGTTTGACGGCTCGCGGCTTTCAGTCTCGCTACTGCATATCGTAGTATATGCGGGGGATATGCTGGATGCACCGTGACAGCGCAAAGAGTGCGTAAAGCACCGTAGCGGTAGCCTGAGACGCGAAAGCATTGCGGGCTAATATTAGCACATAAACAACTATGTTGTATCAAGGAGTGTTAAGGCAGTGCGTGACAGAACCTCGCTGAAAGCGTTAAGCCACCAGATTTCCTTCAGACGGAGTTAACTTGGTGCATGTAAAAACAGACAATATTAATGCCTTCTTATATAAAAAGGCTATTAAGCCCTGGTCTACAAAAACAAGCATGACAGCAAGGGACACCAAGGGGCACAAGGGATGTACGACAAGTCGTGTTGTGCGTTGAGTATGATATTGTATTTCGGTATCCAAAGGTTCAACATGCCGCAATCGTAAAACACCGACTACGCGGCGCAGCTTATCGCCTTACCATTCCCTGGTGATGCCTTAATAGGCTCCGCATTGTAGCTACTGCGATTGCGCATACTTATTTTGCCATCTGAGGACAACGTGCATCGCAGCATCCACATGGTAGTAAACCTCAAGTCTTTCTGCGCTCATGCGGCTGATTATCTCACATAGACAGCAATACTGGTTGAATTTGTGATGTGTCAGTCGCTCCACCATCCTCCTGTTTCGATTCCACCTGTGACGCCGACACATGGCGTTCGACGCTTTTCCTCGTTCAAGATGGTGTATGCGAAGTTTTTATGCTCTAAGCCGCAGCTCTGGTGCTGGCTTCTGCTGCCCATGCAAACAAGTTTGAGCTGTTTTTCCACAGCCTGCATAACGGGCTTTACTTTGCGTGAAGCTACCTACGTGGCATGTTTGCACATCGTGCATAACCACTTTCCTACATCCTAGCAAACCACAGACCGCCCCATTGCAGGCAAGCCCAACGGCAGAGACCACCAGAAGGTTGATGTTCCGTGCAACCCTTCCCTGCACCGTACGAGAGTTAACTGCTGCACGTTCAGCGCCGACAAAGTACATAACTCTACTTTTATATCGGTAATACAAGGTGAAGCAATCGATTTAGCATTAGGCCGGAAACGACACGACCGGCCAAGAAACGACAACAGCGCCGAGCGCATACACACCGTAGGATCTCCGTATAACGTACACCACTACAAGATAGGCTTGAAATCCGGTAGAGCAATTTACGGCAATAAGTACACGAGGGAGTATACACCGCTGTTAAACAAACGCAAAAATGCATAATGCATAACCACGGTTCCCGTTTCCAGGGTTTCAACTCGCGCCCCATGAGGTATCATATGCCCACACCGTCCCCGGTGTCTTCCAAACCCCCATTGACACCTACCCTCGCAAGGGTCACAACACCGTACACCACCTCCTCTTGTCCCCGGCAGCCCCTGGATCTCCCTACCACACGCACTGCACGTCCCTTCCGCACCGCATCCTCCTACAGACCTCACTACGCATACAATCCTACCTCCCCCGCTGCCCTTCCCACCACTCATCCAGGTCCCAGACAAAGCGTCAATCCCACCAACTCCATCAATGCGCAGCCCAGCCACGCGCCAGCTTCCTCCTCCTCGCTCACAGCACCTTCTTCACATCCCAGAAGCCCGGCCGCTCCTCGAGCACTGCCCGCGCCTTCTCCGCCGAGATAACCGCCACCACGCGACCCGCGGGTCCGCGCACGCACTCCACCGCGTCAGCAAAGATCCTGCGTGTGATGCGGCAGGGGCAGAGGACAGCGCAGGGGTCAAGTTGAAGGTTACCGTAAAGGGATGGCGGGTTGCATGACGGTAAGGAGGAGCGAATGGAGTGGGTGGAACACACCAAGCCGCCCCATGCGCCGCACCCCACGACAGATGCCTACTCACTTGAAGTCCTTGTTGCTGGTTGCCAGGATCTGCTCCCGCCGCGTCTGCCGCTCCTCATCCATCACCCCCAGCAGGTGCCGTACCAGGGCCGAGTAGCCCTTGGCGTCGGGGAGCTGGTAGGCGTCGATGTCGCCCATGGTTCCGATGATGGTCTGAGCGTCTGACAGGGGGTACAGGGGAGAGGGAGAGTCAGGTAGAGGGGAAGCCACATACAACAGGCTAAAGTATCGGTGCTGCAAGACAGAGGGGCCAATACAGGTGCATGCATGCCGTACGAGGGCCCCACCCATCCCCCCACCTAGGTGAGGTCATCCTTGGACAGCTCCAGCGACCGCAGGAACTCCGCCGAGCCGTCGTACGCCTCCAACGTGCCGAGCAGGTTGGGGTCCCTGGGGGGTGGTGAAGAGAAGGTGGATGTTTAGGCGGTCGGACTCGTTTCGGTTTTGGTTATCCACCCCACAACAAACCGGTAACCCCAGATACTGTATACAGACTCAGTTGGCCTGATTCAGTTAGCAGCTTCTGTTTACAAACCCGCAGCCGTTTCCGACCCTCCCTCCACCCCAATCCCACGGATATACAGGTGTACGCCGCCGCCGCCCCCCCAAACCACACTCGCGGCCAGCTTCCTTAGCCCATCTGTACGACATCAACGTCATCATGCCCGAGTGCGAGTCGAAGGAGCAGAAGCCGCCGTACGCGCCGCCCACCACCCGCACCCGGTCCCACAGCCACGTGTTGCCCAGGTACTTCTCCACAACGAAGGTGGCGCCGCTCAGCTGGTAGCCGGCGTCGCGGTACAGGTCGGCGCCCTTGGCTACGTAGTTCACCTGCGGCGACTTGACGTGGGTTAAGGGTGCATGGCATGGAGGCGACCCCCAGCCCCCGCTCCTCAGCCTTCCGCACCTGTGTGGGTACGCACAGCGCCTCATTGCCCGCCGGCAGCAGCAACCCTGCTCCCAGCGGCCTGCCAACCTGGGTGGGGGGGAGCGAAGAGAGAAGGAGAGGATGGATGGAATAGAAGTTAAGGTGTGCTAGGCGGTAGTGTTAGTAGAGACGAAAAGAACCCTGGGCGGTAGTTTTCCCCACACGTCCAAGCTGGTTGCACTAAAAGGCTGCAGCCTTCGGTCTGTCGCGCCCCAACACCGGCTTGAACACCTACCGCCACATGTGTGCGGACTGCTGACGCCATAGGACGGGGCTGGGCTGCGGGCGCGATCCCTGCAAGATCCATGCGCGCGACGCAGCAGCCGCCCTCCGCCCCTCCCGACATCAGGCTGACCAGACCCGGCTGGCGAAACGGAATACCAGGAACTAGAATGTGAGCGACCGTGCATGTAAAAACTCCGCTGCGGCTAGGACCAACTAGGTAGCATTCTGGGGCGTCAGCGTCGGACCTAGGACTGCGTGATCAGCATTACATCGCCAACTGGTGGCCGCTGTCTAATCCATCAGTCAGTCACAGGCCAGAGAAGGCTAGACCATCCTGGTAAGACCATCGAACACCCAATCAGCAACAATGGCAACGCAAAGGCGCGCATGCAAGGGCAATAACCACCGTCCTACATCCTTGCATATGTTGCGAGCAGAGCGCAGCCCCGAGTCTCGCCGCGACTTAAGAGGACTGACGGCTGTACGGCACAGATGTCAGATACGCCGTACCAACCAGACCGCGAACGAACCACACCCAGAGCATGAAAACACAACTCCAACCGCATACACACTCAAAACCACATCCTCCATCTGCCGGTAAAATGCACGTGCCGGTAACGGTGCACGACAGGTCTTTTTCCAACTCATTCCTCCCATTCCCATTCCCTGACTCTCGGAACCCCACTCCATCCATTCATCCCCCCTCCTCCCCATCCCTAGCATATGTGAACATTTGAAACCCTTGCGGCTCCGAACCGCCTCCTGCATGAGCGTCCAAACACTCCTGATCATATGTGTATTCCTTAAGGTTTGCCGGTGGTTAAATCCTTTGCCGGTGTTTAGGGGCCATGGTCTGGGTTGTTGTGCAAGCTCCTTGGACTCAGTGGACTGGGCTCCCTAATAATCAGATAACGGATACAGGTTGCGTGCGTGGCTGTTGCATGGTAACCCGGTCGGTTAGGCGTCGGCATCAAGGTTTTGTAGGCCCACCAGGTTGGTCTCCGGCCCCTACATAACAAAGCGTGGCTGTAATGCCGTTTTGGCCGAGAGAGGGTCGTAGTCTCGTAGAAGTAGCGCCATGCGACATCCACTGTGCAATGGGGGCCTGCACGCATGCAACCTGCCATGCGGTGTTGGGATTGCATGCATAGCGAGGGCGGGCATGCACGGGCGATGCATCTTGGGAAGGTACCTCTAAGGAACTGACAAGGTAGCGGATAGGAGGGAGGATGACACCCTAGATAAGGGCAAGCAGGGCAGGTGGCGATGGGAGAATAGGAGGTAGCAGGAGTTCAACCAGAGCTAAGCCTCAGTGCGCGATCCAGATCTGCTGCCGTACAACAGGAGGAGGCGCCCAATCGCACTGATGAGGAGGCCGTCTGTCAACCGCATTCCCAACCACTAAGACAACCAGCCACTATACCGCATGAACTGTCTGCAACCGGGATAACGAACCCCCGCCAAAATATAGACGTACGTTCAATGACCAGACGAGCGATGCATATGCCTGCTGGCCCTGCACTGGCGTCCCTCTTTCACCAGCTGGGCCTCCTCTCTTATAGTGCTACCATGCAGGAAACCTGTAACAGTTCTCCAAAGAAAAAAGATGCCCCGTTCCCCTCTTGCCCGGTGCTTGACAGCCCCTGCTAACCGTGCTGGACGTACCGTGCATGCTAGTTGCTTCTCGCTTCTCAACAGTGGCCCCAGCCAGGATACCGGTGCTGCTGGCCCTACACAACATCCTACATGGCTGGGGCTCCAAGCCGTCCACACAGCTCAACATGGTAGATGGTAAGGGAGGCGCCTGGTTCTGATGGGTGCAGAAGCCGCTATCAAGCTATCACCCCTCTGGTTGGCAACAAGTGACTCAACAAGTGCGGAACAATACCATCCATCATAGCCATACCATCACCATGTCGGCGTGCAAACATGCCAGCAAAACACGCTAATGCAGTGCATCTGCACATGGCCATACGCTATGAGATGCACGATGACCCCTCTTTATCTAGGTATCTACGTCTGTCCCGGCAGTGCCAGGCCTAGCAAGCGCGCCATGTAATGCTCCCGGGCCTTAGGTCCTTGCAGTTTCCCCCACTCCCAGTACGGCACGCTCACCACGTTTCCCGCCCCAAACACCCGCTCCAGCTGCCTGTCCCGTAGCTGGGTGGGGCCAGTCTTGGTAGGCCGGTGATTTGCCAGGAAGTTTGATGGCCCATATATCTCCAATGCCATGCGCCTCCCTCCCTCCACTTCAAGCACGATGTCTACACAGCCGCTGGTCCCATCCACCGGCTGCTTCTGCTGGATGGAGAGGATGGTGGGACCAGTCGTGGTGCAGCTGCTGCCGGTGACGTTGCTGCTTGCGTTCTTACTGCACGTACTTGCTGTCTGCCCTACCAAAGCTGGGCTGCTTGCTAGCTGCCGTTGGAGTTGTGCAAGGGTCTGTGTTAGTTGCTCCTGGATCGGTGACACGGCGTTGTCATCCGCCACGCGCTCCTCCTCAACAGCGCGCTCCATGGCATCAAGCAGTGGTGTTTTACGCTCACCATTAGCGGCTGCAAGAATCCGGTGCAACTGTCGACCGTTGCCCCTGCCGCTGCTCATATGCTTGAGCTCTTGTTGCGTCTGCCACAACTGCACCAGACCTTCCCGTGTTAAGCTTTCCTTCCCTTCCTGTTGCCATCTCCGCACTACCTCCCTCAGCAGCCCCTCCACCAGGCCGCTGTGGCGAGACAGCACGTCAGGGCCCATCACCGCTAGCGCCCAGAGGCTGTTGGGTAAACCCTGTTCATTTAGTCCCTCCCTCCCCTTGCTGGCCCCCTGGAGCAGCTCCCCCAGCCGCTTCACCAGCACATCCACCAGCCGCTGCTCGTACAGGCCCAGAGTAGCCAGAGCCCACAGGAGGTTGGCACAGTCCTGGGAGTTTGCGCTGTTGTGAAGGACCTCCAAGTGCACCTCAGCCTGCACCGCCTGCAGCAGGCTGGGACCAGGGTGATGCCGCACAAGTGCAAGTGCGTACCACAGGTTGGACCAGTCCTGGGAGTTGGCACCACTCATGGTTCCAGGAGCACTTGCTGCAATGGCAGCAGCTTTGAACCAGTCCTGCTGCTGGCGCCCACTGGGTGCAGAAGCTTCACCACACCCCATCTTAGCGAGCGCCCAGGCAGCATTGCTGATGTCCTGTGCATTGAAGCCAGCAAAGCTGCGGCGCTGGCACTCGGCTGCCAAGGCCTGTACGAGCTCCTCCCTACCATCTGGCCGCAGCCGCTCCAAAGCCCACAGGATATTAGACAGGTTCTGAGGCACAAAGGTCCGAGCAGATGGTCCCAGAAGGCGCTGGTGCACCTCGGAACATAATTGCTGCACAGCAGTAGCGTATTCTCCTCCTGTGCACCCCAGCACAGCCAGCGCATACAGGGAGTTAGCCAGGTCCTGACATTTGGCGCTAGGCCTCTGCTGCACCAGACAGGCGGCCAGCTGCTGCAGCAATGGGTCGTGGCGGCGCTGCAGCCGAGCACACGCCAGGAGGATGTTGGAGCAGTCCTGGGAGTTGAGCTGCTGGGTGCTCATGTTCCGGACGAAGATTGCGCTTGCATGGAGCAGCCCATCTGCTTCCTCTACAAAGTCGTTTGGGGCCTTGGACATTGCCCACCACAGGTTGGCGTGGTTTTTCCCGCTGGCCTGCACCAGCAGCCTTCCACCATCCCACGCCAGCCGTCCGAGCAGCGCTGTCACCAGCTGGCGATCCCAGTAATCCGCCTTGGCACACGCCCACAACGGGATAGTGCAGAGATGTGGTTGGGCCAGGTTGGGCACGTGTGGCAGGTAGGCGGCTGAGAGCACGGCCAGTACACGGTGGAGAAGTTTTACACCATCAGCGCCTTGGCATGGCAACTGTGGGGTCGGGCGAGACACCGTGTTTCCTAAAGGTCAAGTCAGAAAACATTCAGGGCGCATGTGGGGCCCAGAGAACAGTGGACATCGCGCATGGAAGCAACGAGAGCAAAGAGTAAACCAAGTGCTGCGGACTTTGCTTTTACCATACCCGTAAACGCAAGTTGAAGCTCTGAATGATAAACGGTAACAGGTATCAGGTTGCCTTCAGACGTTACGAGGCCCCACGCATTCAAGCCTATTGGTATGCCAATCTCCGTTGGGGTATTTCCGTGCTAGCAGTGCCGCCCTATCTACCAGCCCTACCATGCCCCAACCTTTGTTTGTGTAGCAAGGCCTCACCTTAATGGAAATGTCGATTGCTGCATGTATGTCCGATGGGTGCCATGCCCTTGCCCGAGCCTCCGCCTTTGCCAACAACGTAGGCAGGTCATGGATTATGTTGCCTTGAAAGCGAATGCCAGGGGTGTTGCGCCCCTCAATGCCCGACCGCGCCGCTCCAGCAAAGCCTCTCGTAATGTTCAGCTGACATGTTTCGGTCGAGCGGAACCACTCTTTCCACGCCCCCGCTGCAATGCCGCTGCCCCGGAAGACATCCGGTTCCAGCTTGCGGTTTGCCGGCTCGCGGCTTTCGGTCTCGCTACTGCATATCGTAGTATGTGCTGGGGGTATGCTGGATGCACTGTGACAGCGCAAAGAGTGCGTAAAGCACCGCAGCGATAGCCTGAGACGCGAAAGCATTGGGGGTAAATACTAACACATAACAATTATGTCGTATCAAAGAGTGTTAAGGCAGTGCGTGACAGAACCTCGCTGACAGCGTTAAGCAACTGGATTTCCTTCAGGCGGAGCGAACTTAGTGCATGAGAAAACAGACAATGATTATGTCTTCTTCAATATAAGAAGGCCATTAAGCCGTGGTCTACAAAACAAGCATGACCGCAAGGGACACCAAGGGGCACAAGGAAAGCATGTACGACAAGTGGTGTTCTGCGTTTGATTACAATACTGTATTTGGGTATCAAAAGGTTCAACATGCCGCAGTCGTAAAAAACGATTCCGCAGCGTAGCTCATGCCTTACCATTCCCTTGTGAAGCCTTAATAGGCTCCGCATTGTACATATGTTTGCCATCTGAGGCCCACGTGCATCGCAGCATTCACATGGTAGTAAAGTTCAAGCCTTTCTGTGCTTACGCGGCTGATTAGCGCCCGGACACAGTAAGATTTCGTGAAGTGTCCGTCGCTCCATCATCCTCCTGATTCGAACCTACCTGTGACCCCGACACATGGCGTTCGACGCTTTTGCCCGTTCACGATAATGTCTGCGAAAGCTGCTCTAAAAACGTAGCTCTGGTTCGGGCTTCTGCTGACCATGCAAAAAAGTCCTGAGTTGTGCTTTCACAGCCTGCATAATGGCCTTTACTTTGCATGAAGCTACCTACGTGGCATGTGTGCACATCGTGCATAGCCACTTTCTTACATCCTAGCAAACCACAGAGCGCCCCATTGCAGGCAAGCCCAACGGCAAGGACCACCAGAAGGTTGCTGTTTCGTACAGCCCTTCCCTGCACCGTACGACAGATAACTGCTGCACATTCAGCGCCGGCTAAGTTACATAACTCTACTTCCATATCGGCAACACAAAGTGAAGCAGCGATCAATGAGCATTTGGCCGGTAGTCAAGAAACGGCGCCGAGCGCATACATAGGATCTCCGTGCAACGTACACCACTACAAGGTACCGGTAGGCTTGGATCCGGTACGGCAATTGTACAGCAATAAGTACACGAGGGAGTATACACCGCTGTAAAACACACCCCAAAAATGCATAACCACGGTTCCCGTTCCCAGGGTTTCAACTCATGTCCCATCAGGTATCATACGCCCACACCGTCCTCGGTGTCTTCCAAACCCCCATCGTAAGGGTTACAACACCGTACATCACCTCCTTTTGTCCCCGCCAGCTTCTGGATCTCCCTCCCACACGCATTGCACGCGCTTTCCGCACTTCCCCTCATCCTCCTACAGTCCTCATTACCCCTAAACTTCTACCTCCCCCGCCGACCTTCCCACCACTCATCCAGGTCAATCCCACCAATACCTCCCCCGCCGACCTTCCCACAACTCCATCAACACGCAGCCCAGCCACGTGCCAGCTTCCTACGCCTCGCTCAAAGCACCTTCTTCACGTCCCAGAAGCCCGGCCGCTCCTCGAGCACTGCCCGCGCCTTCTCCGCCGAGGTAACCGCCACCACGCGACCCGCGGGTCCACGCACGGACTCCACCGCATCAGCAAAGATCCTGTGTGTGGGGCGGCAGGGGTAGGACCGCGGAGGGGTTAAGCTGAAGGTTACCATAAGGTAGATGGCGGGTTACATGACGGTAAGGAGGAGCGAATGGAGTGGGTGGATCATACCAGATGACCCACAACAGATGCCGCACTCACTTGAAGTCCTTGTTGCTGGTTGCCAGGATCTGCTCCCGCCGCGTCTGCCGCTCCTCATCCGTCACCCCCAGCAGGTGCCGTACCAGGGCCGAGTAGCCCTTGGCGTCGGGCAGCTGGTAGGCGTCGATGTCGCCCATGGTACCGATGATGGCCTGACAAGGGAGAGTCATGTAGAGGGAGGTCACATACAACAGGCTGAAGTATCGGTGCTGCAATACAGAGGGGCCATTACAGATGCATGCATGCCGTACGAGGGCCCTACCCACCCACCCACCTTGGTGAGGTCATCCTTGGACAGCTCCAGCGACCGCAGGAATTCCGCCGAGCCGTCGTACGCCTCCAACGTGTCGAGCAAATTGGGGTCCCTGGGTTTGAGCGGTCAGGCAGGCGGAGGCGGGATGGTTGGGTACCGTACTTCAGGTTGCTCAGATACCGCTACCACCAGTTGTTGCTGCAAGCCGCATGCTTACACCTTCCCTGTCCTACACCTACCCCGCCTCCCACCCTTCCCACCATTGCCACCAACCTCCCACCCTATCCCCTCTGCTCCCGCCCCCACCTGTACGACATCAACGTCATCATGCCCGAGTGCGAGTCGAAGGAGCAGAAGCCGCCGTACGCGCCGCCCACCACCCGCACCCGGTCCCACAGCCACGTGTTGCCCAGGTACTTCTCCACAACGTAGGTGGCGCCGCTCAGCTGGTAGCCGGCGTCGCGGTACAGGTCAGCGCCCTTGGCGACGTAGTTCACCTGCGGCGAGTTGACGGGCAGCAGAGGGTGGGCGGGAGTTAAGGTAGGGTGCGGGAGCCAAGGGTGGTGGATAAGAAGGCGGACGGGTGAAAGTTCATGACAAAAGGAACCCACAGCCCCTCTCTTTTCCACCACCGCACCTGTGTGGGTACGCACAGCGCCTCATTGCCCGCCGGCAGCAGCAGCCCTGATACCAGCGGCCCGGCGGGGGCAGCGGGCGAGGCGGCCGGCAGCGCGGCCAGCAGCTCCCGCAGCGGCCCCTCAGCGGCGGCCAGGGTGGCAGAGTCGGCGGTGAGGTTGACGATGGCGCCGTTCCTGAGTTGGGGGAGCGGGAGAAAGGGGCGGAAGGAGAGGTTGGGATGTTTGGGGTGGAAAGGAAAGTCGGGATGTGCGCATGTATTAGCTCCAGCATTATTACGGGTATCCAAGTAGGTATCATTAAAAACAAACTATAACAACTAATTTAATGAGCCTTTCGCAGTTTCCTATCTTACCTATAACTGATTTAATGTTCATTTCGCAGTTTCTGACATTACCTATAACTGATTTAATGAGCCTTTCGCAGTTTCTGACATTACCTATAACTGACATAATGAGCCCTTCGCAGTTTTACAGTATAAGCACCCCCCCCTCCACCTCCTACCGTATCCTACCTCCTCCCGCGCCCCTCAGCCCTCACCTCTGCAGCAGCGCAGTGCGGATCGCCTCCAGCTCCCCCCGCACCCCCTGCCAGCCCTCCTCCGTCTCCACCCGCTTGCCCAGGCCCCGAATGAAGTCCAGGTACGACAGCCCGCCCATGCTCTCGGCCAGCCAGCCCGCCAGGCCCCGCTGGGCGGCCAGACGCTTGCCGGCGTAGGAGTGCCCACCGCTGATGATGCCTGTGGGGGGGGGCAAGCGGGCGGACGGAGGGATTAGTTTTGGGTAAAACTCAGGTTCCCTAAGGAGGGTGGGGATTGGGGATGAGGGTGGCGCGGAAGCACAACAAGGGTGCACATACGGCATAAAGACACAGCACAACACTGCCTGGCGGAGGCACACTACCTCAACCCCTCCTTAAGCTTAACAACCCGCCTAACCCACTTCACCCCGCACCGCTCCCCAGTTCCTCCATAGCGATATACACCCATGCGAAAATGCACCCCTTCAGCCTTATCACACACTCAGTTACCGTAGTTGTTTCCTCTTTGCCCCCTCCCTCAGTGTATCTTTATTTTTCACCTCCCCTTCCCTCCCCCTCCAGCCCCCCCAGCCCCTCCCCCTCACCGCTCTCCAGCGCCGCCTTGGTCTCCGCCACCATCTGCGTGAAGCGCTCCCGGTCGTCCAGGCGTGCGGTGAGCAGGATGTCCCGCATCAGCCCCACCATGTCGCCCGACGTGCCCGACATGGCCTTGCCGCGGATCTGGGGGGGGGGGCAAGGGCAGGAGGGGAGTAGAAGGAGCGGGGAGGAGTGGGGAGGAAAGGAGAAACGGACGACAAGAAGATTGACGATTGAAATGTGTATCCAGTTCGTGCATACCAGGTCTTCGCTTTCCCCTCATCCAAGCATTGGGTCCCCATCTTTCCCCTCTCCAGTGCTTTACTTCTCAGAAATTTCATCCCTGCTCTCTTTCCCCGCGCCTCACCCCCGCCACCCACCATGACATACGCCACCGGCTGCTCGCTGCCTCGCTTGGCGCTGGTGAAGGGGTACACGCTGATGCCGCCCGTCTTGCGCCCGATGCGCTCCGTCAGCTCCACGAAGCTCTCGCCCGCAGTGCCCATCTGGGTGAGGCTGCGGCAGAAGAGGGGCACCAGCGGCAGCAGCGAGGAGGGCACGGGGCGCAGGTCGAAGGCGGCCTGCGGGTGGGAGGGAGAAGGGAGGGGGAGGGAGAGAGAGGAGGGAGGTAAAAGGAAGGAAACTGACGAGGCAACTAACGAGCTGTGTGGCAAGGGATAAGGAGGCGTTGTTTTTACTTACTATACATGTCCTCTTCTTCATTATGCCCGCTTTGCCTTCCGCTATGGCGGCTCCCACCCAGTCCCCTGCCCTGCCTCTCTGCTCCCGCCCTGTCCCCTGCCACGTCTCTTCCTGCCCCCTGCCCCCCCCCACCTCCATGTACAGCACGTCGTTTGTGAAGAGGTCGTGTGTGAGCAGCGTGGCTCCATCCGACAGGGGCGTCACGTCGGTGGGCACCTTGGTGATGGTGGAGGGGATGTCGGAGAGCTGCATGCGGGGGGAGAGAGAGGCAGGGAAGCCAAGTAAGTGGGGGGAGGAAAAGGGGGGGCCAGAGGGACGTGTGGCGAGTATGCGGGATCAAGGAGGTGGGCGGTAGGAGAAGGGAAGCCTGTGGTAATCATCCGGCAAGAGCCGCTCTCGCCCGCTCCGGTGGGGTCGTGTGCACCTTCTCCCTCCCCGCACAGCCAAAACCCCCAGGAACCCCACACCAACCCCAACCCAGCCCCCCTCCCTTTACCTGCAGCGCGGGGATGCACTGCAGCGCCTCGGGCGGGTCGGGGGTCTCCTGCAGCTCCTTGAGAGCCGCGGTGCCCTCCAACACGGCGGAGAGCTGGGGGGGAGAAGAGAGGGAGGGAGGGAGGGAGGGAGGGGGAGGAGTGCACGATGGTAAAGGAACACAGAGGATAGGGCGAGGGTGAGGTCTCTTTGCCTGCCTAGGTCCTTTAACCGTACCGGTGCCTAAGGCCCCAGAAGGAATGGCGGCGGAGGACAGGCGACCCCCCGCCCCATGCAAACACCACCTTTCCAGCCCCCCTCCCCCTCCCCCACCTGCTCCTCTCCCATGGACTCCCGGGCCGCCTGCAGCGCCGCGCGCTCCTTCTCCTCCACCGCCGCCCCCAGCCCCGCATCCGGCAGCAGCGACACCGTCACACGGTGCCGGTTGTCCAGCAGGAAGGAGCGGATGAGCGGGCCGAACACGTCAGCGCCCGAGGAGAGCTTGGACTTGAAGGAGCGCAGCGCGTCCTCCCACTGGGGGTACAAGCAGGGTTGATGGAGGTGTGAGTGTTTGGAGGGAGTGAGAGGAGGGTGGGAAGTACCTTTGCAGGCAACGTCTGCCTTCTGTCCATCCGTCCCCCTCCGCACGCTCCTTTTCCTACCCCGCCTGGCCTCACCCCCGCGTCGCCAGGTGGCCCCGGGGCCTCAACCCCTCCCACCCACCCATGCCCGCCCACCTCTACCTCACCCACCACCCACCCACCCACCCATGCCCGCCCGCGCACCTGCATCTGCGTGAAGGGGTCCCGGTCGTAGATCCACGCGCCCACCGCCCGCAGCATCAGGCTGAGTCCGCGCGGGAAGGAGCCGGTGTTGTTCTCGCGCAGGCTGAACTCGATGGTGTTGACGGCGGCCTCGATGGCGGAGGCGGAGAAGCCGGAGGAGGCCAGCTCGGCCAGCTTGGAATGGATCAGGGACTCAACCTGGTGGGGGGAGGCGGGGGGGGAGGGGGCGTAAGGTTAGTGGTTCGGGTTATCGTACTTGAAACCGGCTGGAACAAGTAGAGTCAATAACAAGAGAACAAGATCAAGAACAAGAGAACAAGAGACCCAAGTATCCAATGCCCGGTACCAACGCCCGACGCTACCGGGCTGCCACGCGAGGGCCGGTGGGGAGCAGGAGTAGGGGGGAGGAGGAGGAGGGCAACGCAGGCCTCACTACCGGTAACGCCCCAAGGACACTCCAGGGCCTCCGCACCACCCCCCTCCTTCCTCTACGCCCCGTTCGTTGGTTGTTTCCCCTCTACCCCCTCCCTCCTCCCCCCCATCCCTCCCTGCCCGCACCTTCTCCGCGTCCTGCGGGTCCACCCCCTTGAGCCCAATGGTGAAGCAGGGCTGCTTCAGGTCGTCGTCCACCCCGCCCCCGATCACCGCGGCCCCCAGCCGGCTGTCGTTGAGGGCCTTACGCAGCGGCGCGGCGGGGGTGCCCAGTAGCAGGAAGTCCAGGAAGCCGAGGGCCAGCTCCGTCTCCACGTCTAGGGGGGTGTCGGACAGCACCCAGCTGATACCCACGTAGGCCTGTGGGGGGTGCAGGGAGAAGAGGAGCAGGGAGGAGGGGCAGGGAAGAGGGGCGTGGAAGAGGGGCATGGAGGGGTATGGAGGAGAGGAAAAAGAAGGAAAGGCATGAAGAGGGGAGGGGAGGGGAGGCGGTGGTGGTGGAGGCAGCATGGGCATGGGCATGCTATTGGCAGAACGCTGCAACAGGAAGGTATGCGGACGGGCTTGGGGTCGGGTAACCCAGGAATGGATGGAACCTTCCAGAACCATTCGAGGGTAGGCAAGGCGGCTCAGCAGCGGTGACCACCACCCACCTTCTGCTCGCCCTCCTCTCCGTCGCCAGCCGCGTAGAACTCGGTGACCTTGCGCGGCGTGTGGATCAGCTTCTGCGGAGGGGGGAAGAGGGACAGAAAAGGGCGGGAGAGGTGGGGAAGGCAGCCGGGGAGGATGCACGACTGATAAGAAATGGCGGATGGTAGTAAACTCGAGGATGAAAGCGAGCCGTTAAGACATCCTTTTGCTGTGACGCGGGTTAACCCTCCCCCCCCCCCTCCCCCCCACCTGCGTGTCCACCCCGCTGTCCACGGGTCGCGCCTCGAACTCATCCAGGTAGCTGGACAGCAGCTGCAGCCGCTTCACCGGCTCGTCGTCGCCGTAGAACCAAAACCTGGGGGGCGGGGTGATTGCGGTGGTGGAGGGACGGGGAGAGGTGGATGGGTGGATGGAGGGGGGCGAAACGCGGTTAGGCGGCCGGCTCTTGCGCATGATGCTTACACAGCGAGTGCACTGCCCGCAACCAAAAGAGGAGTCAGCGTTGGACGGCCCTACTAACCCCCATGCAGCCCCCTCTCCCCCCTCTGAGACTCCGCTGCTCCACTTTTCATCTACCGGTATTCCCCTCCCTCCCACACCCACCTGGCGTTGGAGGGGTGGTAGTACTTGGCGTGGAACTCCTGGAACTGCTGGTAGGTGAGCTGCGGGATGACCTCGGGGTCGCCGCCGCTATCATGCCTGAGGTAGGGGGGGGCGAGGGCGAGGGCGGTTGGGAGGGGAGAGAGTGTGGGAGTGTGGGAGTGTGGGAGGGTGGGAAATGTGGGAGAAGGCGGTAAGGGTCACATATAAGACCAAGTTAAGGGGAACAAGGGGATGAGGAAAGGGCGGAGGACAAGGAGCGGTGAGGGGGTAGGAGGGGACTTGGCTGGGTGGGCGGAGAGGACTGCGGAGGGGCCGCCCACCTGTAGGTGTCCCCCCACCCGTCCCACTCTCCCACTGATCACTGCATGTGTCGGGATTGGGACTCCAGTTGCAGCACCTCTCATTTACTTGTTCCCCACTCCCCCACCTGTCCACCCGCCCCCACTCCCCCACCTGTCCACCCGCCCCCACTCCCCCACCTGTCCACCCGCCCCCACTCCCCCACATGTACGTGTCCCCCTACCCGCCCCCACTTGTACGCTTTCCCTTTCCAGGTAAGTTTCCCGTAACGCGTCTCGATAACATGTGTGCTCGTATACCCCATATGCGTGTTGCTTTGCATTTCGGGACCGGCGGCGCGGCGCATGTCTCCCTAGTGTTACCACGCAAGGCGGCTTCTCCCTCAAGTCGTCTCGGTTTACGGTAAGCAACGCTTCGGTAAGTAATTTGAGATGCGTGTCTTTAGAATAGTGTCTCCGAATGCACTCACTGCATGAGTCGGGATATGGGATTGGGACTTTAGTTGTTTGCATTTCTTATATAATTTTCCCCACTCTCCCCGCCCCCCACTCTCCCCGCCCCCCACTCTCCCCGCCCCCCACTCTCCCCGCCCCCACTCTCCCCGCCCCCCACTCTCCCCGCCCCCCACTCTCCCCGCCCCCCACTCTCCCCGCCCCCCACTCTCCCCGGCCCCCACTCTCCCCGCCCCCCACTCCCCCCGCCCCCCACTCCCCCACCTATATGTGTTGTCCGGGAACAGCGCCCGCTGCACGGTGCGGTAGAAGCGCGAGTCGGGGGAGGAGTAGACGCCCTTCATCTCGTTGAACACCACGCCCTTGTAGGTCAGCGGGTCCTGGAGGTATGGGGGTGAGGGGATGTGGCAGGGGGAGGGAGAGGAGGAGTGGGCGTGCAGAGTGAGCACAACAAAATGTATGTTTAGGAAACTGGCCGCGAGCGGGAACGTACTGGTTGTTCATACGTGTATGCATACACAGGTGGAAGAGTATTGACTACTGACACCCCCTCATCTCCGTGTCGTCAACGGCAGCAGCACCCCTCCCACTCTTTCACACACCCTCCTGCCCCCCTCCCTCCCTCCCCCCACCTCCTTGCTGTCCACAGCAGCACCCCCCATCCCCCCCTTTGCTGCTTCCCCTTCCCTCCTCCCCCCCACCTCCTTGCTGTCCAGCTCGAAGTGCCAGCCCTCCTGCTCGAACACGCGTCGGTCGGCCACACAGCGCGGGTGGAACACGGCGTCCAGGTACACGTCAACCAGGTTGTAGAAGTCCTGGGGGTGTGGGGGGGTGGGGCCAGGAGGGCGGGGGAAGAGGGGCAGGAGGGGAGGTGGGGGGCAGGTGTGGAAGGGGTGAGCGGGAAGTCGTCATCACACGCATGCACACCTAGATGAACACACCGCCCGCCTGTTCTTCTCCCCGCCTGTCCTTCCGCGGCTCAGTTTACCTGATCCCTCCACATCACCCACACCCCACCTGCGTGTTTGTTGACGCCACTGGGTAGCAGGTGCGGTCGGGGTAGGTGAAGGCGTTGAGGAAGGTGTTCAACGAGCTCTTCATCAGCTCAACAAACGGCTCCTGGGGGGGAGGGCAGTGGGATGAGAAAGAGGGGCGGAGCCGGGTGCAGGACTGAAAGGATTGGAAAGGCGGCCGCAATGGTAGGGTATCGGGTATATACTGGCTTCCTCTGAACCCCCTCCCTCTTCCTCGCCCTCACCCACCCGCTTTCCCCCCTACCCAGCTCGTCGGTTTCCTGGCCAGCTTCCTCATTTTACCCCCCTTCCCTTACTACCCCTCTTCCTCTCTCCCTCTCCTCCCTCTTCCTCTCCCTCTTTCCCCCCTTCCCCCCCGTCCCCTACCTTGATGGGGTATTTCCTGCTGCCGCACAGCACCGAGTGCTCCAGGATGTGCGGGATGCCGGTGGAGTCGGCCACCGGGGTGCGGAACACCACCCCGAACGTCTTGTTCTCGTCGCCGTTCAGCACGCTGATCAGCTCAGCGCCTGAGGTAGGAGGGAGGAGGGAGGCGGGAGGAGGCAGGAGAGGAAAGGAGGAAAGGGATAAAGAGCCGGAAACAAGAGCAGGAGGGGCAGGAGCAGGAGGAGGAGGCAGCATGTTGCGGGAACACAGAGCACCTCCAGGGATCACGCAAGCCGGCCCTGGCCCCTACATCACAAGTTCACACACACCCTCCCCATGCAACCATGCACCCCTCCCCATGCAACCAGAGCCCCCATGCACCCCCCCCCCATGCAGCCAACCCAACCCAGCCCCCACCATGTCGTACCCGTCTTGTCGTGCTTGTACAGCAGCACGTGGCTGCCGTACTCCTTGACGTACTGCTGCCGCTGCAGGGTGAAGCCGTGGGCGCGCTCCACGGCGCCGGCGGGGGGAGCGGGCGCGGTGGTGGTGGCGGTGGCGGCGGAGGCAGGGGCGGCGGCGGAGGCCAGAGAGCGCAGGGGCTGGCTGCCTGGGGGCGGGAGGAGGGTGAGGACGTCAGGACACGGGATGTTGGTACATATGGTGTTGGTGCCGCCGTTTATAGCGGGAGGCAGGGGAGATATGGCTGCTACATGCCAGCGCACGTAGCCATGGTCTGCATCTTATCTGCGTCTTCTCTGCCTGTGGCAGCAAGGCAGTGTGAGAGGCCCCGGCAGCTGCGGGGCCGCAACGCGCGCGGGGCAGCAGCAGTCCCTGCGCCACCTGCACACGGCTGGTGCTGGCGGTGCTGCTGGTGCTGCCCGCCAGCCGCAGCTGCCCCACATCCCATGCTGTCCCCGGTGCCAGGGAGGCGCTCCCAACGCCTCCTTCCAGCACCCCAGACAGTACGTTTGGGGTATTCCACCGATTCCGCACGGCGTGGCATCTCCCAATTGGCCTCCTCCTCGCCCTCCTGCCGGCAAGCTGCCGGCACTGCTGCATCCTCTCAGTAGTGCCCTCGGCTGGCGCTGCTACACTCGGCTGCTCACAGTCTAGCTAAGTAGCTATGCAAGAGGGCTGTGGTAGCTTCGCCCAACGGGCTGTGGTGCCTTCCCAAACCGAGGGAAGCCCGACGGATCCAGCACCCGTACATACACACGCCGCCCTCCCAGACATTAGCCAAGTGACAACCCGACCACTCTGGCGGCGATCCGCGTCCCTACCTGGCAAACGACGAATGGCGGGGGCAAGCAGGGGCGAGGCAGCGAAGGAGGAGCTAGCAGCGGGAATCCGGAGCATGGGGCGCTGGAGTGGGGAGATGGGGGAGGTGGAAGGCGGGGGTAAGGAAAGAGTGCAGGAGCGGGAGGTGCGGGCCACGGGCGTGTTTACTGCGCACGTGCTAAGGAGGGCGGGGGCTGTGCATGGATAGGACCTGTGGTAAAGGGTTGAGATTATCAAGCAGGCGAGGGTTCGATCCCCATGCTGTTTCCGGTTATACTTGACGCGTGTGCAAGTGCAACGCGGTCAGTAGTCACAGCGGCGGTTGGCAAATTGAGCACGGGATCCCGCGAAACCACACACGCAATGTTCGCAACACAAGCCATCAGAGCGATGCTAAAGCCCGATGGATAGCATGATGTGAATGTGCCATTACTGTAGAGTCATCAAAGCAATTCATGTGTTGAGCATGGTGCGCGGTGCTTACCGAGCCAGGCACGCCGATGGGCACCGCCGGCAAGCGTGCAACGCGCCCCAAGCTGCGGGCAGCGCTGCTGATGCCGCGCGTCATTGTTGGCATTTTAGCTGCCAGCAACGCGCGGCTCCACGCGACTGGGGTAAGTGAAGCCAGGTTAAGGCAGGCGTCTACGCCAAGACCGTTCCTTCTAAGCCTAAGTAACCACAAATATAAGGCTTTTCTGTGTTACCTAGCGAATGCGGATCATCAGCAGCCCCGCGAACGGATGAACGATCGCGTCATCCCCATGGGTCTCCATTCTGTGGCACCGAACCCGGCGATCCGTACGCTGTGCAGTTACAGTCTTCCAACTCCCTACTACGCTACTAGCAACTCCATTATAATTCTTTAAATACGTATGTCACAAAAGCTGCAGTCTTGCCGAGCAACTGTCTGCTGAGTACTTTCCTTCAACTGCTAAAACGAATAATCCTTTTGGCCTTTATTGTTACTCCTGTTCCTCGAGACTATTGAGCTAATTACAAGGAATAACTTTTTGCTAGCGCCGCCGCGACCGAAGCAATGGCGGACGAGGAGGCTGGGGCTGGCGGCCCAGTTAAAGTGACGTTGGAGCAGCTTGGTGTTTCAACTGGGTAGGTTGCTCACGTAGAGTATTCCCAGTGCAGGCTCGTCGACCATGACAGTTGCCGGCTTACGGCCGACGGCTTTTTCAATATGCGTACATTTTTTATAATGCTCATGCACTCCCTGGTTAAGCTGAGAAGCAGCATACATAACTAGCAATTCGTCGTGGGATAAAGCTGCTTGACCGGGGCTACACTGGATACAATCGATGAGAATCCTCGGTCCCTCGCGCAGCCACACATAATCTATTCCTGCTTTTTTTGCCATCTATTACTCCCTCGCAAACTCTCCCGCCCCTGTCCGCCCCTGTTAGGTTGGAGTACGAGGGGCAGCTCGAGTACGACATCGGCAATTTGTGCGCATTCGACCCCGCCCCGCTGGACACCGCCCGCCTGCTGGTGGACCCGGATGGCACCTGTGCGGAGATGGCGCGAGGGATAACACAGGTGAGGCCCGTTGACTGCGTGGGCCTGCCTGGGGCTTGGGAGCATGCCATGGCTGGCGGGTACAGGGCGAGGGTGCAAGGCTTTTACGGGAGGAAGCTGAGACACACGCAGCCGACTGGGCGGGGCTGGCGGGAGGCAACTATGTGACACGCTGTGTATGCGGCCGCCACCCGTTAGAGGAGCACCCTGAGGGGCGCCCCAGCAGCAGCCGGAGCGACGCAGTTTTCCTGCCACGTTTCCCCTCCCTCCCTTCTGCACATCCCCCCCAACGTTTTCCCACCCCACTAACGGATTGGGACTCGTTGTTCACATACTTAATTTTTTACCCCACTAACGCCTCCTCCTTGTTCTCCCGCTTCCTGCCGCCCCTCCCCCCCCCACACACCAGGCTGTTGTTACCCAGCTCTTCAACCTGCCCGCAGAGCCCATCACAGGCGGCCGTCTGGCGGTGCTGCCCGCCCCCACCACCGCCCTGCCGCGCGCGCAGCCGGTGCCCAAGGCCAAGCCGCTCACCCGCTGGCAGCAGTTCGCAGCCAAGAAGGGCATTGTGAAGCGCAAGCGCAGCAAGCTGGTGTACGACGACACGGTGGGCGAGTGGCGGCGGCGACACGGCTACAAGCGCGCGAATGACGATAACGACATTCCCATCATTGAAGCCAAGGCCTCGGATAAGGTAATACGCCCTGATAGGAGTGGGTAGAGGTGAACTAAAGCAGCCGGCCCACCTAAAGAGAGCCATGTACTGATGATGACGTTTTAGGATCCGGCAATTCCCAGCCTTTTCTCACTCTCTGCAGCTCACCCTCTCTGCAATCCCAACCCCAACCCCAGCCCGGTGAGGACCCCTTCGCCGCGCTGGCGGCTGAGAAGCGCGAGCGCGTCAAGACCAACCGCGCCTCGCAGCTGGCCAACCTGAAGCAGGCCGCCAAGAAGGGCGGCGCCCTGCCGGCCTCGCTGCGGCTGGCGGCCACGCTGCCCGGGGAGGGCGGCAAGAAGGTTGGGAAGGGGGTGGACAAGTCGCTGCGGAGGAAGGAGCTGAAGGAGGATGTAAGTGCGGGGTGGGGGACGGGGTTGGGAGGGAGGGAGAAGGAGGGTATAGGGGAAGGGGTAGGGGAAGGGAGGGGCTGCTTGACGGGACACGATGTAGAAGGCTACTGGCGAAAGGATGGGGTATGTCGCACGCCATTCTGCCTAGCAGCACCCCTCGTTGTCCTAGTCGGCAGCACAGCAACGATGTCCTATGCAGCTTGGTAACGCTTTCACCGGAACCCAGCAATCAGTTGTTGCGCCTTACTACTCCTTGCACAAGCAGCTGGCATTCCCCTGCTAATGGGGGATTGGATTAAGGACAACCAATATCCAATCCTTGTGGCCCAGATCATGGCGGGGACCATCAGTATGCAGCTCTGGGACCTGAGAGAGCCCCCTCAGGTCCCAGAGCTGCATACTGATGGTCCCCGCCATGATCTGGGCCACAAGGATTGCTTATTGGTTGTCCTTAATCCAATCCCCCATTAGCAGGGGAATGCCAGCTGCTTGTGCAAGGAGTAGTAAGGCGCAACAACTGATTGCTGGGTTCCGGTGAAAGCGTTACCAAGCTGCATAGGACATCGTTGCTGTGCTGCCGACTAGGACAACGAGGGGTGCTGCTAGGCAGCGCCATAAGCCTCCCTTCTGCTGCCAGCACTTCATTAGTAAAGCAAGGGATTCTTGCCAGAAATTTGACACTTTGGCCCGAAAGGAGGTCGTCATCAGCCTCAGTACTAAGCTGCGCAGACTGTTAGTGAGAGGGAATACGGTAGTCGCCCAGCTGCTGGCATCATACCATAGACAAACCCCCACTGCCAGGGTGTACACCAATAGCCAGGAACCCCTAGGTTGATAGGTGGTAAACGGAATGGTGAGGGCGTGTAGGAGGGTTGGGTAACACGCAACAGCAGCGGCCCCGCCGGGAAGCAGAGGCCTGCATGCATGTACAACTATCTTAACGCCCCCCACTTCCTCCAGCTCCCATGCGGCGCCCGCAACCCTTGCCGCATCCCTCGCTTCCCACACGCATATGCCTCTCCCCCATGCATCTCTCCCCCAACCGCCCGCCTCACCTCTCCCTCCCTCCCCCCCCATATATGGGATACGGGATTGGGACTCGTTGTTTCACTTATTTATTATTCCCCCACCACACTTCTTTTCCCTCCCCCCCCCTTCTCCAGATCAAGTCCGCCTCCCGCCTCGCCGGCATCTCCACCGCCTCCGTTGGCAAGTTCGACAAGCGGCTGGCGGGCGAGAAGGCGGGCGAGCGGGCGCCCCTGGGCAAGCGGCGGCACTTCCTGTCCGTCACCGACACCAAGGGCGAGCGCTCCAAGATCAGCAGGTGCGCGGGGAACGGGGGGAGGGGGTCAAAGACCATACCGAAGGATGGGAAACCACAGGTTGGGGAACGGGAAACCCGGGGGTTTGTGCTCAGGGCGTCAAGAGGGGTACGATGCGGTTCGTAGTCTGTGTGTGTGGAAGGACGCAGGAGAGAAGGAAGACGCGCGAGGGGACGCATGTACCATGTTTCTCCCTAGAAGGGATGGGACGTAAAGAAGAGGAGAGAGGAGAGCTCATGTAGGCGCATCAGAATGGCTCACACAAACAGCTTGTCTGGTCCTCTCCATCTTCTCTCCACTCTGCTGCCGTACCTCCTAACCCCTGCTGCATGTGTTTCCCCCCTTGCTTCCCGCCCCCAGTCTCGCGGACAAGTTTCTTCGGGAGCGCTCCGATGACGTTGTCGACATCCGCAAGGCCATGGGGCGCATGGAGGCGGAGGCGCGGGAGGAGCGGCGCGACGCCAAACGGAAGCGGGAGACGGATGGGGGAGCAGGCGGGGGCGGGGGCGGGAAGAAGGCGCGGAAAGGGGGGCCAGGCGGGGGCGGAGGAGCGGGTGGGGGCAAGGGTGGGAAAGGTGGGTTTAAAGGCGGGAAGGGCGCGAAGGGCGGGAAGGGGCCCAAGGGCGGGAAAGGCGGCAAGCCGGCAGCAGGTGGGAAAGGCAAGGGAGGGAAGGGGCGGAGATGAGAGGGGGTGGTGTAGAGGGCGTGAGCAGGGGCTGTAGGTTGCTGGGTGTCTTTGGGGGAGTAGGAGGGTAGGACATACATACCGTAGGCAGACCTGGTACCGGTAGCTGGATGGGTTGTAGCTTATAGGTTGCGTGGGAACCCGGCTTGCAACAGGCTTACAAACACTGCAAGCGCTGTCTTGGCTAGGCTATAAGACCTGTGGCCGCCACGGAGGTACAGGGCGGCATGGTGGTGCGTGCGCTATGTGGGGGTGCAACCCTGTTGGCTGCCTAGTAAAGCTCGTGCCCGTAGGCAGGCAACTTGAGGGCTGGCTGACCAACAGCTGGTGGCTTACTGGCGCCGTTCACGGGGAATGCCTGCGCGTAACCTAACTCTCGGACCTCTGTAAGCTTGAAACCTGTCTCATATCCAGAAAGCCAGGAACGCTGTCGTGATGAGAAGCAAAGCGTGAGCCTTGTAAAAGCAGCGAAAGCGGAGCTGACGGTGCAAAACGACCTATGGGTCAATCCAGGCCGGTCTGCACTGCCGGCCGGCCGCCTGCACGCCGGCCACTTTTTAAAATGACAACAACCTGGGACTGGCAAATGCAGTCCCTGACCGCCAGGTTTGGCGAGCGTTTTCCACAATCACGCTTAATACTGTAACATGTAAGTAGTATGCTGCAATTGGCTGGCATGCTGCGATCGCGGACTTGACCCGTCAACCGCCGACCAGCGCATGAACATCCAAACCTGCTTTACAAAAAACAAGCAAGGATAGTTCCAGCCCGCTTAATATCCTTTCCTCTACTGTAGATATCCGTATTTAAAAAATGATCGAATAGGCAGACGGTGCGGACGAACCATCGATACCACCTACCGATACCGATGTATCGGTGACGTAACTCCTACAGGATTGCATCCAGTTCGACATCGCGACCAGGCCAAAAGCTCTTCATTGCAGCATGTATGTTTGCCTTCTCAACACAAAAAAACCTATTCCAAGATCTTACTCTCACGGAAAATTAAGAATGGCAGCCGAGGCCGGCCCAACCCTCGACAACGTGCTGCGAGCTCTTTCGACTGAGTCCGCGGACATTCTTTATGACATGCTTGGCGAAGAGGGTGTGGCAGCCGTGCGCCGTTGTTGCCGAGAATTTAGATCTATCCTGGACGGCAGCGTTCGCACTGCGCACCTCAGGGTGTGCAACGATACTGCAGAGCTATGGCAATCGGGTCACCTGCCCCCGCTAGCACGCTGGCGCCGATGCTCCTCAGTCATTCTCGTCTGGAAGAACTTCCCGGAAATGAAAAGTGCCGCAAACCTCCTGCTGCTGCCCTTCATCGGCCAGCCAGCGGAGGCACTGCAGCGCATCACGCGTCTGGACGTTGGCCAGATCCCATGGGATTTGGTTGACGTGACAGGACACGATAATATCGAGGAGGGCCTCGTGTGTACGTCACTTACCTTGCTTTTTCCAGCGCTTCGTGAGCTGGACTTGAACATATATATGTATGTTACAAGCTTCGTACCGAGCTCGTAAGATCCGTCCGAGCCAGAAGGCTCATGGATCGCGAGCACAAAACGCGAAAACAACCAAAAGAAGAAAAGTAAACAAAAGAGACAACAAACAGAACGCTAATCATATGATAAACCCTGTCTGCGCAATCCTGCGACTTCGCATGCTAGTGATTACGCTAGCAAGCAATGCCTGATTCTCCATGCCCATGACAGCAATCATATCAGCATCCCGTGGGACACCACTTTCCCATATCTTATCACGCAAATCATCGTAAGCGGGACATTCAATGAGGATGTGTTTCTCATCTTCCACTCTCCCCGGCGACCCCTGCACGGCACACATAGGACAGACACGCGCTACTCGTTGCCTACCCCTAGGGCGATTGGCTTCAATGCCCCACACACACAGCCGAAAACGCATCAGGTTCACATGCTGCCGCTGAGTAATGTACCCCCTGTCAACCGGGTCACCCATCCAATTTTTGTACCTGCACATCTTAACTCCAACCCCTGGTACGGGGTCTACTGGGTTGAAAAGCCGCGGGTCATCTTCCAAACTCCTATCCTCCCAATCCGCATCCATTCTATCAGCAAACTTTTTAGTGAGAGCAGACACATTTAGCTCCGTGCCAGCAATACGTTCCACACGCGCATTCAAGTCCAATTCACCCCCCAAGGCCGTCAAATCCGTCCCTAGCATTTTCAGAATCTTCAGCACCTTAGAACCCCAGCCATCATAATGCTCAGTACTGAGAGCCGAACGAATTTCACCTCGCAACGTCTGGTGGTAGACCGTGTCCTTCTGCTTGACCAGGTCATTCCAAAACCTCAGAAACAGTTCCAGCCAGAAGACATGCAAGGGACGCTGGTTAAACTCCTTAAACAGCAACTTATCAGGCGAGACTTTCACACCCGCAATCTCCCGAAGAAATTCCCTTTGTAACTGCACCATTGGGTCCCGCAAGGATCTGTCAAAGTACCTCGCGGAATTCTCGCAGTCCGTCATTAGCTTCAGCACCACATCAGGCCCCCACACCTGGACACCGTACGACAAGATGGAGCGGACTTGCACGTCGAAGCACTTAACTGCAACAGCAGGGACCAAAAGACCTAGGCGTTTTAATTTACGCTGAAGAGAAAACATAGCACGTCGGCCAGAGGTCAACAGTTCCTCTGTGCAGGAAACAAACGGTGTGCCAGGACCAAAGTGCAAACCAAGGTAACGGGCTCGTTGTACCCAAGGAATAACCATAGGTACTCGCGCATTTCCCTCAATAGAAGTCCACACCACGGGGCAAAGGGCAGCAAAAGCCTCGCGGATATTGGCACGAGGGTGGAAAACCATCAATTCACATTTACGAACATTCACCCGCATCCCAAAGGCCTCACACCACTCTCTCAAATCAGCAAGCAACACAATCAGCCGTCTGTGCGTCGTAGCGAAAAGGCTGAGGTCGTCGGCATACAGTTCCAACGGGATACGCCGGCCATCCGCATGGGGAGTCTGCTGCTTAGCGCGCATAGCATCAGGGAGCCACTTATCCTTAGCGTCAACATAGTCAGCAAACCCCTCGCCAAAAATCCCGTAAAGCGTAGGGCTGAGAGGGCATCCTTGCTTGACTCCCTGCGAAGATTCAAAAGGATCCCCCGTCACTCCGTCTACCCTGACACGCATCATGACCTTGTTGTAACAAGTCTTGAGAGCCTCCAGCATAGCGCCATGCACACCCCGTTCCTCCAACCTTAACCACAAGAGATCACGTGGCACCTTGTCAAACGCTTTCTCAAAGTCAATCTGACAAACGAACAGGGGGTCAACTGCATCTCGCCCCCCCTTATGTTTGTCCGTCAGATGTCGCAACAAAAACAGGTTGTGGCAGGTACCCCGCTTGCGTCGGAAACCTCCCTGATACGGCGACCTAGCTCCCACCAGCTCGCCCCAACGAGACAGCCTGTGCTCCAACAAAAACGCATAAAGCTTAGACAAAACACCACCCACTGCTAAACCCCTATAGTTACCCTTCTCCATCACATCGCCTTTTTTGTGGATGGGCGTGAGCGCAGAGACCTCAAACTGCACAGGATAATCCCCCGTGCTGCGGATATGCTCTAGTAGCTTGAGCAGGTAAGGGGCTAAAACAAACATCCTTCTACCCTCAACCTCTCTCGTCGCACACTTGAAACATTCAGCCGGTACTCTGTCCAAACCCCCAGACTTGTTATTACGCAAAGACTTCAGCGCAGCAATGACTTCCGCCAAGGTGAACGGAACATTGAGCGCAGCAGCAGCGGTGACTCGTGCTACCCGATCGCCTGTCGCCCTTACCCATCCTCTTCCCCTCCCATGTGGCACACCGTTGATGGTACTAAGGATGGTGTCCGCGGAAACTTCGTTAAACGCATTGACTTCCCCATTAAACAGCGCATTAAAGTAGGCTCCCCAACTGTTGACATCCGTGATAGGGCACCCCTGACTAAATCTGCCATTCAGCCGACCCCACAGCGCCCGTGGATCCCCCCGACATTCTTCGATAACTCCTTCAAAATGCATGACCCGGAACTTGTCCTTAGCCTCCCTGCGTAGACGTTGATACTTCGTGCGCAACCGACTGAACTCAGCTCTGGCATCCTGATCCCCCAGCAGACCGTTAGCACGCATGAGCGCCTTTTGAGCAAACATGGCCTCACGGGCTTCCGCACACTCATGTGTCCACCAAGGCGCATCCTTGTCCGTCCTGCCTGCACTAGGAATGGACCCTTGCCCCCTCTCAAGACGAAACGTGGCGTCAATAGCCTTCTTAAGAGCCCGACAGATCACTGTAACAACCTCCGTACTGTTAAGACCATGGCCCAGTTGGCTAACAGCCTCGTCAATCTTCTGTACGACAGCAGCATCTTCTACCTCAAATAGGCGCGTGTACCGCTCCCACTCACGTTTCCCCAGGCGAGAGGAACCCGTGTTGCCACCCCTTCGCGTTCCTCCTAATCCAACGTCCAGAGTGAGTGACACCGGGCAGTGATCGCTGAGCCTCGATCCCACTTTAGGCCCCTCTATAGCAATGGGGATGCCAAGCACTTGCAAATGCGACGCCCGCGAGAACAAAGCAGGCGTGCAGACAAAAAGATCAATCATACTGCAGGCAAGGCCGTGGGCGTGGTAGAACGTGAACTCACCCTCCATGTCACCGGGCACACGACCATTCATGATAATCAGTTCAGTTTCGCGGCACAGCTCGACCAAACCTTGCCCAAATGGGTTGCTGGATGGGTCCTTACTGCGCCTGCTCGGCATGCCTTGAATGAGCCCATTACCTCCGATCGACACACCTGCCGCCGCCTCCAGTTCAGCATCAGCCTGGAGATCTGGTATATCACTCAAGCTGGCTACTCGCGCATTGAGGTCCCCCAAAATGAGGATTTCATCGCATGGACGCACATATCTTCGCAACAAGGCACGGAGTCGACCAAAAACACGATCCACGGTGTCAGTACGCCTTCTACCCGCATGGTCATTGTACTGAACAGAACCTTGGGGTGCTGCATAACAGGCTGCTATCAGCAAACTACGCCCCCCCATATTAAGAGCATGCCCTTTCACCCTTAACCAGATACTCTCCATGCCCTTAGGAACCTTAGACACACCAAGGAGCTGCACATCCCTAGCTAACATACGATTTACCCAGACAGCTACCCCACCTCTGTTGGGCGTGCCATCTACTGTGAACAGGAGCGTACCCGACGGTAGCATCTCCTTCACTACCGTATCTCCCACTAAATGCGTTTCCGTAATCACCACAATGTCATAACTACCCGCTATACCCCGTAACTCATTGTTATCAAGTTTCCAGTCCTTAAGCCCGCGAATATTCCATTGTACTACTTTCAACGCACCAGCCCTCTGGCTCGGACTCCTCTAGGTGTCCTCCATGGTGTCCGCTCCTGCCGGGGCCCCGTAGGGCCCGGTGTAGGGCACCAATCTCCCATCTGCTCCCACTATCTTGATCTCCGCTCCGCAGTCCCAGCGGGGCTGTTTGCCCTCGGCCTTGAGGCGCGCGTACGTGGACTGGCGTCTCGTCTTCGCGTCCACCCCGGCCTTGGTCAGGCAGTCCTGGACGTTGATGCCGTAGCGCTCCCGGAGTGGCTTGCCCAGTGCCGCCGCGACCGTCTTGCGTGCGTCCTCGTGCACCAGCAGGTCTACCCGCGTCATGGGTGCCTGCTGCCGGCCACCCTGCGCCGGGGCTGCGGCAGCCGCGGCATCTGCTGCGGCGCCTCTCGCTCCCAGCTTCGGCGGCACGGTGATGAGCTGCACTCCGATGACATCGTGCGGGCGTACCTCCTTGAGGATGCTGGGAACAATGGTGTGCAGTTCCGACACGTGCTGTGGCGGCACACGCAGGATCAGCTTGCGGGGCTGCACGTACTGCTTGGTGCTGCTTGCTTCCACCGCCTCCAGCCTCCCCTCCAGGGTATCCATTCGCGACTGCACCTTGGCCAGACCAGTGCACATCTCATCATGCCTAGTCTCGATCTTCTCAAGCCGCTTGTCCAGCCGGTTCTCTAAGTTTTGAATCGCCGCCATGAGATCAGAGAGGCTCGGCTGCGGGTTGCTGCCCGCAGGCCCCGATCCATTGCGGCTGCCGGACATTCCAGCCGCCGCCGCTTCTATCGCGTCTCTGGCTTCTTTAGCTCTTTCAACTAGTTGTGGAAGTGTTATTGTCTTAAAACGTGCTGTTTTGGGTGCACTAGAGCTAGGCGTCCCTGAAGCGTGTCGCTTTCTTAGATGCATGCCTCATCTCTAACATTTAACTCTTAGGACTTGAACGGCCTGGTGCTGGTCATGTCGTACGACCCCCTGCAGCAGCACATGGCAGGGGCTGCGCTGGCAAGGCTGCCGTACCTGGAGGCCCTGACGCTTCCGGACAGTCGCGCCCTGGAGCACGTGGGCGCGCTGGCGGGCAGCCTGAAGCACTTAACTGTCATGATAACCCGCGAGTCGGGCGGCCTAAGTGAAGCTGGCGTCGCCAGTATCCTGCAGCTAAACAATCTCGAAAGCTTGGCCTTTCAGAAGGATGCTGAAGTACTTAAGGATGAAAAGTGCCTGGTGCTGCTTCTTGAGGGCGTGGACGCACTGGCGGGCAGCCTGAAGCACCTGGAGGTCACAGTAACCTATGAGTCAGACTTCCTAAGCGAGGCTGCCGTCGCCAGCATCCTGCAGCTTAAGAAGCTGAAAAGCTTGGCCCTTCGGAGCAATGCTGAAGTACGTGTAGACAAAGTGGGCGTGATACGGCTGTTGGAGGGTGTGGACAGCCTGGCGGGCAGCCTGGAGCGGCTAACTGTGAGCTTTCCTAACTTTGGCAGCTACGAGTTGACTGGAGCAGCTGCCGCCAGCATTGCACGGCTGCAGAAGCTGAGACGGCTCTCCCTGGGTCACTGCCAGGTGTTTGGTATCCGCCATAACGCCGGCTATCGGGCCCTGCAGCAGCTGGTGGGGAGCCTGCCGCCGCAGCTGGAGGAGCTGACACTGCATCTGGCACCATCAGCTGGGCGGATCCACACGCTTTCAACCAGCCTTTACAAAGGCCAGGCCACGGAAGTTCGCCTGACTGAGGCGGCTGAGCTCCTTCTCGAGCTGCTGCTGGGCTGCCCGGCAGCAAGCGGCTCGCTGCGCCACCTGTGCTTAAACTGTGTTTCTGTACCTCTTCTTTCCAGCCCACGTAGCCCCGAGTTACCGATGTTCCGTCCCCTGAGGGAGCTGGTGGCCCGCTGCAAGCACGTGGATGTGGAAAAACTGTCTGGCGACAACCCGAGCTCGGTGCTGGCAGCCGTGAGGCTGCTAGGCAAGCCGCAGGTGCTAGAGTTGCTGGACAACGGTGGCAAGGTTGCCATCCGCCTCCAACTCCGTGAGGCTGGGGAGTCGCCGTCCCTCCTTGCAGCAGCCGCCCAGCAGCCGGCTTCCTCTGCCGCCTCCGAGCCGCCACCACCTCACGTGCCTCCAGCCCCCGAGGCAGCTGGGGCCATGCTGCAGCGCCTGCTGGCACCGCCGGGTAGCAGGCTGACGCAGTTCCTGCTGCTGAGGGGTTCCATGGTTCAGTCTGTGGCCAGCGCTGCACAGGACACCTTGAAGGGCTTCATGCGGCAGCTGAATGAAGACGCGCAGGCTGCTGCCAGCAGCAGTGGCGGCCCCAGCAGCAGCCTCAGCAGCGGCCGCCACGCCCCCAAGCGGCTGGTGGCCTACCAGCAGCTCCCGCCGGCCGCCAAGACTGACGCCGTGCTGCTGGAGTGCGATGGAAATCATGGGGCGGAGGCGGTGGAGGCGGCTGCCAGGGCTGCGGCGGCGAGGGAGGGGACCAGCCTGGAAGTCCTCCGGGTGATCAGTCCAGATGCGCTGCAACGGTCTGCAGGGCAGCGAGCCAGGAAAGTGTCACCCTGTAACGTGTATGGCATGATCCTGGAGGCTTTGTGGCAGGTGAGTGGGTACGTGTATGCTTGTATTGGCATGGGTTAAGCAGCCTGGGAACCGAGGCGCTGGGACAAGCAAGTAGGGACCGGGCGGCTATGGCTTTTCACAGCAGCTGTCGAGTAAGGCTTGCACTGTTTGCATACTGCCCTTAATCATTGTCTTAAACTCGCCTTGACAACTACAAACTGGCATACCCCAACCCCGGTGCTCCTCCCACGCACCCCTCCCAACAGGTGCTGCAGTCGCTGTGGGACGATGTGGCTGCCAGGTGCCGGGTGGGTGAGGAGGAGTGGCTGCGGCAGCTGCTGGAGCTGTGGGAGCAGCTGAGGGACCTGCCACCCAGGGTGATGCTGCTGTAGGTGGGAGCGGTGGTGGGTTTAGAGCTGCTGATCCGGAGCCGGAGTAATCCGGAGCCGGAGTGGATACAGGCGAGGCCTTGTTACCCTGTGAAGTGTCTTGTCTGGCGTTGCATCTCCTCACGCTTACTGGTTTACATGATTCTGTGCACGTTTTGAATGGTAGGAAGGGGCGGTCCGCTGGCCGCGTTCATGCGGGTAATTGGGACTTGGAGCTTTCGGGACTGCCGTGGCGTGTGGGTTTGGCGCCCGGCTTGGGGCCTTGTAGGTGGCATCCATTTGCTTGCGGTTAGGCGATGCGCATTGTCCGTTGATTTGTTGGCGTCTTGTTTCGCGACGCACGGCTTGTTACCAAACTGCAACTCTGTTTCGTGTTTTGAGCATGATGGACGAAGCTTTGGTCCAGCCGTTGGCCCAGTTCCGTAGGCCATAGCAGGGCCCGCTACACAGCGCTCGGCTATGCACGGTGTCATCTACACACGCATACCGCCTCTGGTGGTAGCATGTGAGCAATTGACGAAGTTGAGTTGTCGCGTCGAGCCATCTACAGCTGTTTTGGGCTTGCTGCCGCTGAGACTGTAGAGGGACAGCCACCATGGACCCGTTAAACCGCGGTGACAGGAGTACGATGGATTCCCGTGAAGCTTGCTGCGTGCTGTTGCTCAGACCGGTTGTACTCACTCGCATGCACGGCTGCCGTGCACTTGCTGGCTTACTGACCTGGTAAAGGCAGCCAGTTTACAAGCTGAAGCGAAATCGTCCTATACCGGCGATGCAGACTTCCTGTGCCCCCTTAACCCACAAAGGACGAAAAGGGTCACCTGGCCCACACCCGCAAACCCCTCCCATACTCCAATCTAGTACTAGGCACCCATGCTTACAGCGCCGAGCGTTCACCCCTACCGGTAATCACAACCTAACAGGCAAGGGAAGGCTCCAGCTCCCTTCACACTTCACGCCCGCCCACCGACCCCTCTCCCACGGCATGTAACCCCATCTCTAGGGCCTCCTTCCCACAAGCCCGTCCACGTTCGGAACTCGAGGCCACTTTCCTAAAACACACCCATAGGGGACTCCCGAGTTTGCTTCCTCACACCACGCCCGCCGCCAAAAGCACATCCTCCGTATACCGCTGACCCGCGGGGATCACACCATTCCACACAATGCACACATACACACGAACCCAGACCCTGGGCTCCCCCAGCACTCCCCTAGCCTGCCCTCTCCCCACCACCATGCACACCACGCCTCCCCCGCGCCCGCCTAGGTGTCCATCCAGTATTCGATGGCGGTGGAGAAGGCTGCGAAGGACGCGCAACCGAAGCACATGGCCTGCGGTCCGGCTGTGTGGGAAGAAGGGGAAGAAGGAGGGAGGAAACAAGGGGATCACGGCATGGGGATCAGAGGCCCGCCGAGCCAAGCTCCGCGGTGTAGGGTGTGGATGCGGACCCTAAGGTGAGGACCATGTCTTGGTAGAAGCCATGTACGGTACATCCTCTCACCCCTCTTTCCAACTCATTCGACATGAGCCCAACCCCACCCAATCCCACCAAAACTCCCATGCCCGGCACGTACCCCCCACATCCCAGCTGGTTCCCCCATGGCATGCAACTGCCTTACCACTATCCCACACCAATTCGACCATGCCTCTGCACCCGAAGCCCACGACTAGTCCCACGGCAACCCCCCACCCCCGGGTCAGTCATGCAGCTCGTTAGTTGCCTCGTCAGTGTCTCTATATTTTTACTCCCGGGTCAGTGTTTCCGTGGCTCAGTGTACCGTATCCCACCCCCAGCACCCCCTCCCCCCCGCTGCCTCACCGCTATGCGCCAGCATGGCCCCCGTGGCACATCCCGCCAGCGCGGGATTGACCTTGTCGTGCTTGCCGCGCCACTTCTCAATCACACACTCGTTGATGGAGTAGAGCGCACCCATCACCGCGAAGCCCTTGGCGTAGGAACTGACGGGAGGAGGGAAGGAGGGTGGAGAGAGGACAGGATGGGGCGGTGAGAGGGGATGAGTGCGGGCAATGGGAAGTGGTGTGCATGTGTGCTGAGGTTTTACGAGGCGCAGGGCAGGAATGCTGGCTGCTGCAGCATGAGTCCAAAACGGTTGGGCCTCCACACCATCCTCTCCTCCCACCATCATCAACCCCTGGCCGCTCTTACACGCTCTTGGACTTCATGTTTTGGAACATCTCTCGCAGCACCACTCGCGTCGGCTTCTCGCCCACATCCGGCATGGTGTCCATACCCTGGGATGGAGGAGGGAAGAGGAAGGGAGCGAGTTGTGGGAAACGGGTTGTGAGAAGCGAGTTGTGGGAAACGGGAGGGACCAGAACGGTAAGGTAGTGGTGATGCAAGGAAGGGACAACGTTGTTGAGGGGGGCGTGTCACAGCATGTGAGGGGCGGGAGAGGCTGAATGGTAAGGGGTTCCCGTGCTCGGCTTGGCACGTCGGGAGGGTTGGTACGGAATGCGGCTAAGGCTGTAGCATGCATGAAACCCCCGTGTTTTGCACATTGTCGAGTGAGGTGCAGCCGCCGAGCACCCATGTACGTCGGGAATGCAGGAAAAGCTCACGTCGGGGAGTCTGTGCGGCGGTATTGACGCTATTACAGGAGGCTGCCGTGCCTCAGACGCGTGGCGGTTCCTAGTTGGTGCATAAGACGGATATATTCCCATCGTCAACCGCCGAGCGCACTTACCCCATGCGCGTTTTCCATAGAAGACGTAAAGAGGCCGAAGGCGAGGCCGGCGACGCCACCCATCAAACCCGACAACGCAGACTTAATCAAACAGTTATTCATAAACTCCTGAGCTGCAAGCTCCTCATGAGTCGGCATAGCTAATTGTTGCCATTGCTTTTTCTTCTTTTCGGTAGGTGGCGATGGCGTCGATGGAACGCTATCAGAAGTCGAGGCGCTAGTTGACGAGGCCACGCGTTCATCATCGCCGCTTGACATATTGATAGCAATGGACTTCGCTTCGTGTGAGTTTCAGCGCGTCGTGCCGAACTGTCAATCACTACAACGAAAGCAATTATTGCAGAAGCAAACTATATACTTGCAAAAGCGTGCGTAATGTGCTTAGGGGAAGTTCATTGCGCAAACGCCTAAAAGAAGAAGGACATTGCACCGATTCACGGCTTCGGAGCAGGAGCCCAAACCGTTAGCTGTGCGATGCTTGCATACAACCTTAGGCAATACCTTTCCAAGCCATTTGTCACTCACTGATAGGATGCTCTTTATCGAAGCCCTTGCCGAACATCAACGGCGTACCCAACGGCTACGTGCACTTCAAGGTGCGGTGTCGAGCTGTCGACAATTTCGCACTGCAGCGTTCATATGCTCGCAAACATCGCATGCGTTCCACTGAGATGTTGAACTCTGTGCAAAGTAGATTCGGAGGAGCGTGCTGCGCTTGACGGGGTGCCGCAGCTGGCGGATTCGCTTGTGGACCTAGCCAACGTGGAAGTCTCCCGGGTGAGATCTGTGGGGGTGGGGGAACCGTCATGCCACGAGATAGGAAGTTCCGCAAGGCGTGCGGCATGCGTGGAATGGTAAAGCTTACCCGTGCACATAACGGTGATGAGCTGCTAATAGGTTGGCTACTGGGACACACGACCTGAGCGCATGAAGCGTGGACACTCCTATCACATTGTTACCGCTTGTTGTAGGCTGCTTAACCTCCATGTGACGGCCATTCTGTGCGTCCTGTTAAACTGGACCCTCATTTCTCCGACCTATGGGCCCATTTCCCCTCCCGGCTGCCGTACAGATCTACGAGCTGCAATTGGAGGTACGGACTGGGTGGGAGCTATGGGGAGCTGGGAGCAGGGAAGTGGTCTAAACAGCAGACCAGGCATGTTAATTCCTCACAGGCCTTATAGCTGTGGGTCCAGGCCTCCTACGTACCCTCTCCAAAAGGCTGTCCCTCACAGTCCCCTCGTACCCCGCCTTCCTCCCTCGCAACCCGCTAAGCCGCTACACCCACCATCTCCCACCAAATGCCAACCCACCCCACCTATCCACCTACACACCTCTGCCTTTGGCCCATCTGCTAACGTACCAAAGAGAAGGAAGGCTGTGGCCCCTCTTCCCTGCCCCCAGATTGAGTCCGAGTGCCGAGCTGTGCGGTCGGAGGTGGCGGCAGTGGAGGGGCGGCTGGGGCAGGTGGCGGAGGCGGTACGGCAGCTGGGGGACTCACTCAAGCTGCTGGGAGACTTTGAAAACTACGGTGAGGTGGAGAAGGAGACAGAGATAAGAAGAATAACTTGAAAGTAACTTTTCGATAGTAAGGAGAAGTGAGGAGGGGCTGGCGAGGGCATGCGTGTGGGGGGAGCGTCGTGAGGAAAGGGTGTGAGGGTTGTAAGCGGGAACAGAGAGAGGGCAGGAGAGGGCATGCTAGGGGAGTAGGGAGCTGCACTGGTCGAGAGGTCGGAGGGGAGAAGGGTGACGTACGGGTGGTGAAGTGCCAATGCGGCATGGGGTGGGGCGTGGGGTGAACGCGAGGAGGCTTGCGAGTTGCAACTTATCCTTCCCTCTTTTGCCCTTGTACGTTGCCGCCAGTGTCCGTGCTGTCGGAGCGAGTGGAGCGAGTCACGTCCGCCCTGCTAGCCCGGCAGCAGGAGCAGGTACGACAGCGGCCGCAGCAGGGGCAGGAGGAGCAACAGTAGGAGCAGCACGAGTACCGGTCGCAAGGCGAGCGCGGTAACGGCAGCGGGCCGGTAGCACCAGAAGCGCCAGCAGCAGTAGCAGCCTCACCAACCCGCTGCAGCAGCTGCCCCTGCTGCCGCTGTTGTAATGATGTGCGGTGCTGAGGAGGCGGTGTGGCGTATCGCCGAGGCAGTGCGGGTGCGTGGGGGCGTGCGGGTGGTTGGGTGGGCGGAGGGAAAGAGGAGAAGGGCTCCATGTACTGTTGAGGGGCTGGGTTTGGGTTGGGTTTTACCAGCTACATGGATGGGTTTGGGTTGGGTTTTACCAGCTACATGGAAGGGAGGGATGCGAATACGCAGCAGGCCTGGTACCGGTAACTACCGGTAATCATTTCTCCTACCGTACCACTCCACCTCCTCAGTCCTCCAACGCACACCTCCTCCACCGCACCGTAGGCCCTCGCACGCCGCCATGCCGCTGTACGGCGGGCCAGCTCCCGACTGTCGTACGACCTAGTTGCTGTCGTACAGGCCGGCCTGCGCCCCGCCTGCCTGCTGGACTATGTGGGGGCGCTGCCTGAGGGGCCGCTGCTGACGCTGGCGGGAGAGGTGGCGGGGGCGATGGGAGCGGATGGTGAGGAGGGGTGTGTGGGACTGAGGAGGGGCTTGTGCGGCTGGGTGGGGGTGGGGTAAAGAGGAAACAACTAACTGGCCGTGTGAGAAGGCGTCATCACGGTTTGGGTGCGGCGGGGTGGAGGTGGCTGCTGGCTTGCCGGTGCGGTCGTGCCCGCACGGGTGCGCTTTGCTTGCTAGACCCCGTTGCTGATCACTACAACAAGTCGTATCATGTCACACATGGGCAGACAGCCTCATGCCTCCGGATCAAGACACGCCACCTTTCTCTCTCCGCACCGCCACTTGCCCCTTCCCTGGCTTCCCTACCGCTCCACCGCTCTTCCTCCGCCCTCCTCCTGTTCCCCTTCCCTTCCCTCGTCCTTTTCCCCCAACAATGCATTGGGAATCCTTCTTTTTTTCCCTCTTCCCTTTCTTCCCTCTAGTCGTGGTGCTCAGCCTGGACGGGTGCCACTTGCTGGGCCGGCGGGACGCACTGACCGCGCACCTGCGGGGGCTGATGGCGGGCGGGGGAGCAGGACGGCAGCAGCAGCAGCGGCAGGGGGAGGAGGCAGGGAAGGAGGGGGTGCGGGGGGTGGGAGGGCCCTGCCGATTGGTGGGGTTTGGCAGCCCAGTAGAAGGAGGAAGAGGAGGAGGAGGAGGTGGTGGTGGAAGGGAGGGAGGAGAAGGGCAGCAGCAGCAGGAGGCGGGGGCGTACCTGCTGTCCACGGAGGAGGAGGAGGTGGGTGGCAGGGGAGGAAGGGGGGGAACGCGTAACGACCCGCCGTGTCAGTCAGTCGGGTTACACACCGGTATGGTCTGTATGGCCTGCAACCCCACCCCACCACAATCTTCCTCTCCCCGCACATGCGCGTGACCCCAACCACCCGCGCAGGCCGTGTTCTCCCGGCTACAGCCCTTGCTGGACGCCCTTCTGCACCAACAGCAACCATCAACGGCCACAACAGCAACAACCTCTTCAGCAGCCCCACCACCTGCCGTGCTGCACGTGCAGCTGGATCCCCTGCCCGGTCTCCCCCTGCAGCCCACCCTACAAGGGCTGCTGCTGGGTTATCCGCTCGTGTACGACATACACAGCCGTACACTTGCCGAGGCAGCGACCAGGGTGTTGAGGGAGGGGGGGCTGCGGCTGCACCGGTTGCTGCTGCCACCGCGGCCTGGAGGCGCCCTGGCTGCAGTACTACTACATCCGCAGCAGCAACAACACCCGCAGCAGCAGCAGCAGGTGCAGCAGGGAAAGCGGGGAGTGAGGGAGGCGGGTGCGGGCTCAGCAGCGGCGGCGGTGGCGATGGTTGTGCCTCAGGAGCGGGACCTCCACACATTGTGCGCGTTTTCGGTACCCGAGTCGTTGGTCGGGGAGCCGCGGGTGGGGGCGGCGGTGCGGGAGTGGTGCGAGCGGATGGAGCGGGCGGTGGGTGGGGGTGAGGGTGCGGGGTTGTTGTTTGGGGGATGTGAGTTGGAGGTGGAGTACCATCCGACGCCTTGCGTGGTGCTGTGAGGGGGCTGCGGAGGGGCCACAGGAGTGCTCTGATGATGCTGGCAAGGAAGGCGAAGAGTTGTGGCAGGGAAGAGGAGCAGGCTGCCCGGGCGCAAGGGACGCAGGCATGTGTTTGCATATCCGGGTAGCGTGCGCGCAAGGATGTTCGCACACGACCATGGAGATTTGGGGACCTACAGGGGCGCCCGTATGGGTCACACACTCATGCTTGGTAGCTCCCTTGCTTCTGGGCAGCTGCCGTAGCTTTTCGGACGGGATCCCAAAACCGGCTCTCTGTAAGAGGCCCATGTCGGTTTCCTAATCCTGCACCATCCTCGCACAAATATGCGCACCCCGCCCCAAATCACTTGAACCACACGCCACCAGGATACGGGGTACACCTCACACGCATCGCAGGATCGCATCGCAGGGTCCTCAGCGAAGCAGCAGAACACAAGTACCTCCCTTTCATGTGCCTCCCTTCGCACCGCTATCAAACTATCACCCCACCCGCATCCTACGCTCTGCAAACTCCCGCAACAGCCGCCGCAGCTTGCGAGAGTGCGTGCGACCCACCACCCCGCCAGCCAGAAGCGGTCCCTCCGCATGTACGACTGCTGCTGCTGCTGCTGCCGCCCCTGCTGCACTGCCATCCCCTTCCTGCTGTGTTCCTGTCGGCTCTGGGGTCTCCACAGCCGCCCAAACGCCCGCCTCCGCCAGAACTGGTGTCCAGGAGGCCGCCATGGCAGCACCTGTGCAAGAAGGGGCGCATGGGGTCATGAGGCGCAGGCGCCGAGACAGCGCGGCGGAAGAAGGAGGACGCAGGGAGAGTGAGCTCTAGGCTCGTTTTCAAAGGGCTTGATTCGTCAAAAGCGCGATTGGGACTGTTGAACAGCTCCAGGGCAACCCTTTCAGGACGGAACAGAACACAACAGACACACCCCTCGCTCCACAATTAACCCCAGTCCCCACCGTCCGCCTCCGACAGCTGCAGGTGAGCTGCGGCCGCCGCCAGCCACCCAGCCAGCACCCGCCTGCATGCTTCTGCCAGCGCTGCGAGGTCCTGCTGCTGCTGCTGCTGCCGTGGCTGCTGCTGCTGCTGCTGCCAACACTGTTGTGGGTGCAGCTGCTGTTGTTGTTGTTGTTGCTGCTGTCCTTGCTGGAGCAGGAAGTACCGCGCTACTGCCGCACTCAGCAGCACAAGCGCGGATACCACCTTTTGGAGCCGGGGCAGCGGGGAGGTGGACAGGAGCGCCGCTGCGGGTGGGGTAGTGGGCAAAAGAAAGAGCGGGAATGATTAGCCAGGGCAAGGTTCAGCCCATACAGCGGCTAGCGGGTGTTGCCCTCTTTCCCCTAACCAAACCAACCGAATCCAAGCCCAGCACCGCCACTACCGCTGCACCCTACGTTCTTCCTCACCTAGCAGCCCCGCCGTGACCACATGGCCCTGCGCCACCACCACACCCAGCAGCTGACACTGCACCACCGCATGGCCGCCCCCGCCACCGCCACCGCCGCCACTGCTGCTGAGCCAATTGATACTGGTACTGTTCGGCACATATGAAGGGAGGTGCTCCTGATGTAATAGCTGCTGAAGCAGCGGCGGCGGTGATGCGACTACCGATGGCAATGGAATACACACCGCCTGCAGCACCGCGCATGTGCAGCTCAGCGCAGCCGCTGCCAGCTGCCGGTGGTCGCAGCCGCTGCTGCCAGCAGCCAGCCGCAGCGCCGCAGCCGCGATCGCAGCCCTTGAAGCAGCCATGGCAGCAGCTGCTACCGCACCCACAGGACCAGCAACTCCAGCGCCAGCAGTATCTAACACGCCCCCAAATGCTGTTGCTGTTGCTGTGGATGCGGATGCGGTTGCGGTTGCTGCTGGCCAAGCCGACATGCAGCTCTGACCCGACGCCATCTCTACCTCCTGTCGCATCGCAGCCACCTCACCCTCCTCAGCTAGATCCCCAGTCAGACCGTGTCTGGCGGCTGCTGTCGCCAGCCGCAGCAGGCACTCCGCTGCCTCGGGCTGCTGGTCCGCAGACCGCCAGTCCGACGCCAGACCAGCTGCCAAGCTGCCGTACAAGAGCCCATGTACGACACGCATCGCTAGCTCACCGTACCTCCTCAGCCTCGCCCTGTGCTCCTCCTTACGTTGTTGCTGCTGATGTTGCTGCGTCCGCGTATCCACCATACCAGGCTGCTGGTGCTGGTCGTCTTGCCGGCTGCCGCTGCCGCCACGGCCGTCCTCACCACCTGCACCCCCACAGCTCGCCGCTAGCAGCACTCCAAGCGGCTCATGAACTTGCTTGGCACCAGGTCGGCCCACGCAACCCGCCAGCGCTTCCAACACAGATGCCACCCAGGCATCTGACAACACTAGTTGTGCGCCCATACCCCCGGAGGTACTTGCGGGTGAGGAAGAGGCGGTAGCGGTAGCGGTACGCAGCAGGCTGGTAAGCGCGCGGCTCAAGGGCTGCAGGAAGCGCCCCGCGGCGCCGCACCGCAGCAGGGACTCCAGAGGAGACCAGGCATGCTGCAGGAACAGCGAGCAGCACCAGGAGGCGTCGGAGGCGGTGGCGGCGGTGACGTCACCACCTGCTGCCGCTGCTTCGTATGCTGCTGCTGCAGCAGCAGGAGTGTTACATGAGCCATGAGGTGCGGAGACGGGCGGTGGTGGTGCAGGTGACATGGTGGTGTCTAGTAGGCGTAGGTAGCGCGCGAGGGCGCTGTCTTGGTGTCGGGACAGAGGGAAGGACTTGGGAGGCAGCCCAGGCGGTGGCAGGGAGGCAGCGGCGGACGAGGCGATGTGGGCGATGCCGTACAAGGCCGGTGCCAGAAGCCGTTGCAGCAGGTCCTTCCTGCGCGGGGTGCCAGGGTGCATGAGAACACGACGAAGCGTTAACTGGATACCGTAACTGTTGGGGCTCAGCAGGACTTACGTGAAGCCGGAGGATGTGGTTAAGGGCAGGGTATTGCATTACGATAACGCAGCGTGAGGACATCGTCTAGGCACACAGAATAAACGTAGGTGCCGTATAACGGCACACGTTTGGAAGGCGAGGCCACATTGCCTGCTGCCGTACGCGCTTGGGAGTACAATACCGACAAGCACCCTCTAGATCTAACCCGTACTGACCGGTTCAACACCACGCCTCCAGCCCCATCTGTTCCCGCTGCCGCCGCCCCCGCCAGCCGCACCGCCGCCACCGCCGCCTGCGCCACATCCCGCTCCGCCGCCTGGTACCGAGGCCCGGCATCGTCGTCTCCGTACGGCAGCCCATGCAGCGCCTCCGCCAGCCGTACAGCCAGCGGCGCGGGCAGCGGCAGCGCGAGGGACGCAGCGGAGGATAACAGGGCGCGTAGGGCCCGAGCAGCTGGCCCCACCGATTCCTCCGCTTGAAGCCCTGTGGGGAAAGCAGGGAGTGAGATGCAGACGTGGGGGTACGGTACCAATGACAGGGTTAGTTGTGGAGGAGGCGAAGGGAGGAGCGCAATGCGGTCAACTCCCGTTGCAGGCAAGTGCTTTGCTTGGGCTGAAACAGTGCAGTTTTGTAGCCGCCTGTCCGCATGTGTCAAAGCGCCAGCAGCTTACCTGCAATCAGCGCCTCCGTCAAGTCGACCAGGACAGCAGTGCTGGCCTCGCCGCCGCCAGCCCCCATTGCCGATGATACAGAACCCCCACTCCGCCACGTCCCTACATGGCATCCCTGCTGCTGGCGGTACTGCTGCCGCTGCCGCTGCAGGAGCTGCTCCTCCTGCTCTTGTTGTAGTATTGCATGCTGCAGTACCGCCCTGCAGGCCCCCACCACCGCCTCGGCGAACTGCACTACCAGCCCTACCACCAGACGCCGTGAGGGGCGGGGCCGGCCGGCAGCACATGTCGCTCCTGGTTGCTGCTGCTGCTGTTGCAGCATCCCAGCCAGCGCCCCTCCTTCGCCTCCGCAGCAAGCATGCATAGAGAAAGAGGAGGAGGAGGTCGTGGAAGATGACAACAAGGTTCTTATCTGTCGGGCGGCCGTGAGTAACACCGCAGCTGCATGGGTGGCCGCCAGTACAGAAGAAGTATGCTGCTGCTGCCCCTCCTCTTCCACCCTCCCGCCGCTAACTGAGGCGGGACAGCGGAATACGCCGCATGCTGACACCGCTGCCAGGGCTGCTGCTAGGGGCGGCAGGGGCAGCTGTTGGACTGCAGCGGCAGTTGAGCCCGCCGCACCCGGTACGGCAGCTGCAGCTGCAGCGGCTGATCCGGGGGCCGCTGTCCCTGAGAAAACAGTCCCCTGCAGCAACCAGGGAGGAGGGCCCTCTGCCGGGCTCGAGATGCTGGCGGAGGGTGTGTGGGGCGATGTGCTTACCGCCGCGCCCTGCAGTAACGCAGCCGCTGTGGCGAGCTGCCGCGCCTGTCCCACCACCCCCGCACACGCCTGCAGGCAGCTCCGAACCGCCTCCGAGCTCTCGGGGGGCAGCCGCATCAGCAGTCCCGTACCTGAGCCCTGATCATCAGCGGCAACAACCCCACTGCAACCGGCGTTATGACACTCTGCATCTTCATCACTACTGCCATCATCATCACCAGCACCGCAGGAGGTGGTGGTTGATGAGCCCCAGACGACACAGCACGACAGTACGGCATGGAGCACGTTGTCGTACAATTGGACGAGCGGCGGCGGCAGGCCGGGTCGCGGTCCTAGGGTGACGTATGGCACGCAGTGCTCTGGGACGAAGGCGTCGGTGGCAGGAGCAGCGGATGCAGCAGCGGTGGCGGCGGAGGAGGCGTCGATGATGGTGGTGGCGTCTAGTTGACCTGCGTGCATGGATAGTGGCGAAGAGCAAGGTACGAGCGGTTAGACACTACCGCTGGCATCACGGGTCTACGTTTCTTGGAGTGTTCAGTTAACGCGCAGTTCTCCTGACACGTCCTGGTTCCTTAACCAGCATCACCTATACCGCAGGGACCCCCCACCTCTCACCCGCAGGCCCCTCCTCATCCTGCTGCATCGCCTCTCCCCAGCCGCAGCCGCCGCTGCCGCCAGCAGCAGCTGCTGCTACACCCGAGGCACCTTCTCGACTCGCCTCGCCGCTACCCCCACCTTCCTCCCCCGCTGCCGCCGCTGCTGACTCAGCATCCGCCGCCGCGATACAACCCAACGCCAGGTCCGCCAGCGCCGTCACCGCCGGACCCCCGACCGGGTAGCCAGTCGGCGTCAGCGTCGTCAGCGCCGCTAGCCGTACAAGTGCCTCCGCCAGCGCCGTCAGCGGCGGCGGCGTTGAAACTGCCGTACAACCGCCTCCGCCGTCAGCACCACACCCGCATGCACGCACCAGCTCGTCCAACCGAGCTAACGAGTACGACGACACCAGCTGTACGATGTCGTACACTGCATCCGCGTCGGCAACGGCGCGGCCACCACCTCCGCCAGCCTCCGCCGCCGCTGCCGCCAACTGCAACACAGGCTCCAACAACGCCCGCAACAGCGAGTCGGGTCCGTACTCGATCACAGCCCCCAACGCCTCGCACGCCTCGTGCTGCAGGGCGGTGATGGGGGCTGCTGCATGCACAGCCCCATGCAACTGCCCCGTTGCTGCTACCGCTACCGGACGGGGTAGCGCCAAGTGCAGCAGCAGCCCCACCAACTGCTGTACGGCATCCGCTGGGCAGCTGGCGGCGTACAGGCAGCCCAGCCGCACCCAGCCTGCAAAACACCGCACCAGGCGCAGCCGCAGGTCAGGGGCGGCAGTGGCGGAGCTGCCTCCGCACCCGCCCGCCGCTTGCGGTCCTTGACCATGCGCTTCTCCATGCGGTTGCTGCCCCTGTGCTGAAAGCAGGGTGTCGTGCGCCCGGGCAGCTAGCCAGGCGGTGACGTGCGGCCCGAGCTCCTCCCGAAGCACCTGGTGTAGCGCCGCGGAGGACTCCACATCGCCTCCTGAAGGGCGGAGCGCAAGTGAAAGGCGGAGCGCATGGAAAAAGGTTACAGGGGTTGCGGTGGCAGCGGTCTTTGAAGGAAGGAGAGGAAGGAGAGAGGGAACAGGGCAACAGCTGCTGGCCCTCACTCTCACCCAAGCGCGCAAGCAGCGACTCGCCCTCCTCCGCCACGTCAAGTAGCAGCTGCAACGCAAAGCCATGAGGTAGACGGCCGAGCGCGGCTGACAGCAGCTCCTGCAGCTTATCAGGGTTCCGCACGCTGAGCGCTGCTAGGGCTGCGCAAAGCAGCGTGTCCCTCGGTGCTCGCAAATGGCCATGTCCCGCTAACTGTATGAGTGATGTGAGCAGACCCTGTTGTTTGTCTATTAGGTGTTGGACGTACTGTTGGTAGTCCTGTGTGTCAGATGTAGCTGAGGTAGCCAGTGCAACACGCCTGGCGCTTGCATGGAGTGTTTGCGCGGCAAAGGACTGCAGCGATTCCGGGAAACCGCAGTGCGAATTGCTTAGAATGCTAACGCATGTTTCCCAAGATTCTGGTTGAGCGCGAAACTGCAGCAAAGCAGCCTCCGCTTCCCGATTAGGGAGCGCCTGAAGGCATTGGAAAAGCTGTTCTGCTAGCATTGCCACTAGACATGATCTATGCCTATATCTATGTTATATAAGAATATTTCACAACCCGAGGACGGCAAACGTCAATCGTTCAGCTACGACGATTAGTTGGGTGTTACGTACCGCTGACCCTTGCACGGACCTTCTAGCTCTTAGTGCGCTTAGCATTTGGAGGCTGGCTTTCACAGTGAGTTGTCATGGTTGTCATCAGACGCAGCGGTGCAGGGACTGAAGCTCGCGAGGGTGTTGCAGCCGTTACAGTGCGCGACTGCCGACAGGCTTGCCTTTGACTTCCGCTGATGTCTTCACTGGAATCACTAGAACTAGAGACGTACATGCTTTCATAATGGGCATATGACTATTTATTTGTGTACGGCACGGATTGGTCAGAGTTATCCGCTGACCGTAGAGATGGGCAACAGGGCGAAATGCGGCAACCCGAATCCTGGGCAACCGTCTCAACCGATGCTCCTTTCTGGCCAAAGATGCCACTGAGATGGCTTGCAGTGACAGAGAGGAAAGGCCGTGACAGGTAAAGCGCAACGGGGGTCTGTGTGAACCCAGTTCCATGTTTCCTTAGGCAGGTAAACATACACGAGAGCCACACCACACCACAGAGTGAACCGGTACATATCATATCTTGTAGCTGCCTGGCCACACAGAGCCGCATGCACATGTGCACCCTGCCCCCTCGCGCTGTGCGCCTGTCAACACGCCCCCATGTGAGCCCAAGCGGCGTCGCCCAAGGCATGGCTTGTTGGTCAGCTCAGATGCGTCTTATCAGCAAGCGCCTGACGGCGACTTCTGAATTTTCAGTACAATTGCATCATCATTGCCGTATCAACATGCCACTTTGCTGGCCCCTCCTTGCTCAGTGCCACGGAAGCATGGGAGATGCACAGCACGACTTCTAAGGGTTGTAAGCCAAATAAGCGCACCCCCAAGGCCCTGACGGCGTGTAAACATGTTGTACAAAGCCTGCATTCGTTCAGAGGTAAGTGTGCTAGGAGTGCTCCTGATGGGCATTTCCAGCTGCAGCCTTGCGTAGTAGTTCTTTGCACTGACTTCGAACCCCGTAACTGAGTCGTCAACCCACGTAGTAGCTCCTGCGCTGGGTATGATGAAGCCTTACAACGTGAGACAACGGCCTCCAAATGGCACATGTTCCTTTACAGCTGTAACGGGCTGTAACGCCCTCCTTTGTTCACGTCGCGTCAGCATGACGCTGAGTATGGCGCAAAGCTTGTACGACAAACCACCCAAAGCGACACACAGAATCATCCCTGAATCCACCAGGAGCACCCGCGGCCCCCTTCCTCCCGCCACCTCTTCAACCCAAAATTATACATGAGTTAAGCCAGGTGAATGGTACCCCGCACATTGCTAACCCACATGCCCTAAAAGGCGCGATGGTGGGGCATGCCATATCACCGCCCCTTCGCCAGCGAGGGCCCTCTGTCCCCAATTTTGTAAATGGCCCATAAAGCCATTTACTTCTGGGGCCGCCACAGGCCCTTGACGGTCTCCGTCAGGCCTGGGCCCGACAGGTTCATCTTCATGATCCCGAGGTAGGTGACAACGGACATACCCAGAACACCGAAGCGAGCAGGGCCTGCACACGGAAGGGGAGGGAACGGGGTCACGCAATAGGTCGAAAACACACACACATCGGGTTCGCTGAGGCAAACCGTGTCGTTCGACCACCTAGGCCCCCTTACCCTGAGCCGCCTTGGGCAGGTAGTCCGTCACGACAGCGTTCATCGCGATGTGGCTGTGGACAGGAATAGCAAGGCTGAAGACGAAGTCGGCGGTCTTCTGAAGGATGCTGCCCTGCAGGTTGATAGGCAGCAAAAAAGCTAAGCAAGGACAAAGTTACACTAGAAAACATATATGTTCATACCTTGCTGGCGAAGATGGCCGCGGGGGTAGCGCCTGTTCCGAAAATGCACAGCCACGATGGACCCGGTTAGCAACCAGCGACAACCATGACCCTTATGCAGAATAAACATACCTGCTAGAGCAATGTTTCCATACTCGTGCGCCTTAAGCCCGGCGTGACCGGCAGCAGTGTCCGCTGCGAAGACGGCATATGATTCCGTGAGATGTCAAGAACACCAACACTAGAGCACAGGCGGCGGCAGACATGCTTGCCTGCTAGAATACGCTGCATGGTTGTGTGTTGGTAGGGCAACTACACAGGGCACGGCTGGCCGATTATGAGCAGGACCGGCGTTGTCACCGTCCGCAAAGCTTTGTAATATTGCAAAGCTTTACAGCTATAGTGAATAGCAAAGTCTGTATGCTCTGACTGCATGAAGGCTATGGTGAAAGCACGACTGTGTCGGAGGCCCGATTACGGTTGCCGTTTCCGCCGATACACGACCAAAAGCCCAATCCGCTGCCGTAAGCTTGCTGGACTGTTCTATACACATTCGTTTATTGCTTAGCATAGCACTACGTTTTACCGGAGACCGTAGCTGCTTCATTCCAGCCGAGCAGAAATGAATCAAGCGAAGCAGGCTCTCGGACTGCTGCGTGCCCCTGCCTCCCAGGGTGCTATGCAGCAGCTGGTTGCGTCGACTTCGTTCGGAGCCCAGCAGTTCAGGCGAGGATTCCGCGCAGAGAGTGGCGCCGCAGTCTTCACGAGAGTTTTCGCTCATAGAGGTTCCGGGTTGTCGCGCACGTAGGCACATCGGTGGAGACAAGATTCCGGAGTTCTGGGGCAAGCCGTCCGCGTACACGGAGGGAACAGCCTTCCTGGGAACGCCTAAGAACCACCTTGACGTGAGCTCTATAAGCATAGTCAGCTTTTTCCTGTCAAATATTTTACCGTAATATTGGTGTGCATGCAGCTGATCAAGAAGCGGCCACTGTCGCCTGATGTGATGGGCCTTGACGGCAAGCCCCACTACAAGATGCCGCTGGGTGCCATGAGCTCCATCACGAACCGTGTGACGGGTGTGGCCCTGTCTGTTGGTAAGCGTTTGCTGACGTTTTCTGATTTGTCGTATGGCGGGACCTTTACTAGGAATGCCGACATGTTGCAGGCTTCGCGGGTGCGGGCGTCTTCGCTCTGCGCGGTACCCTGGACTCCTGCGTCGCCACCATTGCGGGTAACATGCTGCTGGCCTTCCCGCTGAAGTTCCTCGTGGCGTACGCCATTGTGTACCACTACCTGGGTGGCATTCGGCATCTGGTGTGGGACCTCCACAAGATTGGCAACAACGCTGACCGCACCAGCCTACTGGAGGTGCCTAAGGTGGAGATCTCCTCTAAGCTGCTGCTGGGCGGCAGCGCCGCTCTGGCTTTCATCTGCGCCCTGCTCTGAGGAGTGGAGGGGGAATAAGACGGAGGGCGGGTTGCTTGTGGTCGGCGCCCGCGGCCTAGGCCTCTGGCCTGCTTTGTAGTACCACATACAGCTTATTGACGCAATAAATTGGGAGGTTGCCGCCCAGGGCGTGATTTTGGTGTCGACTAGGTCGGGGACCTCGGGAATACCGGGTATTCTTTCAGGAATGAAATGGGTATGAAGGCTGCAGCTAGCTCTGAGGCCTCCAGACAGTTACAGGAAAACTGCGCTGTGTAACAGTGTGTTACAACGTCTCGTCGCCTCTCTATGCCTTCCATGTCCGCAACGGCCCCTCCCCAGCGTACGTAGCCAGCACGTTTCGGTGCGGGTGGTGGGCCAGTCCAATGGGTGACTTGTCGTGGACCTGCACATAGGAAAGCACATGCAAACAGCACTTTTAAACTACCAGCCAGAATTTCACGCTAAAAAAACGCATGCAGTTAGTTTTTGTGTGACCCATGGTACAGCGCACCCTATCTGTTCGTCCCTTATCAAAAACGCACCATCGCCACCCACACCCACCGTCATGACGTGCTCCAGCTTGCCGCTGGTGACGCTGAAGCAGTACAGGATGCCATCCTCGCCCAGGCAGTAGATGAACTCGCCACGCGGGGAGGGAACACAGGCCAGGAACTCGCCACCCTCACGCTTGCCGCTGCTAAAGCTCTTCACCACCTGTGATACGGAAATAACGACAGGATTTCAAGCAGCAGGAAGGCCATACCGTAGGATCCGGACATACCGTAAACGGCTATAGCCCATGCAAGGACCTCTGCGTGGAAGGCTAGGAAAGGGTGCAGGGCTCCCACGTTACGGCAGTATGCACAGTACCGGTAGCATAAGCACGCCAGCACGGTTCTTGTGCGCGCCCACCTGGCCCTGCAGGGTCATGATGAAGACGGTGGAGGTGCGGTTGCACACCACCAGCTGGTCCTGGTTGGCGGGGAAGAGGTGCACGCTGTTGATGGCCACATCGCCCGAAGTGGACGTCTGCGGCGGCCTGGGAGGGGGGGGGGTGAAGAAGCGGTCGGGGACGCCAGTTACATGATACCGGTACGTGTAACGTGTCGCAGGGGTGCAGGAATGAAAGCCCCGTCCGGACCCGGAACAGTGCCGTCTGCCTCACATTAGCCCCTTTCCGCACCTAGCCTTCCATCACCAGCATACGCGCCCTAACCCTGTACCCTTCCACTAGCCCCGCTCGCACGCCGCCCCCAACCACCTCCGCAGCCCAGCCCAGCCCCCTCCTCCTGCTCCCCCTCTCCGCACCTGAAGGCCTGCAGGCACTCGCACGTCTTGGCGTCCCAGATGCGCACCGTGGCGTCCGAGGAGGCGCTCATGACCTGGCTGCCATCAGCGCCCCAGGTGACGTCATTGACGTACGAGGTGTGGCCGCGCATCTCCTTGAGCATCTTGCCGCTCTTGAGGCCGTGCACGCGGACTGTGCCGTCGAAGGAGCCGCTGAGGACCTGCGGTGGACGGAAGGGAGAAGAAATAGTTGGATGGGTGCCGCCCCGGTGTATTTGCAGCAGCCCGCAGGTATGGAGGCAGGCTGGAATGCAAGGGATTAAGCTGGGACTGTGCTGTGCTGACAAGCGCGCGCTTGTTACCGGTATCCACCTGTGCTGCCATATGAACGCATTATCATTGTGGGTGGGTGCCCTTCTGGGAACACACGCCGGTCTTCTTCCTGCCGTACCGTACCGTACCTGCGTGCCATCCTTGGACAGGCTGACGCAGGTGACGCCCTGGCTGTGCGCACGGTCGAAGCGGCGCAGGCACTGACCCGTGCGGATCTTCCACACCTTGATGCGCCCGTCTTGGGAGCCTGCAGGAGCGAGAGCGGGAGTGGGGGCCGGGGCCGGCAGGCGGCAGGCGGCTGTGTTGCGGACGTGGCGAGGGAACGAGCGTGTGGAACTCTAAACCGGGTTATGGCCCGGAGAGCACGAAGCACACGCAAACACTGAAACCACGGGATACCGGTAAACTTGCCGACGGGTAGAAATGTGCGGTGTCCAATGTGAACCGGTAAGGAGGATCGTGGCGTCATTCCTTCCTGTGTCCCTCCCTCTGCTCGCCACCCCAACAGCGCCAACCCACCCGCCTTATCACCCGGTTCATTACATCGTTAGTCCTCTACACCCACCCACCCGACACCAGCATCTCGCTGTCCCTGCTGAAGCCCAGGCACAGCACCGCCTCGTCGTGCATCATGAACATCTCCTCCGCCTGGTACGACAGGTCCTTCTTCAGTCGCCCCGTCACGCTGTCCCAAACCTGCGGCGAACAGAACCGGGGAGCAGCGCGCATGTTGTGTACCGGTACGTCGGGTGAGAGGGAGCGCCAGTGTGCCAGATGGTGGCTGGCAGGGATGGTGAGAGGGATGCGTGGGGATGTCGTAGTGCTGCCAGGAACCCCATGCCTGTAACAGCGCGCCGGCGCCCGAGCCTTGACCCTCCCCGCCCACCTCAATGAATCCGTCCACGCTGCCGGTGACCAGCATGGAGCCGTCCGGCGAGAAGCGCGCCACCTCGGGGTGGCTCTTGGCGGAGAAGCGCACCTGGGGGCGGGGAGGCGCATGCGGATACGGTAGGCGGAAGCAGGAGGTAGGGGGGGTTGCCGAAGGGGGGAACGGAGATGGGATCGACACCCAGGAGTGTGAAGTGTGTGGTGGTGGTTTAAGACTCCTCGTCCTCATTCAAGCCGATCATGCGGGTGTGTTTGACCAGCACAACTGTCTCCTAGTTGGCCGAGCACGCAGCTGCGCGCAGCTGCTAGCACCCACCTCGTGGTCTGGCACGGTGGGGTGCGCCTCCACCTCGTCCCGGGCGCTCTGCACAGTGCCGCGGAAGAGGTCGAATGCGGTGCCGGGGGGCAGCAGGCCCTGACTCTGCTGCCTGGGGGGGGGGGGCAGGGTCAAAGACCATATCGAAGCATAGGAAACCACAGGTTAGGGCAAAGCAATGGTAATAGGAAGGGGGCGGGGTGTGCAGGGGCGCGCAAGGGGGCACGCGGTGGGTGGTGAGGGCAGGAGGCAGCAGGTCCAGTAGAGTCAGGAGCATCAGGGCAGCATGCGTAGCTTTTGCTCGCTGACGCCCCTTGCTGTACCGGTACCATCTCCCAAGTCAAGAACCCCCCCAGTCCTCCCCTTTGTCAACCCCCCTTCCCATTAAACCTCTCCCTCCCTCCCCAGCCCTTTCCAACGCACCACTTGAGCGCCTGTCCGATGAGTGCCATCATGCGGCTGGGCGGCACCATCACAACCTGGGGGGGTGCGGTGCAGTGCGGCGGGGCGCGCAAGGCAGGCAGGAGCAGCAGCTGAAGGGGCGGGCATGGCAGGAAGTGCGACGTGTGGCGAAGCACCCCCGCTTCCTGGCACCCCACGCTCATGGCGGTCATGGGATGTGCTGACGTAGAAAACACGTAACGCATAGGGCCCGTAACGACCGCCAGGAGGAGTTGGTACGCCCTGGTGCCGCATTAACCGCTGCAAGGGGGGAGGCGGCCGCGATGAACCAGGCCCCGCCTGCCCTGGCCACCGCCAACCCATACCGGTACTGCGCAGCCCGTACCCTGTTACCACCCCGCACATGCAACCGTACCCACACAAACCCGTGTCCCCACCTCCCGCTCTCCTTCCTCTCCTCTCCTCACCCCTTTCCCGCCGACACAGCTGGCCTCCCTGCAACCCGCCCTCCCACCACCCCTACCTGTGTGCTCATCCCCACCACAGCCCCTGTGCGTTACCCCCCCCCCCGACCCCTCTACGGCATCGTATTGTTTTGCCCTTTGCCCTAATTCGTGGTTTTCCTATGGTTTGGTCTACCGGTAATTTGACCCCGCACCTCCTGGCTGAGTGAATGCGCCAGCGCCGCTCTCCGCTTCTCCTTGCTGCCGCCGCTGCCGTACACCTCCCGCACGTCAAAGTAGGTGCGCGAGGCCAGGTGCTCCAGCCGCATGTAGCGCTCCGGATCGTCCAGCTTCATGCGCTGAAACACCTGTGGGGAAAGGAGGAGGGGAGGAGGGGAGGAGAAGGTTAACGGAGGGGAAGGGAGGAAGGTAACCAGAGGAGGTGGGGAGCTGAGGAGGATTGCGGCTGGAAGAGGGGGCTCCGTCGCTATGGCTTGCTCCTCTCCACCACCGCCTACCGAGCACATGCAGCATCAGCATCGCCTGCAGTGTCCCAAGCCCGCCCCTTCCATCACACACCTGTGTTTGCCGCAGCATGGCTCGCGCCGTGTCGATTTCCCGCAGCTCAAACAGCTCCAGCACAATCTGTTGGCATGGCGGGACACGCAGGTGGGGGGTGCGTAACACACGGCAAGGGGCGTGTGGGGACGCCTTGGCATGAGCGGCAGGCGTGGACGAGTCGTAGCTCCGTTTAGTAAACACCTGACCCCTCCAAACCCCAGCCAACCCGCCAGCCCCCCTGTGGTCGTCTCTGCCCCCGGCAGCCTGCAAACCTCTTCCCCTTGAACCCCTCCCAACGCCCCCGGGAATCATCAAACCCCAGGCAGCCTGCGGCATAAGCTGACCTGCTCGTACAGGTCCTCCAGCTTGGCGCGAGGGAGCTTGAGCTGCGCCACTTGGGGCAGCACAGCATCCCAGCGGCCATTGTTGATGTCTGATATAAAGTTCTCAACGCTGTCCACAGTATTAAGCGACACCTGGCATTCGTTCTGCGCATATGGATGTAAGCGGAGAAACACAAAGTTGGTCCGCACTGTCTTTTCAACGCCACCAAGAGACATCACTCTTTGTCACAAACCTGGATTGCATTAAACGATTCCGTCAGACCATTCTCCTTACAGAACTGTAGGATGATCTTGATAACACTGCGCAATTCAGCCAGGAGTCGCCCAAAATTTAGTACGCTTCGAGCTCCATCGTATGGTGCTGATAACGTACTCAGTTGCCTCAATCTCCAGAGACATGGCTGTTGACTGCGCCGATGTTCTGCGCCCACCGCTGATTAATGTGGCGCCCTAAGTCAGCAGGATGTCATGTATAGCAGCTACTAGCAACAAATCATCGCGTCATCTACTGTGTATAACTCTCGTTGTTCGATTGCAAAGGTGCAGGGTTTGGTCTGCAAGGTCACGGCGGAGACGCGTTCCTATCGTGCGATATGCTTGTACAGTCCCTAAGAAATAGAATTACATTATGTGGAAAGTGCGCCTAGGCTTATGGGTGGCATCCGTACCGCCCTCCGCCACTACCTGCGTGTTGTCCTTTGGAGTAAGCTGACTTCAATACTGCTTGACTTGCACAGCACAGGCGGACGGGAGGTCCTAGAGGCATAAGTACCTCTTAAGCCACTCTCCTTCCAACACCAAAGCATGTAAGGGCCCTTGGGTCGCCCTGCAGTGCGGTACGTCCCAAAAGCAGGTTTGGCGCATGATGGACACCCGGGCAGCGCGTACCAGCAAGTAGCTTGCAACAGCTTGCAACAGGACACAATCCTACCGTGCAGCCGCACCACTCCACCATCACACTCGTTAGTTAAATAGTACGACCTTTGCCTTTCCACGAACCCATGCAGGTCCTTTTAGCAGCTTCACACCACATCACTACACACCACATACCTCGGCCCCCGTAACATTATAATCCGTCAACGGTCAACCGTCAACGCTCAGCCTTGCAATGCAACCTCTACTTCTGTGCCATGCTACCTCTACCGCACCTAGTCAACATTGCACCCGTACAATACGGCTGCCGCACTATACATTCCCGCCTTGCTCTACACTATCCACCGCAGGACCTTCAGCGGGAACAGGATCGGTGCGAACGGCAGCAGCAGGATGCAGGTGATGGTGCGGAAGGTGGCCTGCGGGGACAGGGGAAGGGGCGGAGGGAGGTAGGGAAAGGAGAAGCAAGGGAGGAGGTGAGGCACAGCGGAGGGAGAGGGGAAATTGCAGCCAATCTAAGGGGCACGCAGACGTTTGGGGAGGGGAGCCCATGCATGCGGTCCCTTTCCAACGGTGTACGACGTACGAGATTCCGACTAGTACGGGCTCCCCCAAACACCTGGCATCGAATCTCCATGCAACACGACATTCTCCTCCCGACACCTTGACACGCGGCATGCTGCACACATGCCGGCCCCACTCCCTCGCGGGCTCGAACTGCCGCCCCCCTCGCTGGTGGTAACGCATGCTGTAACGGCAGGCGTCTTACCTTGGCAATCCACCAGGGAATGAGCACCGGCAACAAGAAGATGAAGAGCGGCAGGAAAGCCAACGTGAAGAAGAGTTTGCCGAGCATGATAAAGGGAAGCAGCGGGCCTGCACGCAGCAGGTGGGCGGTGGTGCATACTCGGTTAGCAAGCATGCTTGCGCGACGGGCTAAGGGCTACGCAGAGAAAGCCTGCCCAACCAGCGCTCAGGCAGCACTTAAGTATGCCGCGAACTGAAGTGTTGAATGCTTTTCAATTCATTTGCTGATGCAGAGCACGCGGCTTGTTCTCGCGGACCCGCGGTTCTCACCCAGAAACGGCGCAAGCAGGAGGTTTGTGATAAGGCCCATTGTGCTACGGTTGGAAGCTGCTGCAGAGTAACTATCGGGACAAGTGGAAAGCGAGGTGATGAGTTAAGTATGCCTTCCACGATAACGAGAGCCTTCTTGGATGGGCGCTTTTGGCTTCCCTCGCTGACTAAATCCAAGGTACGTCCAGCTTGACGAACGGCATCCCCACGAGGGCCGCTCCCCCAGAATGACGCATCGCAACCAATACACTTCACACATGTGCAATCAGTCCAATCCTTGAACGCAAGCCGGATATCAAGTTACCAAGGAAACTGCTGACGAGTCAACGATAGTAGATAGGCGGCATCGGAAAAAGCACGAAAAGCACTAAAATGTTAACCACCAGCGTCCTTCACACGTTGATTGAATGGTGGCTGGGCATCCTGCGTGTCGGAACGCTAGTGGTGCTTTCACCGCTGATCATTCCAGCACTGGCGCTGCGTTACGTCGGCAGCGGTGAGAGCGCTGAGTTACAGCGCTGAAACTTATCATGCTGCTTGGATATCACGAAATGAACACATGAATCGAGATTTTGGAGGCTGCGATAGCGATGAGTCAACACGGCGGTTGCGGGTTCTTCCTTGTCCCCTTATGTCGTAGGCACGGCTTCGGCCTTCCTGACGGCCGCACTGGTACCGTTCATGTTCCTGTGGGTTGCCGCAAAGACGGGTAAGAGGCCTTCAGGATGTGTATTACCACTAGAATCAAGTAGAAAACGCTAAAATGCTGTTCGTTAGCCAGTAACTGTCAGCTGCTGCTGCTGAGGACCCATGGGTCTCCCTCTCGTGACTCACCAGTTACCACGGACCCTGTCATCCGTCTGCCTCCGCTTAACCCCCACCGCTTTCATCTTCAACTTCTCTGCACCGCTTCCTTGTTTCCCGCCCTCCCCAGGCTTCCACTTCTTTAGGGCCGTGGCGACCACCCTCCTCACGCTGCCGTACGAGCTGGTGATCGCGCCGTACCGCTTCCTGCGCCTGCTCACCAAGCCGCACAGCATGGGCGCCACGCAGTGGACGCCCTAGCGCCACATTGGCACAGCAGCACACGGAGGCCATGGCAGCAGCAACAACTAATTGGACCTCCAGGCATAGGAGATAGGACCCAGGGCGCTCGGCTGGCGTGCATGCTGCTGATTGTGGATTGGCAAGGAGGCGCCCTAGGCACTGTGGGAACGCGGTGGGGCGGCCCGACCGCGGCCAGCGGAGAGCAGCACGTGCAGAGAGCAGCGGCGGTTAGTTCGCGCTCTTGTCTGCGGTGGATGGCTTGGGTTGGGACGGTGATCTCGGGTTGCTGCTGGTAGGATTGTGCCGTCGTGGTGTTACGACCGTGGAACGTGAGACGACGTGGTGGGTGGTGGAAGGTGGCGCATGGCTGTCGTGAAAGGAATGAGTCGGAGCTGGTTCAGGAGTGGTCAGCAGCCAAGCGAAATGAATGACATTGGGACGGGTGCCGCAGGGTGATGCCGCAGGTGTTATTGCATGTACTAAGACGGCGGGTTTGGAACGTGAGGGATGATGCACGATAAGCTTTTCTGAGAAGAACCGGTTTTGAATTCATCGGCAGAGCATACATGTTACTGAGGAGGCATGGAAATTTTGCAACAATGGACCTGCGGCGGTGGGGGAAGGCGCTGTTGTTATGTGGCGGTTTTGTGGTGACGCTACCAATAGGCGATTGCAGCTGTTCCCAGTTGAATGCATTTTTGCGCAAGTGCGACCCTATGTATCGCACACCTGTTTTGCGAAGAAGCAAGGGTAAGAAGCGTGCCAACGGCGTGCAGGGTGCGGGCTATGCTTCGGGTTCCATGCTCAGGTGTGGGCGAACGGAGTTTAGGATGTCGTAGCACAGAAGGCCGCAGCGAAAGGGTTACTGTAGGCGTTACAATTGATGCTTGCCTCTAGCTGTAGATCCCATGCCGCCGACGTACGCCGCAAGGGCTACCATTGTTGCTTCTTGGTTACCGAAGACATGCAAGCAAGAGGAGTCAATTTGCATGGCGGCGTGCTCATGTAAAGCCGCAGACAAACCAAGGTTACACGATAGCATGTATGTACACGTTCCTGGACCATGCAATGTTATCCGGCAGTCCTAATGCAATGCTCTGGCCCTTTCTTGCACCCCCGACCCGCGGGCAGTGACCCATAGGGGCATCGCTACTCAGCAGTTTAACCATGTAAGCGTGTATACCGTGTACACCCCACCCACAGCTACCCACTGTCACCCACCGGGCTGTTCATTAGGCCAGCAGACCCTAATGCCGATATTAGCTTATATCGCCTTATGCGCCTTCACACTGCAAAGGTGTATAACAAGTAAGGTAATGCACGTACGACCTAACCACCGTACAGTGTATGCATGCCGACCCGCACGTCTCGCACGCGAACCGCGACCCATGGGTCAGCTTCTGCCTTCCTCAGTACCACCACCCCAGTTTGCCGTTGCCACCAAACGGAGTCCGCTGCAGGGCCTCACAGCACGATGGGCAGCGCCGCCATGAAGCTTTCGGCTGCGGGGCAGGCAACAGGGTGTGACAGGTCGGCAGTACATCGGGTTTGGAGGGAGCAGATACCGGATAGTAGGGGGAAGCAGCTAAGAAACGAGCACCTCATGGGCCGATGTTGTACCTGTTCGAGCCCGTCCTTCCCTCCCGTGCTCCGTTCATCCCTATTAATCCACCGCTCCCCGCCCCTTTCCCTTCCCTCTCCCGCCCCTCCTCCCTCACCCTCAGCTAGTTTACCACTATCACACCACACATTGGAATTTCTTTTTCCCTCACCCTTCGCGGGCCGGTACTGCCGCAGATCCTCGATCAGCTCCGCCACCTGCCCCGCCACGTGCCGCAGCTGCTGCCCCGCCTGCTGCCGCACAGCGCCCTTGTCCGTCACCAACCCCGGCCGCAGCACTCGTGGCTTGTACTTCTGGACCTCCTGTGAGGTGGGGTGAGGTGAGGTGAGGTGATAGCAGAGAGGAGGTGAGGGGCAAGGAGTCGTTGTGGATGTCGCTGTGGTTTGGGGCTGCGCTTGCTGCGGAGGATACAAAGCAACAAAGGGCCACGGCCTGCCCTCGTGCATGCAGCAACCCTGAATGCATGAGTGAGTACCGGTGAGCTGTAGCAGCAGCAGGAGCAGGGCCATGCGCAGCCACAACCGCAGCCCAGGGTGCCGCACCGTACCGTACCTGCGCCAGCTGGTCCCGCAGCGCCTTGAGCTGCCTGAAGTAGCCCGCATGCCACTGCGCGGTCGCCAGATCCGAGTTCTTCAACACCAGCGGCTTCCCAAGCACCCGCAGCCGCGCCCCCAGATGCAGATCCCACACGTCAGCAGGGCGGTTGGTGTCGGTTATAACCACCTGGTCACCCGACAGACCCGGAATGCGGAGCTCCGGAACCCGCTCGTGCGGTTGGCCGGGTGCCGGCGGCGTGACGGGGTCGCGTACGACAAAGCTGAAGGTGGCGGAGGCGAAGTCGTAGGACAGGGTGCAGTGGCGGGGCGCCAGGCCGCCGCCGGCCTGGGGCGTGGAGTCGATTCGGAAGGTGAGGTCGGAGGATTCGATGTCTTCGAACCTGCGGGTTTGAGGGCGGCGTGCATGTGGCAGACATGTGGTGAGGACGGAGTGGGCGAGAGGGAACCCGCAGCTCGGGACCGTATGGCGAGGTTTAGAGCGTAGTAATGTAGTGTGATGAACAGTGTCCGTGCACAGCAAGCGCTTGCGTATAAGTTCCATCTTCCAGGAACACCAAATACGGTACATCGGAAAGTGTAACCAGCGTTAAGAAGCACCGCCCAGTTCACTTACCACCACCCGAAAAACGACAGGCGTCCCGACGGCGGCGGCACCGGCGGCGGCCCCCTCCTCCCGCTTCGACCCGCCGCACTACCGCTGCTGCTCCGGCCACCCGCGCTGCTGCTGCTGCTTCGACCGCTGACACAACTGGGAGCACGATCCACATCCCCCGCAAAGCTCCCCACCACCTCACCAACATCCGACTGCACCCGGCTGCCGCTGCCGCCGCCACCGCTACCGCCATCACCGCCGCCAGCACCGCCGCTGCCCCTGCTGGCGGCGTACGCTTCGTCCTCCTCTTGAGCTGCCGCGGAGGCTGAGTCGGAAGACGTCAGCGGCGGCTTGGACGACGGCTGCAGCGGCGACACCGCCGCCGAGTACGGCAAACAGTCCGACGTCGACGCTCCGGCCGCCGAGGCCTCCGCCACCACGCTGCTGGCGCTGCCCAGCACGCCACCGCCGCCGCCGCCGTCGCCAATGACGCTGCTAGCACGGCTGCCGCCAGCAGCGGCGGCGGCGGCGGCGCCGCCGCCGTCAGCACGGCTACTGGGCCTGCTGCCATTGCCGGCCGCCGGTATGAGCGGCGACTTTGCAGGGGTACTTCCGCACAGACTTGCTGCGGAGTTGCTTCTCTGAGACCCCGGTCGGGATTCCTGGTCGGACCCGGTTGCGCGCTGTGACGCGTCATCGAAATCATCATCAGCGTAGTCGTCAGCATCTGTGTCAGGATTGACAGACGCCGCGTCCTTGGGCCTCTCTCCTTGGGCTCCATCGCTGGTGGCCGCCGCCTCGCCAACCGTCGCTGCGTCGGGTTCCGTGGTTGCATCAATCCCATCCTCCTCCTCAGCAGCAGCAGCTCCTAAGGCCCCGGCACCTGCCTCTTCCGCTTGCTGCTCCTGGCCTTGCGGACCCTCCACATATTCGTTAGCGCCCTCTAGCAGGAGCTGGAGAACGTCCTGAGGGAGTTCTGGGATGATAGCGTCCCTGGAGCAATCCGACTCTGGAATTCGCTCATCGGTCTGTACGTCCAGGAAAAATAGCTCGGGAGCAGGGGCGTCCAAATCCTCAAAGGGGCCTAACAGCGTGGCGGTGCCAGCGCTGGTGTCCTGGCTTGCACGCAGCTGTTCCAGTGCGCGAAGTGCAGTGTCAAGCAAAGGGTGCTCCTGCTGCGGTGAGCGTGACCTGTTGGTGGGGATTCAAGGGTAGCGTGGTAGAGGGATGTACATGCGGGTATGTAAGGATGGAGGGCGTCGTAGGCATGCTCGGATGGGAACGGAAGCCAGCGCCGATGTTTAAGTTGAAACCGCAGCATGAGACAATAAGCGTTAGATCACCTTTAGCTCAAAGCAACAAACGCTGTCAGGTAATGTTCGAAGGATGTGAACATGCCGCACCCGTACGCTATGTCCAACAGACGCACCCAGATGCAAGAAAGGCGACCGTCCCGTCAGCATGAACTATAGGTGTCCATCCGCTCGGCAGCGGTACACCAGCTAGAGCATATGCCAGAGACCATTCCGCCGGGTTGCTGACGCTAAGTGAAGATGCAAGCTGGCGAACAAACTCTGGGGTTATTGGTGCACCCATCCTATGCAGTATTATAATTAGGAAAACAGTTCTTAGTTCCCGAACGCCTGAGGTCTAGGCTTCCAGCTTTTTCCTAGTAAGAAACCGGAATACTTCCCAAAGTAACATTGCGAACGCAGTATAAACGTGGGTGCATTGAAGGATTTGTCCAATCTGCCGTTGGTCGTACTATGGCGAGGTCAGGTAACGCGAAACTATTTCATGAACTTGCAACTGACTTGAATTTGCAGAGACGTTTGGACGTCTGTAAGTCTAGCAGGAGCCTTCCTCTGTCCTTTGCTCATTCCCCTATTCTCAGGTCTCGGAGCTTCTCGAAACGTCGCGGTTGAGCAACTTAATGCACGGATCTTGCGTAAGTAGGTTCCCTTGCAAATCTCTTGTCCTATATTTACGATCTTAGTCCTTGCAAAACAACTGCGTCCTGTTCCCCGCAAGTCACCTTTTTTACAACCACCGGAGCTACTCCGAGCTACTGCTTTTGGGGCTATCGGAAACCCTTTTTCCTAGACCTCAACGCAGACCAAGCATACACAGTAGGACTAACAGGCAACTAAGGCGAGAAAGGCCTGCAAACTCGTTTCGATAGGATTTGCCTAGGCGTTACCTTTTCGGCATTATCGACAGCGGATCACAATGGGGAAGGACTACTATAAAATCCTTGGCGTGTCCAAGGACGCTGATGAGAACCAATTGAAGAAGGTGAGTTCTGGAAGGGTCGAGCCCCAAGGGTCGCATTTGGCCGCGTAAGGTACGTGCGTCTGGAGTCGACCTGCAAAGGATTAAAACGCATTTTGGATGCATGTTTACAGCAATGTTTAGCTCAGCTTGAAGAAGGGCAAGCGGGTCGTCCTTGTTGTGGGGACAATTGAGTTCGCGCCAGCTAGGCGATAAAGCCTTTCTAACGTTTCTCCCACACGCTTACCCTCCGATTGCAGGCCTATTACAAGTTGGCCCAAAAATGGTAAGCATAGATTTACGATACCGGTAACATAATCGCGCTTCGCAGCCGGCGTCGACGATTATAGACGGGCTTTCACTCCCCTGCAAGGCCTACCCAGTACTCCTATCCAGCCGCGAATGCTCTGCGCTATCCTGCCTCTTTCTTGCTAACGCGAATGCTCTGCCTGCCCGCATTTCCAGACGCCAGTCATGCCCGTACGCCCCCCTTCAACCTAAGCCAGTCCTCGCATGTGCACTCTTCCGTACTGCCGAGTAACCCAACACGGCATGACCCCCACGCCTGCATCAGCCCTCACCGCCGCATCCCTCCACCCCGCACGTTCCCGACCCCACACCCTCCCCAAAGCCCCACCTCACTCCTTCCCCCTTCCCGCATCCCTCCGCCCTTTCGCAGGCACCCCGACAAGAACCCCAACAACGCCGCTGCTGCCACGGAGAAGTTCAAGGAGATCTCCGAGGCGTACGACGTGCTGTCGGATCCGCAGAAGCGCACCATCTACGACCAGTTCGGAGAGGAGGGGCTCAAGGGCGGAGTGCCCAACGGCGCGGGGGCTGGCGGGCCGGGCGGCGGCGCGGGCGGCTTCCCGGGCGGTGGGGCCTACCACTTCGACAACGACATGGCGGAGAGGTGGGTAGGGTGCGGAAAGGTTGGGTAAGGTGATGGGGGATGACATGACTTAAGCCGGAAGCCATGAAGCCATGCTGACGATGCTATAGCCATTACCGTTATTGCCATTAGGTCACAATTACGCTCAGTACAGCTATGGGGCTCGGTTGCTTATGGCTCAGTTCGGTGAACCTCCTCCATGACCGTTATCCGCCTGCGTGACCCCATACAGGCTTTTCCAGTCCTTCTTCGGCGGCATGGGCGGGCTGGGCGGTATGGGCGGCTTCGGCGGCATGGGCGGCGGCGGACCCCGCGTGCGCGTCTTCGGCGGCGGCGGTGGCGGCCACCCCTTTGGCAGCATGTTTGGCGGCATGGGCGGCATGGGCATGGACGATGCCATGGAGAGCGACCAATTCCCGCGGGGCGGCATGGGCGGCATGGGCGGCATGGGTGGCATGGGTGGGGTTCCGGGCCGCTCCCCGGGCCGCGGAGGGCGCAACGCCGGACCTGCCAAGGTGGAGGTGCCGCTCAAGGTGAGGAGCGGTTGGAGACTTGGGTGGTGTGGGGTTAACGGTACATGTGTGCTGTTATAAGTGTACGGTGAGGGCCCGGAAGCGCAACATAGGAAGCGTGCTTGGCTACTGCCTGGCGCACACGGCTCGGCCCATGGAACCAGTAAGCTCTTCCTCGCGGCCAGTTCCCTTACCACTTGCCCCACATACGTACTCAATGCTCCATCATCAGCTCCGGCCCCTCTGTCCGCCCCCCCCCCCGCCCCCCAGGTGTCCCTGGAGGACCTTTACCTCGGCGTCACCAAGAAGCTGCGCATCACGCGGCAGATGGTGGACGGTGCCAGCGGCAAGATGGTGCCGGTGCAGGAGGAGATCCAGATCGACGTGAAGCCGGGATGGAAGGAGGGAACCAAGGTAGGAGGGTAAAGATGAAACGACGAGGTGGTTAGGTGGTCATTCTAAGGCTAGGTGGTGATGTTGAATGCAAACGGCAAGGGAGGGCTGGAGAACGGCAGCTAGAGTGGGACGGGCCATTGCTTTCCTCCGACCAACCCCGCCCCCAACTCATCTCTTCCTCCTCCAGATTACCTTCCAAGGCAAGGGCGACGAGCACCCGGACCGGCCCGCAGACGACCTCGTCTTCATCCTCCGGGAGCAGCCGCACCCCTCATTCACACGAGACGGCAACGACCTCGTCACGACGGTCAAACTTCCCCTCGTCACCGCGCTCACTGGCGGTTCCGTGAGCGTTACGACGCTGGACGGCCGGCGGCTGCCACTCAACCTGGATCGCATAGTGACCCCTGGGTCGGAGCGGGTGGTAGCGGGCAAGGGCATGCCCATTAACAAGGGGCCGCAGGCAGGGCAGAAGGGCAACCTCCGGATTAAGTTCGATGTGGTGTTCCCTACCAGTCTCACGCAGGCGCAGAAGGACCGCATTCGGCCTGTGCTGGCAGGCGTGTAAAGCAGTAAAGGGCGGCTTTGAGGTGGCGAGGGAGGCGGGGGTGGGTGGGCAGCAGTGGGTGGTGGGCATTGATGGTTGGTCGGGGGGGATGGGCGGTGAAGACGGGGTGGGAGTGCTGCGCAGGTTGAGTTGTTTGTTACGCTGGGGAATGGAATTGCTGTTGTTAGGTACCGGTATAGGAGAGGACTGGTATGGATAGCTGGGTAGAGCTCGTGTGTGTTTTGGGAAGGAGGAGGGCATGCGAGGGAAAGTTGTTGGAGTCTGCTGGGACGGAGGCTTGACTTGGGGAATAATGCAGGGTCAGGTTGAGGCCGCGTGGGATTGCTCAGCGTGCGTGCGCCGAAAGGGCGGGTAATGCCGATGGAGAGGAGAGTGACGTGGGGTGGGGTTACACTGTGGTTGGCATGGCTAGCCTTTTGTTTAGAACTCAAAAAAGGTACGATGGGGTTACATTTACGTACTAATGTAGCTATGGCGTTTAGGTTTATATGCTTTTGCTAGGCAATAGCACAGTCAAAGAGGGGGCTTTGAAAATATTGCTGCATTTCATGACTTTACTTGCAACGTTGGGGGCCTCTGGTCAATCTGGAGGGATGGATCAGCGGGAATGAAGTGGCTGGGTTACCCCAAGGATACAAACCCAACCAAGTTGCATTGCTGTCGAAGAGTTCCGAGAACTACAGGTTACTCAAGCTGTTGCTTGCACGAATTCGTGTAAGAGAGGGGCATTTCCCGTGGCACTTTGCGGGACTTGCGGCAACGTCCCACGCCAAGTGTAAGCCCATGCGGTTTCCTTCCGTACGCTAGCAGCAGCTGCGGGTCGGTGACGACTGGGCAACTCGTTTGTATGCGGCCGTGCCCAGTTGCGGTGAAAAGAAGCAAAGCTCTATCTCGCTCTGTAGTTGGGTTGAATTTGGCAGGATCAGGCCCAACGCGTCCAAGGCCTGACGTCGGAAAAGCACAATCCATTACGTCTCTCTACGAGCAACGGCGGTGTTGATAGGCTGTCAAGACGTTAGCTTTTGCTTCCCTGTTTGCCACATCACCACAGAGCGCTACAGGCATCCCTAACACAGGTGACTTGCTGCTGCCGTATGCAAGGTTGGGACGCAGAGTCGCTGTGACGCAAACCTTTGGGCAAATATAAGAGGAAGCTGAGCCTGGCGCTTGGCTCAAACTGGAGCTCACACGCCTCTTTTCATTGCGCCGTTTTAAATACCATTCACAACTCAATCAGCAGATCAGCTGTTGATTTGGTCCCTAGGCCTATTTTACCCCAGCAGTAGCCTTAACTAGTGGTTGAAAACATGCTTTCTGTCGCCAACGTCCGGCGCCGGGTGCAGATCAGCAAGGGTCGCCAGGAACTTGCAGCTCTTCGTAAAGACCCAGCCAGCAGTTACTCGCGCGATGCGGCCTTCGGCAGCAAGCCTTGTACCACGCTCGCCTCTAGTTGGAACCTCGAATTTCACGATAAGGCGCTTGAGCAGCGCTTCAGGGACTTTCTGGCTGCCCGTAATTTCTACTACAACCTGGCTATGCACGTTTTCTACGTAACAGCTATCAAGCTGGCCTTTGCGCTGCGCTGCATTCAAGAGGCGCCGCCTGCGTTTGCAGCGCGCTGGGGTTGCGTGCAGCAAAAGGACGCAGGCGTTGTCCTGCCTGGCTATCCGTGCGAAGGGTCGCAGGGCGAGCAGGTGCGTTCGCTGGAGCAGCTTGGCCAGCCGTGCCTTCTGTGTTGAGCATGCCCTGCACGTAGCAGGAACGCCCTAAGTCATGCTGCAATTGCGCTTTGGCCCCTTGTCCCAATCGTTGTTCTTTTACGGACCGCGCACCTCACCATCCGCCTCACGCCACTCCTCCTCCCCAGCTCCGTCACGTGCTATCCAATCTGCACTTCTACTACTTCGCCCGCGCCGCTCGACTGGGCGACTGGGCCGTCATCTACAACTTCCTCGCCATGCTGCTTGTCACGCTGTGGCTGCTAGCGCTGGCGGTGTCCCGCGCGCCCCAACGACCCATGGGTCGCTCCTGGCGCATGTGGATGCGCTGGCGCCCAGTGGCGCTCACGGTGACGCCGCTGCACTGTTGGAGCCTTGCCATTCCGGCCACCCTGGTTCTGTCGGGTCCGCAGCGGTGGTGGCAGCTGGGGTCGTACAACCTGCTGACGGGCGCCGTACAGCGGCCGTTGTGGGACATGGTGGTGTTGACACTGCTGAACGGAGGCCTGCGGGTGCGTGCGTGTTGTGCGTGATGGGAGTTGTGCTAACTAGGGGAATTAGTTAACACAATTGGGTCGGAAGGATTAGCTGCGGGCAGCACGAGTAATCGGGGTTGACGATTGTGTTACACGAGCACTACCGCATGCTTTCTCGTCTCGTGTCGCGCCCCACCACAACACCCGTCCCTACCGCCTTACCTCGCCCGCCTTCTCCTCCATTCCTCGCCTTCCATGCGCGCAGCTGCCCTTCAAGTACATGGCCCCAGTGGAGCTCCTGCGGGCCGCCATGCTGGGGACAATGGGCGGCTATGTGGAGGTGCAAGAAGCCGCAACCATGGGAGCCCTGCACACCATCTCCTCGCCCTCCTTCTCATCCTCTTCCAGCTCCTCCTCTCCGGGCAATGGCCTCGTCCTGCACGCCGCTTCCGCCGCCTGCCGGCACCTGGCTGTGCTGCTGCCGCTGGCATGTGCGCCGCTGGCCTACTGGTGGTGGAGTGAGCGGGCGCTCAGGCGGAGCTTCCTGGCCGGGATGGCGGCGGCGGAGCAGCAGCAGCAGCAGCAGCATGCAAGCGGCACTGTTTCCCGGTGCAGAGGCGGTGCGAAAACTGGGTCGTGCGACATGTCCAAGACGAAAGCGTGCACTGCGGTTAATAATGATGAGGAGGAGGAGGAAGAGATGAACAACGGTGTTCTTCCTACTCTAGCCGGCACCAGCAGAGCCCTGATGCCCTCGGGGCTAACACCGGTTCGATCACCATCTTCTGCAGCTGTGCCCACCGCTGCTGCCGTCGCCAGTCTTTCCCTCGCCAAGCTTACGTCTTTCGGCAGCAGCAGCAACCTCACCTGCAGCCAAGCGCCCGACATGCAGCTCTCAGCGCTGCTTTCCACCGCCGACCTCAGCCGCGGCAGCAGCCGACTGACCAGCGGTCCCGGTCAGCTGCCGCAACCCGGGGACAGCGGCCATGCTGGCTGCGCGGCGCTGGCGGCGCTGCAAGCCGAGTTCAAGTCGGCTTCCTCGGCGCTGTCGTGGTGGTCGGAGGATTCTGCCGCTGCTGCTGCAGCGGAGGCTGCGGAGAGTGAAGAGAATGGCGATGGATGCGGCTGGTACGATACCGGTACATGGGAGCGTACGGCCATCATGTGCAGTAGCCCGGTGACATCCGCCATGGCAACAGCTACGACCGTAACACCTGCACCTGCGGCTACGGCTGCTGCTGCAGCTGCTGCGACTGCAGTGGGGGTGGAAGCCGAACCTGCAGCTTGGTCGAGCGGCAACTGGACGACTGCCTCCTCCTCCTCGCTGTCCTTCGCGGCTGCAATGATACCCACCGGCTCGCTGACCACCAACGCAGCTGGTGTGGCGACGTCAGGCGCGTTCGGCGCTGACGGCAGCGGCGGAGGCGGCGGCGGAGGCAGCTCTATGCTGGGATGGCTGCCCTCAGGGCCCAGCTCCCAATATGCCAGCAGGAACACCTCCGGCCGTATGCTGTCGTCATCGCTGTTTACGAGCGCCAGTAAGCGCATCGCAGCCGCCACCGCTGCGCCCCAACAGCTACCGCAAGAGGCCACAACGCCCGCGGCAGCGGCAACGGCAGCAACAGCGCCAGCAGCGGAGCCCGGCCCGCCCTCAGCTGCCCCTGTACTCCGCGGCACCCTGCAGGCGGTGGCACTTCAGACGGCCCCAGCTGCAGCAGCAGCTTTGCCCGCCCCCCGGCGCCCGCTCCTGGGCTACCGCGGCGTCACGCGGCTGCACACCTGCAGCGTCAAGGTGCACCACCCCACCGGCAGCCACCAGCAGTACGCATCAAGGCTGGCAGCGGCGGTGGCGCCCATTCTCTTCCCGGAGGGATGCAAGGTCGCGGAAGCGGGAGGAGCGCTGGCCGGTGGAGTCCTCACGCCTGCAGCTGCCGCTTCTGGCGTCGCTGCCGGCCCCTGCACACCGGCGCTCGCGGCGGCCTGCATGCCCGGCTACGCCCGCAGAGGTGGGTTCGTGGTGGTGGAGGGCTGCGTGCAGCTGATCGCCTGGGTGAGGGGAGTCGACGGCAGCATGACGCAACGCGTGGCAGAGCTGCGGGTAGCTGACCCGAGCGCGCTGGCGGCGGCACTGGGTTTGGACTCTGCGGCTGTGGCGGAGGTGCTGCAGCTGCAGGTGCTGCAGCAGGTTGCGGCGGCGCCAGCCCAAACGGCGGCGGCGGCAGCCTCCGGAGCAGAGGCGGCGGCGGCGGCAGCAGCGGCAGGAGCCCAGGAGGGGGCGCTGTCCGTTGGAGCTCTGCAGCATGCGCTGGCATCGCAGCTGCCCGATGCGCACATTTTGGGCGCCTGGAGCATGCAAGGACCCATGGGTCAGTTGGCCCATTACCACGATCAGCACACGGCTGCGGCGCCGCAACATGCAGGGCCTTCACCTTGTGAGCTGCTGCCATCGCCAGCCGAGCCCTGGGCTGCAGTTCATCCGACAGCATGCAGCAGCGACCCTGCAGCTGCCTGCAGCAAGGCTATCGACTGCATTTGGACCCCGTGTGTTCCGCTGACATCCGACTCGTCACCACCTACGCAGCTGGAGATTCAAGTTCACTCGGCCGTTTCCCAGACGCTTCGCCTCCTGCTGGTGCAGCACGGCGTGCTGTTGGCTGACTTCACCTGCGTGCTGGGAGAGGGCGCACAGGTGCTGCTGCTGCCCGTGCCGCCGCAGCCGCGACCCACGGTTCTGCAGGTGGTCTTCGCGCCCGCCGCCGGCTCCGCTACCGCCAACAGCCCCCTGCTGTACGACATCGCGACACTGCTGGCGATGCCGGAGGAGGTGGCA